TTAAATATTAACGGTCAAAATAAGCGACGTACCTTTCCTTCTTCCATTAATTCTGTACATGAATCTAACATTTTTCCGTTCACTTCTAATTTTAACCCGGAATCACCAGCGCGAGATTTCTCCACCATGTCCTGATCATAAAATATGTGATAACCATGTATAAAAACAATTTATATATTACACTAAAATGTAATATGCGATTACCTGTATTCGATTACCAGCTTCTTCTATTGCTTTATCCATACTTAACAATTCTGCCTCTACCAAACTTCCAACTCCCAACTGTTTACATTCGTCGGTCGATTCTACAACACGATAAAATTCAAAATAATATATATGACTTTCTTCATTTTTTTTTTTCTACATTTTTTAACTTTCGTAACTTACTATCGCCCGATGCAATATCAATAGATGTGTTTCATGTAGATTTTCCATGTATTAAATAAAGACCCAAAACATATGCAACGTGTATTGCACTTTTAATGAGTATTGAGGAGTACAAGTTAGGTCTGACATCGCTGGATTATCGATACCGTTTAATGAATATTCGATAATATCTTCTGCTTCGGAGATGCAATTTACTGAAATAAAAATACACCTTTCTATCAGAGATATCAACATAAACCATTCACCATTTTATTATCGAATAAATTTAAATACTTACGCAATAATTCATACAACATGGTATCGGCATGCATATTCGTTTCATTACGGCACCGTTCACCTTCAACTTCCAATTTTTCCATCTTTAAATCTAATTCTTCTTTCTCGGCTAATAAATCATGTAGATCGCCTTCTAAAGCCGTTTTTTTACAAGTTAGAAAATCATTTTTGCCAATCAACGCCTAAAATATTACACTTTTACCGGAACGAAATAAAAATAAAATATAACCGTAAATCTAGTAAAAGAAAGGTATTAACCAAATTTTCACCTTTCGTGGTATTTATTTCTTCTTTTATATCGTCCAAATCCTCTTGTCCTTCGATAGCTTTTCGAGCTTCCTGTTCAGTTATATCTTCACCTTCTATTAACTCGTCCAGTCGGCGTTCCGCTAAAAACGGTTCGACGTTCCGATTTTTCTTCTGACATTTTTAATAACACAATTTGTTTGTCCACTTCGGCTTTCTGTTACATACGAGGATACACGTAACGAGCATCAATATTTTCTTATGATATTAAAAACTATGAAAATTACAATATTCCTACCTTCCTGATTAAACTGATATGTTCTTCTCTTAATTTTGCATATACATCTTTCAATTTCTCAAATTTCTCTTCCAAAACTTTATACTTTTCTACAAAAACATAACAGAGAAGTTATATTAGATTGCGATATAAATGTACACGTATGTATGCACCAACCTTCGCTTTCATCAACTTTCGCCATCGTGTCTGCTTTTTGTTTAAGAGAGTCCTGATTTACCTGTTTTTCTTGTTCAATTTCATTGCCCTAAAAAATAAAAACAACTTGTTACATAGACTGTTTTTGTAAACCATAATGTTAATGATTAATTAAAACGTTTTTACGTTAATAAGCAAACCCGATTCAAGTTGCATGACACGACTCTGAAGCTCTTCCGTGATTCGTTGATGATCCATCGGTAGACGATGCGATTCTTGTCTCTGGCGACTATTTTCTTGCTGTAAATGATCGATGGGACTTTCTCTAAAATACATATGTTCGGAACAATTAATAATCTTCTATCGCGTAAGAGTAATAAGCGATCATTTTTCTAATTAGTATTAACATTTTCTATTCGTACTTTATTTAAGTTTACCTTTCCGCTAAAGATTCTTCTGGTGGCGATACCACCCTCGGCGTCGCGTACGTTCGTAACTCGGATTGTATCAAAAAGTTTGGTGGATTCTTCGATAAACATTATACATGGGGTAAATCGATAAAGAAATTTAACAGCTTTTATGAGCATTTTATGGTAGAAACCATTCCTTCGAATCACTAAATTCTGTTTAAAAATAAATTTAATTCCAAAAATCTTACCTCGGCTTACACGGGTATTCTTTAATGATGCACTAACTGAAATCATTAACGTAACAGTGATACATGAATACATAAAAACACATAATATTATTGGACCGTCTGTCAGGCTTGCTCGGGGAATACCTCCTCCTGATTCTCTCTTGTCTCTCGAGGCCCCAGGGAGTACCTAGGGACAAATTCCCTATAGCATCCCGGCCTCTCTCAACGGTTGGCATCTGTCGCGTATTTTAGCGGGAAATTTAAAATAAGAACGCGGGTTGGTGCCCGTGGAGCGCAGAACCGCTCTGCTTGTCGGAGTGTGGGAATTTAATAAAGCTAGACAAGAGAACTCTTTCGTTAGGTAAACTTCGTAGTTTATTTTACCGGTCCGAAGGCCGGTTAGAGACACAATGACATAAGAAAAATCGTAGCGTTTCGAAGTCACCTCCGAGGTCCTCGCCGAAGTCGTTGGCCAAATCCTCCTAGTCCTCCCATAGATCCTCGTAGTCCAATCAGGGTGAAGGACGCATCAGATCCAAGCGGTAGGCCGTCCTTCCGATGCACGCACGCCCCCGCGAATCGGCGTCTAACTTTCCCTCCGTCTTCGGGTGGTGGTGGGAACTCGGTGGAGTCGCGCTTTTCCGTTACACAGCGGGGTGCCCACGTGGGAAGAGAAAGTAGGCTCTGCTCCGAGGATCGAGGGAACAACCCTTGAAGGAAATTTATGACTTCCTTAGCGTCGCCAACATTTCTGGAGTCGATCGACGCTCCTAAGACTAACAAAAGGACAAGGCCTTTTCAAGAGGTTACGTGACTCACGAGAAACTCGCGATTCGTTTCGGGGTCTGCTAATTGGTGTCCTCTTCCTGTTTTCGAGCTCTACCCAAGATCTTTCCCACGCGTGCCACCAGCATCGCGCATCCTTAACAATATTCTCTCAATCACGCATAACCATCCGCTTTTGAATTTCGCTCCTAATTTACCTATCGATTATTATATTTCTGGGGCTACGTTCGCGTGGTCACGCAACACTCCCTACAATATTAATAACGCATTGGAAGTTTAAAGCAAATTAATCGGCAAGGCTCGCTCGATCGCTTCTGAGAGCGCGACTCCTCTGAACTCCTCTGGTGGCGAGCATGGGAGGCGACGCCACAGGCCTAACAACCTCGGACCTAAATCCCCTAGCCTGAGATGTTGGGTCTTTGGGGGGTTAGATTTTTGGGGGTTACAATTTGTAAAAAAAACAAAAGCCACCGTTCTTTATCGAAAATTACTGACATATTATGAGATTAGTTTTCGATCTAAATTAATAGGGGCGCCGTCTAGGGTGCAAAGGGGTGAATTGTTTCTCGACAAACTTGGGCGTTTTGTAGGTAGATGTCGTCTTGACACGTGTATATAGATATACAGTGTACTACGTAGTTTTTATATTAATAATAATAAGCTTTAGACACTGTTTATTAATTAAACTGACGCACGTACAGTCTCCAGTTAATGTGTATTACGTTTTACGTGATGTGAAGCCATGTATTTGCTCAAAGAAACGTAGAAACTAGGAATATGTGTGGAGTGTCAAGTGGGGTTGTTTTGACAGGAATAGGACTGTTTCTGGACAATTTTGGGCCTTTGGCGTTAATTGTGAAGCATTTATAAGTGATCTAAATTACAGAGTACTCGATTGTTGCATTAATAAATAAATTGAAATTAGTTTTCGATCTAAATTAATTGGGGCGCCGCCTAGGGTGCAAAGGGGTGAACTGTTTCTCGACAAACTTGGGCGTTTTGTGGTAGATGTCGCCTGGACACGTGTATATCGAGAATACAGGAAACTACGTAGTTTTTATATTAATAATAATAACCTTTAGACACTGTTTATTAATTAAACTGACTTACATACAGTCTCCAGTTAATGTGTATTACGTTTTACGTGATGTGTAGCCATGTATTTTCTCAAGGAAACGTAGAAACTAGGAATATGTGTGCAGTGTCAAGAGGGGTTGTTCTATTAATAATAATAAGCTTTAGACAGTGTTTATTAATTAAACTGACTTACATACAGTCTCCAGTTAATGTGTATTACGTTTTACGTGATGTGTAGCCATGTATTTGCTCAAAGAAACGTAGAAACTAGGAATATGTGTGGAGTGTCAAGTGGGGTTGTTTTGACAGGAATAGGACTGTTTCTGGACAATTTTGGGCCTTTGGCGTTAATTGTGAAGCATTTATAAGTGATCTAAATTACAGAGTACTCGATTGTTGCATTAATAAATAAATTGAAATTAGTTTTCGATCTAAATTAATAGGGGCGCCGTCTAGGGTGCAAAGGAGTGAACTGTTTCTCGACAAACTTGGGCGTTTTGTGGTAGATGTCGTCTCGACTCATGTATATAGATATACAGTAAACTACGCCACATATATGTGCCAGTTAAATCGTATCATAACTTCAGATACATATGCATGTATCGCTAGTTTACTACAATAGTGATATGACTCTGATAATAAAAAACAAAAAAAAGATGCAACTTGCGAATTTGAACGTTTAAAGATCTCATTTTTTCCTGAATTGTCTCTCGATTTCAGCAAATAAATGTTAGGTCCATTACACAACAACTCCTTTTCCCAGATGAGGATACACTTTAAAGAAAGGACAAATGTATATTCTAATTTATGAAAATACTGTGGTTGGAAGAAAAATAATTGAAAAACCACATTATTTCATTACTTTTCTAATAAGTCAACCATACGTTCTTACTGCAACTTTACAAGTTTATTTATCTTCGATAACTTCCTAACGAGTAAGTTCAGGGCATAAGTATGTTGGTACTTTTATGTACAACATAAGAAACTATACATCGACTGGTGCAGTCAAAAAAAGAAAAATGTAGGTTTCCATTTAAAGAAAAGGTACAGTTAAATTTTCAACGGTAACTTTTGTATAGCCATTCGATTACCATTGAAAATGAATAAAATGTATTTATTACACATTAAACATGCAAATATTACAATAATTCATTTTGGACAACCTAAATAAATCTGTTCTCGTAATATATTATTTTATAATGGAATCTGTTTACTTTCCATTTGTAAACATTTTGTTCAATACTGCTTGATGTCAATGAAACATTGTGATTTGTTTTCATTGTTAATTTAAATCGAATTATTTAACAAACCAAAAAGTGTATTATTTAATATTCTTCGGTAATACGTACCGATCATTCTTTTTCACCTTCGAGTTGATAATGATAGCGGCGTAAAGCAGCTAAACGTAATCTTTCAGTCTCCAAAGCTTGTTCCAATTCCAAAACATGAACTTGTGCCTCCATTTCCAATCGTTTAGCTTGATGTAAGCTCAATCCAGAAATGTCTAAATCATCTGTAAATCGTTAAAAATATTCACTCTTTCTAATACTTAACAACTTTAACGCTTATTTTGTTTATCATCATTATCCAAATAGTGCATAACGAGTAGTAACTACAATTACCATTCTCTTCAACAAGATGGCTACAGTTTTTAGCAATTGCAACAACACTTCCAGTTGCTTGTGTTACGTCTCTCGATGCCTCTGAGAGCGCAGCCAAGTTATTGCTATTTCTATTTGCTTTTACTCTGCTTGCAACTACCAGCTGCGCCGTAGACGCTGCAATTCCTTGTGACGCGACCACTAGTTGTTCAAATTTCCCGTTTCCGGCTACGACTTTATCAGCAGCTTCTCTACACGCGTAAACAAATTTTACGGTTTAATAACACGAAATAAATCGTCTACACTTACAATAAAAGATTAGCACCAAATGCAACCGCCTTCGCTGCTGATATGAGCCCTTCGGACCATTGATGGTTACGTTTGTAGAATTCGGTTGCAGAGGCTGTGCCCTACGGTTCAAAATGTCTTTCCATATTTAATATTCATAAATAAAATATTAACGGTAACAATAAGCGACGTACCTTTCCTTGTTCTACAATTTCTGCTTGCAACAATCGTGATTTCTTAACTAATTGTCTTATACATTTCATTAATTCTGTACATGAATCTAAAATTTTTCCGTTCACTTCTAATTTTAACCCGGAATCACCAGCGCGAGATTTCTCCAGCATGTCCTGATCATAAAATATGTGATAACCATGTATAAAAACAATTTCTATGTAATATGTAAAATGTAATGTAATATTACCTGTATTCGATTAGCAGCTTCTTCTATTGCTTTATCCATACTTAACAATTCTGCCTCTACCAAACTTCCAACAACTTCAACATTACCTTGAACATTCGACAACGTACTAGCAAGTTCACATATTTTCTTAAATTGCTGCTTCACATCGTTAATTTGACTCACAGTCGTCGGTAACTTTTCTTTTATGTAGCCAAACATTGTTAAAGACATTAATCCTAACTGTTTACATTCGTCGGTCAATTCTAGAACACGATAAAATTCAAAATAATATATATGACTTTCTTCATTTCTTTTTTTCTACATTTTTAAACTTTCGTAACTTACTATCGCCCAATGCAATATCAATAGATGTGTTTGATGTAGATTTTGCATGTATTAAATAAAGACCCAGAACATATGCAACGTGTATTGCACTTTTAACGAGTATCTTTCCTTTCGATGTGTCGCATACGTAACCGGTATACGTTGCATCTAAAGCATCTAACGATTTTATGGTAGATTCCTCCAATCGTTCAAGGTATTGAGGAGTACAAGTTAGGTCTGACATCGCTGGATTATCGATAGCATTTAATGAATATTGGATAATATCTTCTGCTTCGGAGATGCAATTTACTGAAATAAAAATACAGCTTTTTATCAGAGATATCAACATCAAACCATTCACCATTTTATTATCGAATAAATTAAAATACTTACGCAATAATTCATACAACATGGTATCGGCATGCATATTCATTTCATTACGGCACCGTTCAGCTTCAACTTCCAATTTTTCGATCTTTAAATCTAATTCTTCTTTCTGAGCTAATAAATCATGTAGATCGCCTTCTAAAGCCGTTTTTTTAGAAGTTATAAAATCATTTTTGGCAATCAACGCCTAAAATATTACACTTTTACCGGAACGAAATAAAAATAAAATATAACCGTAAATCTAGTAAAAGAAAGATATTAACCAAATTTTCAGCTTTCGTGGTATTTAGTTGTTCTTTTATATCGTCCAAATCCTGTTGTCCTTCGATAGCTTTTCGAGCTTCCTGTTCAGTTATATCTTGACCTTGTATTAACTCGTCCAGTCGGCGTTCCGCTTCAACGGTTCGACGTTCCGATTTTTCTTGTGACATTTTTAATAACCCAATTTGCTTGTCCACTTCGGCTTTCTGTTACATACGAGGATACACATAACTAGCATGAATATTTTCTTATGATATTAAAAACTATGAAAATTACAATATTCCTACCTTCCTGATTAAACTGATATGTTCTTCTCTTAATTTTCCATATACATCTTTCAATTTCTGAAATTTCTCTTCCAAAACTTTATACTTTTCTACAAAAACATAACAGAGAAGTTATATTAGATTGCGATATAAATGTACACGTATGTATGCACCAACCTTCGCTTTCATGAACTTTCGCCATCATGTCTGCTTTTTGTTTAAGAGAGTCCTGATTTACCTGTTTTTCTTGTTCAATTTCATTGCACTAAAAAAAATAAAAACAACTTGTTACATAGACTGTTTTTGTAAACCATAATGTTAATGATTAATTAAAACGTTTCTACCTTAATAAGCAAACCCGATTCAAGTTGCATGACACGACTCTGAAGCTCTTCCGTGATTCGTTGATGATCAATCAGTAGACGATGCAATTCTTGTCTCTGGCGACTATTTTCTTGCTGTAAATGATCGATGAGACTTTCTCTAAAATGCATATGTTCGGAACAATTAATTATCTTCTATCGCGTAGGAGTAATAAGCGATCATTTTTCTAATTAGTATTAACATTTTCTATTCGCACTTTATTTAAGTTTACCTTTCCGCTAATGCATCGGGAGAGATTGAACCGTTTCGCGTAGAATCTAATTGATCGCCTGGTAATGAACTCGTATCGGAAGTATCGATGAGACTATCCACAACCGTATCGGTATCTAAAGATTCTTCTGGTGGCAATACCACCCTCGGCGTCACGTACGTTCGTAACTCGGATTGTATCAAAAAGTTTGGTGGATTCTTCGATAAACATTATACATGGGGTAAATCAGTAAAGAAATTTAACAGCTTTTATGGGCATTTTATGGTAGAAACCATTCCTTCCTATCCTACATATGCTAATCCTACCAGATACTATACCATCAGGATGAACGTTATAGAGATTATCATTGTTTTAAGAAATCACTAAATTCTGTTTAAAAATAAATTTAATTCCAAAAATCTTACCTCGGGTAACGCAGGCGTCGTTATAAGATGCTTAAAATACTGTCTTTGTTTTACGGTGTTGTAGAACTTCTTCAGTTCATAGAATTGTTTCGAAAATCGGTCACGATGGCCGGCTAAAGTGTCCGCTGGTAGTGTGTTATGAAGTTTGAACAGAATTTTCACACAATAATCGTATAACTGCGACGCGTCTAGAACGCACGGAATTAGTGGAGCCAGTCGACATTGTCCACTGACGGTCATAGAATTTGACGGTGTATTCTTTAATGATGCGGTAACTGAAATCATTAACGTAACAGTGATACATGAATACATCAAAACACATAACATTAATAACGCATTGGAAGTTTAAAGCAAATTAATCGGCAAGTGGTAAAACCAGTATGGTTGGCATCAACGACATACGAGAAGATCGAATAAGTGTATTCCCAACTATCATATCAATTGTATCGATTACTCGTATATCGCAAGGTACTATAATCTATCTACATAACTTATATATCATTACGATCGATCAAAGATACAAAATGTATTGAAAGCTTCTTGAAAAGTTCATAGCCGATGACGCCTCCGTTCAACAAATCAACATTGCCATCGTTTTGCAAGTTCTATTAAACGATGCTCGTAGACTAAATTTACTCAAGGTGATGCCTAACATGGTGATACTCTAGAATTTATTCCGTACCTACCTGCACGTTGTAAATTCAAAATATCATCCATATAGTCGAACATTTCGACTGACATTTGGAAACTGGAAAGAAAGAAAATTGTATCGAATTAAAAATTGACACGTTGTAAAATTGTATCGGATCAAAAACTCACTAAACATTGATGTCATTTTCTCCTATGGCTTCTAATTCTTCTGCTGTCACTTGAAGGTTTCCAGGTATCCGTGGATTTCGCTTGTGGAAATCCAGTTTGGTGATCAACAATCTTATGTACAACTGAATCGACTGACCATAACCCTCTCGAAGATGTTGCCATAATTTTCCAATATCCTCTAGCCTTCCACGATACCGTTGAGAGTCTGGAATTACTTTTGGATGACCCTCTCGCAGTACTTTGTGTAAAACGTGACAAAATTTCCATGCGACGATTTGATTCTCTTGCAATGGTTGTCGTAACATGCACATCCAAAAGATTATTCCACTTTTTTCTTGATATGTACCTATAATCGCGCCTATATTTCTATAAGGTGTATACAGCGTATTTACAAGAGAATAATTTATAAACTACAATTAATAATCTAATAAAAATTATAATTGCGTGTACGTATAATTATCCATCGGCCAATTATAATTTTAACGACGATAATGAGTTCCATGCGGTAAGTAGTTCGACTGTACGATACATTAAAATAAATGATTTAGTTAATACAAGAGAAGCTTTCGTACGAATTCCACAATTTCTCATTTTGAGCACCATTGGAAAGGATACTCCGCATATGTTTCTCTTTTACAGGAGTCTCTGTAGGGTTTACAGCTTTCCCGATACTGATCCTCTACAAATTAAAAATACTTTTAATTCGCTGGATACATATATGCATACTATAATTTTTGTTAATACTACACAATTACAGTAAAAGAAGAAATATCTTTCTTCGAGTGTTCTTTTTTTCATTGTTTTATTCACTTACCAACTGATGAAGTCGTTTATCAGTGAGTGGAACGACACTCGTCATGATAAGGGTGTAGAGTAGTAGCAGTAGAAATTAAAGCACGTATGAATATATAATCGTAATGATCAGTCCGTATGATAAATTATCGTCCGCCAATTTGTCATTCGTTTCAAGATGCGTTAAATGAGCACAGCCGATATCGTAACGTTGTTCCGCATCGTCTGCGAAGTCATAGACAACTGATAAAACCATTTACGTAGTGCACAAAAATATCAATGGACGTAGTATTTCGTTAAACAACCTATTCCACAATGCTTATCGTTTAAGGTATTAACCCGTTATCTTGTATTCGTAAACAACGTACTTTAAAAATAGTACATATGTATTGTCAAATTGAAACACACAGATCGCAGTTTTCAAAAAAACAGATCAATAAAAGAATTGAAAAGTAGAGCACTCCCATATAAAAGTTGGGTCACACCTTAGTTTTAAGACAACTCGTTAATGGCGCTAATGTAGTCTTCGTGTCACCTGCCATCGTGTGTAGTTTGTGACGTAGTTACTTAGCAACGACTAAACAACTGCCGTACCTCGAAATTTAAATGACACGAAAGAAGGAAGGCGAAGGAATTGAATTTCTATTGAATGTCGGTATTGTTTTTACCATAGAAAACTTCATGAATCATAGTATATATTATTTTTTAATCCGCCTCCATATATTCGAGTTTTATATTTTCTATTATTTCTAATTGAAGAAAAAATTCAAATTATGTTAAATTATGATTATATTTTAAATATACTTATCATCTATTTTACACTTCTTATCTAGTTATAATTTTAGTTATGGATACTTGTTAAGAAAGGATTGAAGCTGGATTAATTACCATGTATTAATATGTTAATAGAGACGCTAAACAGGTTCGCCAGATCTTTTATAATTAAGGCGAATGTTTTTATAGTAATTTGTTTGTTATAATCTCAAACACGACCATACGTATGTAAATACGCTACCTATCATGATTATAACTTTGAAATCGAAAATACTAATTCAGAATGTATAAATCAAAGCTTCGGAATTGAATAAAGTGAATGACATGCACTGAAAATGATATGTCAAATGTATGTACAGAAAGACGGTGAATCGCACATTCATAGCGTTTAATAATAATAGTCCATGAATAAGAATTGATCGCATTCCTTGAAGCAACATACATATTTTAATCATAACATTATGTAAGTACAATTAGTATATTTGACGGGCGTGAAAGTCAATGCACATCTCGGTTTACTTGTTCGCTTCTTGTTTTTCTACTTATTGTAAGACAATCCGTTAAAATGTGTTCGAGTTTTACGTCCGTTTAACATTAAATTATACACATCTGACCTACATTGTTTACATATTGATAAATCATATTGGTTAAAGTTGATAACAAACCATTTTATATCAAATACATTTCTATATTTTATATTTCACGTTCAAGATAATAAAATGCGCACAATACATAATATATAGTATATCTTTTATATATATAAGCATAATCTTTCTTTTTATATTCATCAAATTTTTAAGTTACTTGTAAAATAAAAGTATAAATATACATTATCGCTATCTTTGGATATCGATAAACTGAATACAGACAATATTAACATCGCTATGCTTTCTCAATAGGTGTTAGTGTTTATGATTGCAGTTATAAAATTTACCTTTAGTGACTAAAAACGTTTACTTGAATGAACAAAAAAAATATAAAAATGTCAGAGATTCACGTGTTGTAATTAAAATGTTTTACTTCTATAATATATTGTAACAAAAAAACATCAATTATAATTATGTAATTAAATAATAAGATCATTTGGTTGGATAGGCCTCGTAATAAAATTGATTTATACGTTTTATATATTCGTCATTTCATACATTGATACATACATATACATGGTGTCGTCTTAGGTAGTCAAGTGTAAATCATATCTTTGATAAATCACTTTGATTCATATATTACCAACTATGATCCATTATTAAATAAAATCAAACTCCAATGATCAGTGCACAATACATACAATATACAATGTGAACAAATACAAAACATTGAATAGAAGTGCCTATCCTCTCCCGCTTTATCAATGTCCAATATGTAATCAACTTTTTCTCTTGCTATTGACACGCACGATACAACTTAAAATTATTCTGTCTAAACAAAGAAGAATGAAATGTAGTACTGTGTTAACGAAATAATATTTATTTCTTTCTAATAGCACATTTAATTTAACGATTATCTTTATATGTATATTAAAAAATCACAATTAATTATTGTACGAATGCAATATAAAGAAGTAAATATCATTATGTTGCTATAACGAAATCAATTAATTTACAAAGCATGTAAGAAATAATATTTTAAAATAATGAACTAATGTCAGCAAAAATCTGTAAATTAAAATTTTATTAAGTTCTATGATTTAAACTGTATGTAACACTTTACCTTATGATATTCCTATTAAATACGTGTATATGGGTTTTAAATAATACATACACCAATAGTCACTTGTTACCTTACAATGCGACACGCGCAAAAAAACATGTAAAGTAATTGGTTCAGAATAAAAACGAAGATCAGGAGTAAAAAGATTAATTTAAACTGGAGAAGGATGAAGCGGTGGACAGGCAACCCCCAGTCCCTAGCAACACCCACCACCTTGCGTATTTCCTTGCCCACCAGTGCCCGCTAAACCACCAGGACTTGTTGGCGAATGCTGTGGTCCGATTTTTATGCCGTTTGCCTGAATAAAATTATAATTTCGTCGTTAATAAGAATAAGATAGTATGTTATTACCATTGTGTCTCGATTATTGTGGCTCTCATTTTACCTCGTTATTTATGTCAAATACGCCTTCCTGAATTTTTTCATAAATTACGTTTGCTGTATTAATATACGCTTCTTCTACATTAATTGCTGTCTTTGCACTAGTCTCCATAAAAACGAGTCCATGTTCCCTTGCAAAAGCTTCTCCCTCTTCTCTCTTCACTTCTCGTCTATTTTCCAGATCACTTTTATTACCAATTAACATGATCACCATATTAGAATTCGAATGCTGTCGTGCATCTTCTAACCAAGTTGTCAGGTGATTAAATGTATCTCGTCGTGTAATATCATACACTAATAAAGCTCCGGCTGCTCCACGATAATATGAACGCGTAATAGAACGGAACGCCTCTTGACCTGCCTACAAGATCAAGATAATGTTATTGTCTTTCTATTCGTTCGAAATAACCTATTGCATAATAATGTAAGAGTTATAATAAGCAAACTAAAATTTTATAGAATACATAGATTCAACAAATTAATAATTACAGTATCCCAAATTTGGAGTTTGATTTGTTTTCCATGAATCGTAATCATACGGGCACCAAATTCAACACCTATTGTTAAATCATGAACTGGTTGAAATCTCTTATCCGTAAATTGAAGAAGAAGACAAGATTTGCCAACCCCTATTTAAACAATGAATAATATCTCAATATCTGTTAATTAATAAGAATTGTTATAATTTTAACACATTGATTGTTTTTGTACTCGGGATCGTTAATATAAACTCAAACATCCACAGACTTTCATAGTAATAAATATTATATTACTTTTTTCAAGTACTACACGCCATTTTACCTTTGTAACATTGCAATATCTTATAATTTTGAAAAATTTTGAAAAATTTCTGACGCGTGTAACATTCGTTCTGTATTTAATGGACTGAAACTGGAGTTAAAAATTATCTTGATCCGTACGCGGATCCGTAGACAGCCAATATGTTAATACAATTAAAATACATTGGAAAAATAGAACCGATTTAAAAAATATCAGAAACATTCTTCAGAAAAATCAACAGACACGTACATAAAAAACATCCTTGAAAACAAATATTTTATATCGATGTATATTCAATACATATCTATTTGTCTATTCAAATACTATTTGACAATAAAAAAAAATTCAAGGGTGATTTATAGTAACATGCTAAACAATCGCAGTAAACGATATCATAATAATGTGTAATAAATAATTACATTTACAAAGTTTATAATTTCAATTTCAAACGACTCAAATCTTAGCGATATAATATTCATTCTGCAAAAAACTCCAAATAAAATCTGTGACTCGGGTAAATAAACCAATACAACCAGCACAATTGTTCAAGTTGATAAAAATTACCATATAAAGAAATTGTGCATAATTCAAATTATTCATAAAGAAATACACAATTTTTAACAGTAAATATCATCATAAAATTTACGTATCATAAATTCTAGAATTACTTTAATGGTTTATGAATCAAGAATATTATCGTCTACAGAAACGAAAACAATGGGTTCTGTCACGGTCGACGTAGTGGAAAATGTAGGTACCACTTTCACAACGTTCGTTTCTTAAAGAGCATCGCGAAAATACCTGTATCCCCAATGATGATGTATTTGAAAAGGTACGCGTACGACATTTTCAAAATTACGTGGCTAACAAAGATATTTATACGAACTGCGAATATATTAGAAAACAGAACTTCACTTTTTTTACTGTCTTATCTCTTCTGCCTCACCATGACGTCACTAAATCGCTTCGGCAGTCCTCGGAATTTTTCGTATTATTCGTAATCACAGTTCAGGTTTCCGATATCGCGCTGCCGTCGCTTCAGTCATGGATGTAGGTACCTAAGTACATACATGTCTCGTGAGTGTTGGCTCTGTACTCCAAACCGTGATAGTTTCTGTTTTAAAATAAATATTTATGACACTATGGAATTTAATTCTTATAATTTCATTTTCCTTAAAGAACTTTTCTACATTATCATACATTTCTATATTCCTACATTAAAATCGTATTGTAAAAGCACGTGTGTTAGGGTAGATCTATAATACAATGTACCATGGAAGATGAAGTTGAATGTAAACGAAGCTTGTCATGACCGATAAACTTGTTGGTCCGATATGTAAACGTGATGTTCTAGCTAAAGCAATGTTCTCGGATAGTTAATATTACAGATGTCACAGCCGACTCTAGAGTCAAAGTATTTCGGATCCCGATGACCGGTTGATAGATAGGTCTATTTATATGTATAGATAAATGGTAACTTGTATAAATCCTATTGTATTTGTATGTATTCAAAGAGTAAGTAGCCTTCTGCTACACGGCCCTGTTGCAATCATGTGGTTTTACTTAAATTCACTTCATCATCTTATTAGATCGTACTGTAGCTATATTACTAATAAATATTATTAAGTTTTGCAAATATTTCCTTTTTTAATATAGGTTCATTTGGTAATCGAAAAATCAATAAAGCATGACGATAAATCGAAATAGTTTCCAGAAAGAAGGATACATTGATAAATGTATAAAAAAAAGAGGCTATTTAAAGAACAGTATAAAATCAAATCTTCATATTTATATGATTGCGAGTGTGAATTATATAGTTTTTTTATAAGAAATGTTTTAGTACGTAATGTTCGTTAAAAGGGAAGGAAATGTTGAAACAAAGAACATAGTTTGGATGATGTTATCGGTTAACGATGCAGTTAGCCAATGAAATCTTTGTATAGAAAATTGATTCTCCAATGCGTGAGCAGAAACGACCCTGGTGGCAAGTAAAAGTAGTAAACAAGTATGTACGGTGCGAATCGAGCTATCGTCGACGTCGAAGCTGTCAAACATGGCGAGAATGTCGATCTCGAGTGCTGGTCAAAAATGTGAATAGAAGGTTCGGGTTGTGGTGAGATTCGTGAATCTCGGGTCTTCTCATCGTCGGCAGAAGCCGGCGAGAGATGCGATCGGGAGCTAGACTGACAGGCCGAAAGTGAATGTGCCGAGTAAACGGCCCCGGCAGTTTTGCGGCCGGGATTAATTTAAGGGCATGCCAATTCGGGAACTATGGGTGCTCAACAGACTAAGGAAAGAATCGTTCCTACCGGTTCCACCGCGCGACAGACGCGTAAACAGCCAAGGAACCTTAAGGAATCGCGTCTTGTTGGCTCCAATATATTTACCGAGCACAGCGGTAACTTCCTTTCCTTATTTTCATCCTACTCTATCGCTTTTTATCTTCTATTTCTTTCTTACTTCCGCCCCTTTTTTCACTCCTCTCTCTCTCTCTCTCTCTCTCTCTCTCATACTTTCTTTCCCTCGCTCCTGCATCTTCTCTCTTGCACTCATATATTACTTTGAAACAAATCTCGTGTGTAAAAGTTTATAAAATATTTAAAAACAGAGTCATAGTAAATTATGCACAAAAAATACGATGTTTAGTGCAATAACTCGGTTATATAATTAATACACGCGTATACGTGTATATTCATGTATGTATATGCCTCTTATTAAATTAATAATCGGTTGTTAATTCTTAATCGATGATAAATGCACCAATTACAAAATAACTTGACGGTACAACTTAATTCCTTGTTCTTATGCTTATAATCTGTCTGCTATGTAAATTTGTTTCTATCGTTCCGAGTATAATTCTTTCTTTATTTTATTACAAATAAATCTTTCGTTACTTATATCGTTTATAAAATATACATAAGTATAGAGGGTGTTTCGTAGCATGCGATGCCTAAGTTGGTAGTTAACAGCGAACAAACAAACAACCAACAAAGAAAGTTCATATAAACTTGTACCTTACTTGATGTTGTTTCCGAATTATAGCTGGTTTTATATTCTAATAATGTATAGTTACTTACCTTTATTGGAGGTGCTTGAAATGGTTACCTTTAATCTTAATGCAAGCTTATAATCGTTGTGTCGTACAGTTTCTTAATCGTTGAAAAATTTTAGACGTTTGTCGGATTTATTGGCAACTTATACATATCGATGAATTATTTCAACAATGATAATAAGTATAGATTAAACGATTATTTTCAAGCGATCCTAAAAATAGAAATCCAATTCTCCACGACTCGTTTATTTCTTGGGAAATTGTTCGTTCAAGAATTGTGTGGCTACTTGGTTAATATGATAATACAATGTCTTGCATGTTCGTTCGGTTCAGTTCATTATATCGGTTGATTATCAAGCATTATACATATACAAATAGTTTGGTAGAGTCACTTGTACTAGCTGAGTTTCTGATCAACAATTTCTAAAGTACATAACATATGTTTATATGAATTTTTTTCATTACTTTTTCACAGAAACACTCTATGTATCGTACTATATACTATGTATTAATATGTAAATTTGATAGCATAGTTTGTTATTTCTTACACTAATTTGTAGCCATTCGTGTAAAACAGTACTATAATGTTGTGTAGAAGCTCTTTTACAAAGCAGACCGCTACCTCACATTCCGGCATTACCAGATGGTGATCCTCCAAGCGGGTCCAGCATTCAACCAATTTCACAAGTGAATATTCAGCAACATGCTGGCGTTCCTTCTACAGGGCTTTTGGAGGCTGCAAACAGGTTAACTTTAATTATATTTATCGAATGTCTTATTTATAAACTTGATTTTATTGATTCTTTTGGTAACGTCAAATATATAATAGAATATACATATAAAAGATAGTGTACTAATTTATAGTCATGTTTTAATTTTATATAATATTTCAAAATTACACATGTACATTTTTATTTCCAACCTTTTTCTATATTACCGAACAATCTTTTTCGATAGCTTGACATAATATATGTATACTCGATACTGTAAATTAGTATTAATATATAAAGAGCTATAAATGAGACTTGAAATGTTTGCCACAGGTGGACTAGTAAAGAAAACCTATTGGCACAGGAGGAGGATGATCCACAACTATTTGTTGCTTTGTATGATTTTCAAGCAGGTGGAGAAAATCAGCTCAGTCTTAAAAAAGGTAATTATTTTTGTAATGTAACGTACAAAAATACTGTTACTGAAAAGCGTACATAACTATATGTTTATTATGCTAAAAAAGAAATTGTGTGATAATTTTTAAATTATTTGAATATAGGGGAGCAAGTTCGTATTCTGAGTTATAATAAGAGTGGAGAATGGTGCGAGGCTCATTCGAGTACCGGTCAAGTAGGTTGGGTTCCTTCAAATTATGTTACCCCTGTAAATTCTCTGGAGAAGCATTCATGGTATCATGGAAGGATATCAAGGAATAATACCGAGTACCTGCTGAGGTCAGGCATAAATGGCAGTTTCCTGGTTCGTGAGTCAGAAAGTAGCCCTGGTCAACGCAGTATTTCTCTGCGATACGAGGGTAGAGTTTACCATTATAGGATCAACGAAGACAGTGAAGGAAAGGTGTGACATTGATTTTACCGAGTGTCCCTTACTTTTTCAGCCAAATTGTAGGTGCATAATCTACAAGCAAAAATAAGAAAAAAATGTTATTTGAAGTTTGTTTGTAAATACTTTGTTACAAAGCTATATAAAAATATTGAACGTAGCGTGAATATGTATACCAGCATATTCCAAGTTGATAATACAAAAGATCGTCGACTGTATTTACTTTGCCTGTACTTTCATGTATTTCTAGCTTTCTAATGATTCATTGTTGGTTTTCAGTTATCGTATATAGTATCTTGTAAGTGATTACTTACATTAAAATGCTAAGAGAATTTTCAAACGAAAAATATGCTGATATTATGTACGAGAATATCAACGTATGTTTCCAGGAAGATGAGTACCACATCGTTCACTATTTATTAACACATACAATATTTGTCTGTAATTTTGTAACAAAGCATTTACAAACAAACTTCATATAACATTTTTTTCTTATTTTCACTTGCAGATTATGCTCCAACAATTTGGCCGGAAAAGTAGGGGACACCCTGTATATACCAACTACAAAACAATATATTATAGTAGAAACTGATAATAGTAGATAATATTTTAATTTAAACATAATACTAAGAAACGTTATTATTTTAGATGTATGTCACAAATGAGAGCAAATTTAACACTTTGGCAGAACTGGTGCATCATCATTCAATGCTAGCTGATGGTCTGATCACACAGTTACTTTATCCAGCACCAAAGCACAACAAACCCACTGTTTTTCCACTTAGTCCAGGTAAGATAAAAAATAATTGGAAATTATGTTTTCTGTTAACGTGATGTTATATTACAGAGCCGGATGAATGGGAAATCAATAGAACAGATATAGTTATGAGACATAAATTAGGAGGGGGACAATATGGAGATGTCTATGAAGCTGTATGGAAGAGATACAATATGACCGTTGCCGTGAAAACGTTAAAGGTTAGTCTTATAGTAGTTGTTGTAGTAGTAGTAGTAGTAGTAGTAAAGTATATTGTGGATATTTTATAGGAGGACACCATGGCTCTAAAAGATTTCTTGGAAGAGGCTGCAATCATGAAGGAGATGAAACACAGGAATTTAGTTCAGTTGTTGGGTGTATGTACTCGCGAACCGCCTTTCTACATCATTACAGAATTTATGAGTAAAGGAAATTTGCTAGACTATTTACGGAACGAGAGCAAACATCAAATCAACGCTGTCGTTTTAATGCACATGGCCACACAGATTGCCAGTGGAATGAGTTATTTAGAAAGCAGAAATTTCATTCACAGGTACAGTGTTTGAAAATTTTGCAATATGTTAGATAACTACTTTTGCATTGCTTAACAAGTAAAGTATATAAAATGTAGCGATCATATTTTTGGATAATACATACCCAATAAATAACTAATTTTTTCTATCTCATCGTCCGCAACTATCGATTTTAATTAATGTAGTGTAGTTTTCGAGATCGGTAAGCTTCGAATTAGCTTCGAGGTGATAATATGTATTATGTTAAAAAGTAATTGCCAATTCCAAATATTTGTCTGGTATGTAGTTGTTTTCAAGGAACGATTTCTATCGCTCGAAAAGTCACTGAAGAAAAGTAATAGTGGATTACAGTGTCGATATTGATACCTATATTTTGCATGAAACATTCATTCGTTATTAGTTAGTTCGGGGGCATTTAAAAAATTTCATTTACCCTCTTTTAAAACGTGATTTCGCGTTAACATCGCGATTTTCGTAACAGAGATCTAGCGGCTCGAAACTGCCTAGTGGGTGAAAATCATCTGGTGAAGGTCGCAGACTTTGGTTTAGCCCGATTGATGAGAGACGATACGTACACAGCTCATGCTGGAGCAAAATTTCCTATTAAATGGACTGCTCCGGAGGGGTTAGCTTATAATAAATTTTCTACAAAGGTAACTTTCATATACTATTTCCTGTTTTATAGCATTCATCAGAGTTTATTGTCACAAACATACATATTTACTTTCATAACTGTGTATTAATTTCTTTCTATTTTATAGTCTGATGTATGGGCATTTGGCATCTTGCTATGGGAAATAGCAACATACGGCATGTCTCCATATCCTGGCGTTGATTTGACGGATGTTTATCACATGTTGGAGAAAGGCTATAGAATGGAGTGCCCTCCTGGTTGTCCGCCAAAAGTTTATGAACTAATGCGCCAATGCTGGCAGTGGTCTGCTGCTGACCGGCCTACGTTCAAAGAGATTCATCATTCTCTTGAAAATATGTTTCAAGAATCCAGTATTACCGAAGGTAAAATAGTCTAAATTCCAACGTAAATATTTAGTGTTTTTAATTAAACTGTAACATTTATTAGATTTTGTTAAGGATATAGACTAAAATATGGTTCATGATTAGTGGAATCCATATTGTGAGAATTTATTGTTGTAGAAGTCGAAAAGCAACTTCAAGGTGGAGGAGAAATTCCTTTACTTTCATATAAGAAATCTCAAACTGGTAGTACCGGAAATATTCATGGGCTTGTTCTTGTCTCTGAACCATTACCCTCTTCAGGTAACACACAAACAATTTATAGAATGTTATTATTTTCTAGTATTATAATTTTCACTTAAACTATTTTTATCTTCTTTGAAATGTGATTTCGGCTTTAAGTCGTATTTTATTGTATTTTTCTTTAAAGTAGTTTTGTAATTTTTGTATGGTAAAAATAATTCATTGACCAATTTGTCATAGATACTACCAGCTCCGTAACTAAATTAAGTACATTCACGGGTGGTCTATCAAGTAAGAATAACAGTAACATCGTACAAATGAGACGGTCAACGAATAAAAAAGGAAAACAAGCTCCAGCGCCTCCAAAAAGAACAAGGTACAATGTTTTTTTTATTATTTTCATAATGCCCCATGAAACGTTGATCATTGATCATCTGTTAGTTTCTTTACTTTACTTATTTCAAATAGTAATTGGATAATTCGGTATTACATGTAGAAGGGTATTAATTATCCCTTATTATTCTTATTAATCTTTCCACGCTGCTCGATCCGAAACATTTTTTTTAAATAACCATCAAGTTTAGTTATAGATAACGAAATCGAAAGATTAAACTGAGACACCTTATAAATATATATGAAACATCTTTCATTTATTATATATACATATACATATGTATAAACTTGTTCGTATGATCGAGGTTTCGATTGGTCAGAGGAACGGTGAATATGATGCTGATCATATTCTGATGATACAATAATTTAACGTTTTGGGTAACAGCTTGCTGTCATCGTGCAGTTCGTTCCGCGACTCAGCGTACCAAGAACAAGATACTCAAAATACTGATACAAACACCATGACTCTCGACGATGCCACGGATCTAAATGGTATTGATAAGATTCTCGAAGGTATCTCCATTCTACTTTAATCGAGCGTACTGATACGTGCACGCACTGCTTCAGTTTCCTACCGTAAGCTCTGTATCCAGCTTTATTTGCTCGATTTTTTCTGCATCTATATCTTTCTTCTTATACTTGGTTGGAAGATTAAAATTATTCAATCAGTCGTAAAGATCATAAAGATGTCTTTATTTTGGTATTCGCATTTTTGATTTTCTTGCAAATTTCTGTTGATTGAATCAATAAATGTATTCACGAAGGTAAATAAATAAATAAATAACTACTAATATAAAGAAAATTTAGTATTCATCAAGAAAGTTCTACTTCTTTTAATTTTCAAGAGACATTGTTTCTATTTCGTTATTTGAGCTTACGGAACATGTTCGCTCTCAGCGAAAGGACTCTAAGCAGAAAGAGAATATGTACCGGTACGGTTTGTTGTCAAATGGGAACTCAGGTATTGCGCGAGATCTCGCGACGATGGCTCAAGGAACGATTGCTGCAGGAGGCTGTGAAATCGAGGAGGACGGAGAGGGTTCTCAGGGTACGGCGGAACCAAATTTCATCTCTCAACCTTCAACATCACCGGAACCCATACCTGGACTAGTCTGTACTCAAAAACAAATCAAACCAAGACCATACCCATCGAAGGAACCAGTACCGCAGAAGGTACAGTTCTGAACGATTAATAAAATGAATGGTTTTTTTAGACGTTCCATGGAATATCCTAAATTCCTCCGTATAACGTCCAATGAAATTCCACTTTTGTTTTAGCTGGTACAAGTGGGAGCGTTAGAAGTACAGAACGTAAAAAGAGCAATTAATCGTTACGGTACATTGCCAAAAGGTGCTAGGATCGGTGCGTATCTAGAGTCTCTTCGTCAAAGCGGCATGCCATCGAATCAAGAATCTACGTCGGTTGCCGCCTCTTCTATAGCATCCGGTTCGGTAGAACAACACGAAACTACTCATGACGGTTCGCAACATAGATCTCTCTCTCCTCGTCAAAGCAATCTACGAAGTCAACCTCAAATGACCCGCAGCAATTCTTCAAGCGGTGTTGTCAATACGTATCAACCTCCAAATTCCCCTCGTGGTCGAGTGGTAGCTGTAAGGAAGAGTAACCAATCCGATGGTGTTGGTTTAAGAACGTTTCGGGTATCTAGTAACTCAAACTTCCGTACTGCGAGTCCTTCGAGATCTGTTCAACCATCGTTGGCCGATCTAGAATTTCCACCTCCACCCGCGGATTTACCTCCTCCTCCGGACGAAACTTTTTCCGGTCTGGAACAAGTTGACCTTCCGCCTCCTATTTCTTCTACTGACGTTTCTCAAGTGAGAAGTTCTCCTCTTTCGATAAGAAAAGCGAAGAGCACAGCGGATTGGCGAACAAAAGAAGAGACAGAGATCGAACAACAGGAAGACAGAAACGATGTTAGTAACTCGGAGCCTTCTGTCAAAGAAGCCAGCTCGAGATTTGGAGTTAATTTAAGACGCAGGGAAACTCAAGACAGCCTTTGTAGGAACTCTAATAATAAAAGAACGGGGTTTAAATCCAGAATAGAAACAATTGAACCTGCCGCACCGCCAGAGGAAGCGCCACCTCCTCCTCCGCCACCTCCACCTCCAATCTCTACAAATACGCCTCCTGATAGTTTCGAACGTAAACCTGGTATGAAAGAAATGTTAGAACTGAAACTTATAAATGAAATTAAACAAAGTGCAGAAACAAAGCATGGTGTGACTACGAAGAAAACTGGAGTCACAAGTAGTACTCCATCTGCTCCTCTCGATCCGGCGTCGCAGTTATTATCGGAACTCTGCGCCAGTTTTAATATGGAGGCTGGACAGAGGTAGTTGAAGTTCCATTTAGTGGTATATTTCATTTCGGAGAGTTACTCTTACAAAATTATATTAAGTTAATAAATTTCACACGCTACTGTTTAGATTCAAATTTTGATTAAATACCGTTTAGTTTTAATTAATATGTTAATTACATTTGTTTTATATGGATTAATTAAATTAATTTTTTTCTGTATTAATCTTCCAATTGATGAATGAAATTTATAAAAATTTTGCATGGCATAGTACAAACTTAATATTACTATATACAATCTATATTTTAATATACATATATGTACATATGTATGTATGTATGTATGTATGTATGTATGTATGTATGTATATTTTATATTTTTCTGATTACACAGACATGCCCAAAATGAATATGCCGTATCAACTTTAAAAACCAACGAAGTAACTCAAGATCAGCAACAACAAATTCACAATACTCATAAGGATTCGTCTGTATCCTCTCCAGTGACTGACTCCATTCTTTCCAGTGGAAATGTGGGTTTCAAACTGAAGAGGGTAGATAAACGCAATAATCCGCAGAAGGAAGAAACATCTGACGGGCAAATAATTGATTTTAAGGCCAGATTACGAAAAGTTGAGAATGCGGATAAAGAGAAACCGTCGGAGGAAAGAAGTAATGTTACAGAACAGTGTTCGGAATCGGAAGAGCAACAAGATGATAAACGCAGAAGTACTGGTAGTATCAGTAGCTTGAAAAAGCTTTGGGAAAATAAGGAATCTTGTGATAGCCAGCCTCATAGCCCGAAGCTTAATGTACGGGGAAATAGTGGTAAACCGGATACCTTTGACCAAACAGAAGATTCGCCAGAAGATCACAGCGGAGCCTCAACGCGCAGTCAGAGGTAGTAAACAAACCATTTAAACTAATGTTATTATTAATGAGTATTAAATTTCGTAAATTAATGTTTAATAATTGGTAGACGATAATTCTTGAAATTTCCGACATATAAATGTTTTCAGATATCTATTAAGTTACTATGCATTTCCAAGTAATAGGTTTGAATTGCATTGTAAATTCACATTTGTCCATAGTTCTGGAAGCAAAAGCGATGCTAGATTGTGGCCACCGCCAGAACCAGAGAAACCAGTTGTTCCAGCAAAACCGCTAAAACCTCTGTGTTCTTCGGCAAAACATTTTTGCTCTTCTATTTATGCAACACCAAACTGTACGAAGTCTCAAAGTACCGAAGACGACTTAAGTAAGCAAAATACAGATTCAAGGACTGCGAAACAAGCCGTATTAGAGCTTTCGACGTTGATCGAAAGTAGCGTATTGAATCTAAAAAGTAATTCGACGATAGTAATGACCAGTTGGCTCCAGCTGTCAGATAAGGTAGGGCTGTTACACGGAATGTGTACAAACCTTGCAGATAGCGGCATTGCGCCACACGCACGGTTCCAATTCCGCGAACTTCTTGCAAGGCTAGAGCTTCAGGCGCGTCAACTCCGTGCAGCAGGCACTCGAAATGTCACAGAGAATACAAGACTTCTCACTGACCTCCAGAACACAATAAAAGATGTTGTTAACGCCGTGCAAAGATAAACCAGGGAGATGAACACACCGTTTTCTCTGTTACCACCCTTATTCTCGTCCTCGTTTTTATCTGGCACAATTTACAAAGCACGCGTGTGCACACCAGATCGGAAATAATTTCGACCTTCATGCCTCTTTCATCATTGTGTATACTGTGTCAAAATACCCCGAATTTATTATACCACTTCGTTTCGGATTTCTTTTAAATGATTTTTTCCTATTGAATTTTTTAGGTGTTATTTTTTAATAATGTCTCTGGAGATGACTCGTTTTGAGTCGACATTTTGCTCTTGGAAATTACATGAAGCGAAGAATGCTTAAGGACAGACAAGGCCTCAAGCCGAACACGGCCTCGATTAATATCGGTTTGATGAAAAAGTAATGAAAAGGAAATCCTAAAAACACAATACTAAATTAAAGATAAATATATTACATTTTCCATTTATATTTATTTCTTATTATAGACTGCGATTAGCCATTTTCGTTCGAGGTTGTTGGTATATTGTTATCTGACGAAAATTCTTTTGATATCAACAAAGCGGGAGGACCGCTTTATGAGCATAAATATTCGCTCATATTTTTTATTCAGTTCTACGAGAACGAATGGTAATTCTCAAAAACAATGTGAATCTAGAAATACGATAAGTAAATAAGGATCAAACGTACATACTAGTTCCTTCAATTTTTTTTTAACTATAGTTTTAAACCTATAGAAATAAAGACGAGTAATCGCAGTTCATCAAAACAATATAAATATACATATACATATATAGTATGAATAATAACAGCAAGAAATACTTTTTGTATACTGTGAACACTTGATTTTTAAATTAAAAATTATTACTTTTACGTCGATCCAATATTTAGTCTGCATCAATGAAGCTCTACGTAAATTATACACTCGTCCACTATACGATAAATGTGGTGATTATAGTTGTCGAGTAAAACGTCTCGGTGTTCTTTCATCGAACTTTCTTGCGCCGTGCTTCGTAATATTGTACGCAAAGTCTTAGGCTAGATTATAAAATGTAAGTGCGAAACTTTTAAGCGTGTAAGCCATTTTAATGCGTGAGAGAACGTAACAATTTTTGTATTTATATAGAGTAAGTCGAATAACAGGTATGCTTAAACAGTACAGTGAAACCTCGATTATGCAAACTAATTAAAAAATACCGTTGAGTGAAGTTGATTGATATTTTTAATCATCGAACAAAAATTTGATTTTCTTTTTAATTATCTCTTTTTCATATTGTTTTTGATGCAGTAATTACATTAAGCATACGTAATCATAATACGTCTCTAAATTTATTAAAGTAAAAAAAGCGTAATACTCGTTAAGTAAAGATGATAACAGTTGTGTTAAAAACGACTAGGCGGTACTTAAATAATCGAAAGTTTGATCGAGTGCTCGGATAATCAAAAATCGATTTTATTACATGGTCGAATAATGTCGAAGTTCTACTGTACATTTATCTAAATCAGCGGACGTAATTAATCAAACTTTCAAGTGTTTCGTTTTGCCCGCATTATCGCATATAGCCGTTCTTCCAGCGAGCGCTGATAGAAAACGAGGTACCGGATACTTTTTCAACAACTTTAACAAAAAAAAAAAAAAGTTGATTCTATACTTTGTACTGTAGATTTGAATTTTTTTTTTTTTAATACATTTTACATTTTAATTAGTATTTGAACAAATTAAACTTAGTTAATTAAATCATACTTTCTAGTTAAGGTCGATCTGCATTTAAAAATATTAGTTTAAGAGTACCCACTAGTTTCACACTTTTTTAATAGTCGTCCGTAGAAAGTATCCGGTATCTTAAATTTCTATTTATTTGGCCACATAAAAATAAGAAATACGCAACGAGAATGGAAATGCCACTCGTCGATTCACCACTGAAACTGTTTTTCCTTTTAACACTGCCCACTTTACGGCTACTAGAATACACATCGATCGAGAATGCTAATTACAGTAATTACGCAAACCGGGATTTTTCTCCTTTCTGTTACATCGTTTCTACCTGTGATACACCACCGATCGACTTATCTGTCAACTTTAGAAAAAAAGAAGAAGAAGAAGAAGAGTAGGAGGAGGAGGAGGAGGAGGGGGTGGGGGGTGGGAGGGGAAAAAACGAGCAATCATACGAACGAATCTTTGCGAAACGAGAAGTACTAAGTGTATAGATTTTTCACTCGGATCTCGATCAATTTCTAGTTTGTCAAGTCGAAATATTCAATGAAATATTATCTGTAAATACATGATCATTTTGAAGAAATCATACACACAACATTACGACTCAAAATTCGTATACTATAACATTCTGTTGGACTTTCAACCTAATAATTACTTGTAATTTTCTTAATATATTTCTGATTCTTATTATATCAAGAATTAAGTATTACATGTGTCAATGTTTTAATCGAAAAACTGCATGTCGTATTTAACAATAAATTCTTATTCAATTGCATTATTTCCTATCTTAAATATCTTTATTACTTTAATTTAAAATGTGATTAATATAAGTAGAAAATGTTATACAATATGATTTCTTAAAAATTCAAGTAATTATAGGTAATATTAAAACTATTTATTAACACTTTAACTGCAGGCGAAAAATCGTGTATGTATAACCGAGGTTTAATGTGAGCCAATAAAACAAACACACACAGCCGTTAAAGTGTTAATGTATATCATAAACTATGGATTGATAAATAGGTGTTTTGTTGAAAAAGTTTTACACCTAGAACTTCTCAGAATTTTATTAATCGTTGGATGTTTAAGTTGATGAACCATCAAAGGACATGAAATTGATGTTTTATACGATATGTATCATAGTAACGTTTATGTCTAAGTATTTATATCTATATTTATTTTTAATTCTTTCTCGTGTAAAGTTATTCCTAAATGATCGACCAACGTACTGATTCACTAATACGAAAATTTTAATATCGCTTTATACATTGATATAAGAGACCGACGATAGAAATAAAAAGGAATATTGAATCAAATAGTTGTTCTTTGAACACTTTGAAAACGAACTTCTTATTTTATATTCTAATTAACATTATCTAGTATTTCTTGTACTCGAAAACAGTCGCTTACAATTTTCCATTTATCTCCCATTGCGGTAATCAAAAAGCTTTGGTTGAATGGTTTTGATGATTTATCATCATATTTTACTTGTCCTCCAACTTTTACAAGGAATGTTAGTTGATTTGCCACCTCAGGACCTATTGGCATACATATTAATAACAAAGTATCAAAATTTCTCTATAATAACTAATAAAAAAATCAATCTATGCATGAACTTTAAAATTCATTGATACAACATTTATTATTAGATTTTTATGTTACAAATATAACAAGACCATATGGCTTGTTAAAACCGAGTTTGCTAAAACATTATGATTTAATATATTTCTTTCTAACAGACATAAATAAAACTAATTATTATTTACTATTATAAAGGCTTTTACCTGTTATCGGTTGAGCATCCAAGGCAGATACATTATGATCGGAAGGTGGCAAATCTGTCCAAAATTTCTGTATATTATCTTTGCCTTCGATACCATTGCCATTCCATATTAAAGTAGCAGTATCCAAATACAATCTCGATATAAGCTATAAATAATTACATACAATTAATTAGTTTCGGTTACATAATTTTATTTGTTTCATGAACTAACTACATTTTTAACTGTTCACCTATTTAATAATTAGTAATTTATCTTCTATGTACAGAATTCTTAATTTACTTATTTATATTATATTATATTATATTAATTTCACATATTCGTATCACTCACGTATCTACGTTTGTCCAAACTTTCATAATAAAGCTTTGTAAATTCTTCGGCCGTTCTGCACGCTTGATCAATTTTAGCTTTCAAATCCTGCAGAATAGTATATAATAACACGCTGTATAATTTTTATTCGCGGTAAGAAAAATAATATTACTTAAAATACCTGTTCCATTTTTCTCTCTTCTCAATAGATTTACAAGAAACGTAAACATAACACCTACAAAAAGTAAACAGATTTCATGAATAATAATGAATTAAGAGCAAAAACATTACAGTTTTTGTCCACGGCAGACTTGTTATTGCTTGGTTGATATTTCAACCTTTGTTTAATGCTTCTCTTTCGATTGCATGAGAAATAAAAAATATACTCATTTAATCTTGTGCATGTTGAAATTTAAAAATTGAAATTAATTTTAATTTTATCCAATAAATAATAGTTTAATCCTTATTTAGAAAGAAATTAGCAAGTATGTAAGTATGTACATATACGTGGGTCGTGGACGGCCATCTAGCATCGAACAAGTTGAACTAGTATTGAAGATTGAACTATAGGTTGTTGGCAACCTCGAGTTCTCTTTTTCAACGTCGTAAGTGGCTGTACTCGGTTCTTGTAAGTTTCACAATATTTATAAAGAATTTTAAAACAATTATGCAATATTAAGTTTATATCTCTTTGTACATGTTGTAAGAGAATTATATAAATTATATTAATTACATTTAACTTATTCATTTAAATAAAGGAAGATTATAATTTCGCAAATTTATTTTCGTATATGGAAACACGTGTCATTATATTTCCATATCGTTCATAGGTTCACGTTATAAACAAATTATTAGTTTTTTTTTTCATTTGTATTCGTTAAATTTTATTATAAAAATGTTGCGGTAAGTAACTATGTAAAAAACATTTGTAACTTACATGGATGGATCAATTTTGATTAATGGTGTATATTTCTGTAGTAATATTTCCGTTATTTATCTTATTAGATTATACGTTTTCTAGATTAAAGTATCACTATGACGAATTCGAAGGGTTATCGACGAGGAACAAGGGATTTGTTTTCCCGAAAATTCCGCAAACATGGAACAATACCATTGTCGACATACATGAAAGTATACAAAGTTGGCGATATCGTTGACATAAAAGGCAATGGAGCTGTTCAAAAGGGTATGCCCTATAAAGTTTATCATGGAAAAACTGGACGTGTTTTTAATGTAACTCCCCATGCTCTTGGTGTCATTGTGAACAAAAGAGTACGTGGACGTATCATCGCTAAAAGAATTAACGTACGCATCGAGCATTTGACTCACTCTAAATGCAGAGAAGATTTCTTGAAACGTGTAAAGGAAAATGAAAGGTTACGGAAGGAGGCAAAAGAGAAGAATATTAAGGTTCAACTAAAAAGACAACCGGCAGAACCGATGCAAGCACACATTGTATCAGGACGTGAAAAGCCTGTCTTGCTTGCTCCTATTCCGTATGAATTTATTGCTTAAAATTTAAATAAACACGTGTCAACAAAATTCGTATTTTTATTTGTAAACATATCGTTTATTTTTAAATAAAATAGGTATAGTTATTTTTTACTTTACACGAATAAAAAGTAAATTAATTTCAATTTATATACGTATATAATGTAGTAAATTCTGATAACAATCATTTTATTTTCAATCATACTTTTTTTTTTTTTTTACATACACATAGAATCTGTTAGTGCTTCCAACGTTTCTCAATTACTAGATAAGTTGATCTAAAAATAAAACAAATGATTTGTTTTTTTTTTATAGATAGACTAGTTTCTCGTTAGAATTAAAATAAATAATTCTTCCATAAATCATGACCAACTGCTTTTTTAACAAAGATTGTTGATCTTCGTTAAGACATTACAACATCGGTGAATAACCATCATGAAGTTAATGATTTTCTTCTATATTTCGCAAACAGAATCTAATTAAACCTATTTATATGCACGTTGTTTTTAAAAATAATCCAACATATAACATTCCTAGTCTTATATACCGTACTTTAATAAAATATGAAATTACTATATAGGATTTATTTAATTTAATTACTATATATTTATATTAATTTCTAACTGCAATCTCTTGATTGGTAAAATAGGATGTAACCAGTTTCAGAACTCTTTTGAATATCTGATGTAAGTCCATAAAAGTCTTCTATCGCGGACGCATCAATTTTCTGTAATAAAAACGCAATACGTGTAAATATTCCTATGATAATGAACAAGTAGGTACTTGCGATAGATAACACGTAAGTTCGAAATCTTACATCGACCATATCATCGTCAAAGAGTAACCACAATCCATGACTTTTAACTATAGAAATATAGTGTCCCCGATTAGGCCCACTTCCACAATGTATCACAACTGCGACCAAATCATACAAACGATCTGGGTTCACTGCATCGTCACTCTAAACATTAATTAGAATAAATATTTAAATCGGGATAGACACCTTCATAGAATTATAAATATACATATAATAAATAATTATGAAATAGTAGCGACTTACAGTGTTAAAGAGCCGAAGCTCCAAAGGAAAAACTACTCTGTGAGAAACTTTAATGTGACGATTATATTGTTCCACATATTTAAATCTTTTTAGATGCAATGCCAATATCATTGGTAATTTTTTAACTCTCATTCGTTTCTACAATAATGAGAATATATTAATAAACATCACTTTACCCTTAGAAATTTTCATTAGACGTATACCTGTGCTTCTTGATAACTGCTACAGTGATCACACTTGAACTTGTTATCGCTACAAAGAGTCTCGGTATTGGAAAAACATCTGAGGCAGTGTGTGATAGACGTATTTTGATCTACATCAACCTGTAAGTCAAAAAAATCCTCATCTTTGCTAGATACAGTCTCACAATTAAGGCAGCGAGTTTCTGATGTTAGGATTCCCTGAAATATTTCATGAACCCATGTTGGTTCTGACGGTGAACCAGCATCTCCTGATCCGCATTTTCCACCAGCTGGTTTACTCTGGCTTCTCTCTGCTAATATATAAAGTAAAAGCAATTACTTTTAAAAATATATATCATTATGTATATGTATGTATGTACATTTGGTGGTAGGAGTACAGTAAATTACTTATGGCCAATGGAATAATTATAATAATCACTTTACATCCGTTTCGAAAGATGCGTGAAAACGATACCCTTCTCTGATTATTCTTTATCCCTGAAATCTTAATCCTCGATATCAAGTGTACTTACTACCGCTTTACTATATTTCTCCACCGAGTATAGATACATTTATATAAATGTGCTTACCCAAAATGATCTCATTTATATGATTTATCAAGAAATTCAAAAACTCGTGTGCATCTTGTTGCATATAGTTATCAAATTCCTCTGTAATAAAATTGTATATACTTAATATACATCATATATGAATAGCTTACACGATCATCCATGAACTACTTATACAGTTACAAGTACAATAAAATAGGGCAAACGTTAATAAAAATATGTATTAACAACGCTGACCTTTTTCTTTCCTCAATCTTGCAATAAATTTTTTTGGAGCTATAGACCCAACCTTTTTTTTTTGTGTTGCAATACTGTAAAATAAGTCTGCTAAACATGTTAATAATGTTTCCTTAGTTCTCTTATTTCTAGCTTTATATTCTAAAACTTTTTCTCTAAATGGTCGACAAAAGTACAAAGCTTGTAATACAGAATTACTGTAACAGGTATTTCCAAACTGCAACAATATACAAGTATCGATATTAATTTTCACCTTAAAATTGAACAATAATAATTCCATTCTGATCCTATAATAATAATCCACTTACTAAAATGTAAATTTTATTCTTTGTACTTACATTAACTAAACCAAAATAATGTTCGTTAGGTGGAAATTGATCGGAGCCAATATCTCTCTCTAATTGTGATATATTTGCACCCTAGAATAATGATAAATAATTAGAATTATAAGCTAAATCAGATTCAGAGATTTCTTAAAATCACCATCTACCAAGAGTAGTACGATTATTATACGATTATAAAAGGACACTATTATATGAAAATTACTTTTAGTAATTTTAGTAGATTTGTCAATGTAAAGTATATATTTTATATATAATCGTACTTTTATTATTTTTCTAAAAATGCGATAAGGAATGAATTGTAACGGAAAATGGTTACATATGAAATATGTACGATTACATTAATGTTTACAAAATTGAGAAGGAAATCTATATACCATCCTTACCATCTTATGATTTAATAGCAGAAACTGACCACTGACAAGCATACAGAATAGATTTTAGCAACAACGAAACCTCCATGGTATCTTCAGTTACAGATTTATTGGTTAAATTATTGTAATCTCATAATTCTATGTAACGATAATGACACAGAATAGAATTGCTTGATAAGGTTAATTTTTGCACTATCTACACCAGAAAATGATCACGCGCGATACACGACGATATTTATTACCATTCACTTTATTCAACTTTATTGTAAGATTTATTTATGACTAGGTACATTATTATTATTAGTATTCGCGAACTGACCAAAAACTATCGTGGTTGTGTTGTGTACTCAAAGGCATTGAAAAAGATATCGATGTCAATCGGATCAATCCCCAAATGATTTCACAGAAAAGCTGCCTCCGTGCACGAAATGATGTAGCGATCTTCTGATGAATTATACACACTGCTAGAATTACGTAACCGAAAATAGTGTTGTAAAAGGAATTTTATTTTGTTCGAGGTTAAATAAATTTATATCGGTAAAACTTTTTTTTCCATTAATGGCTTTTCCATTAATGCCAAAAGATATTTCGATACCACAAATTTTATTATTTATAGAATTATCTGATGCTATCTTGTGAATCTAAATTGTGAAAATCATCAACTCTATTGATTCTCGTAGATCTCCAGTTGTACAATTCGGCTGGTGTTGCCACAATACGCGTTCAATTACAATTGTTTAACGTAAAAAGATGCCTTTCACGTCAGAGGGTCGTTCGTGTCGTTCGTGTCGGTCGTGAAGCTTTCCACGATAATATTTTATGGTATGGTATTGATACAGTCGCTATCAAAGCTTAGCCTTTATCAATAGAATAACTATGAAAATATAATAATAGAATAATAGATTAACATAATAATTAGTAATTAAATTTTACAATTAAGAAGATTGTTCGAGCAATTAAGTGAAGCGAAATTATTGTACAATTCGTGGGACAATAAACCTGGTTGGATGTAAACAAAGCTTGTCACGTGATCAAAATTTTAATGGTTCGTTGCACCGATTGCACGGTCTGTATCTATCTGTATCTGTATCTGTATCGTACATATGCCATTCATAACGTTAAACGACTGTCAAATTTATACAGAGCACAGAACTATACAGAGTATCCCGTCAAAAACAAGTGTCCGACATAATTATCGTTGGTGTATTCAATAATATAGAAATGTATTTCAGTATAGCTTGAATGGTTTCAAAGAATGAAAGTCCGTAGTATGTACATACATATGTATAATAATAATTGTGTTGATTTTAAGCAAGTTGGTGTAACTACATTGAACAAAGTTATTTATTTCCTAACTCGATGTTTCATAGTAGAGATTCTACTTAATATTTAAAAGTATGATAACGATATAAAAAATATCAAATACCAATTATTCTTTCCAACTAACTATTTGCCCGATTGGAAAATTGGATAGTTGAGTTTAGGGGAACTTGAAATTTGGAGGAAATTACACATGCCTGAAGATATGGACGCTTTGGACATGGAATTACTTAACAATTCGTTTAAAAAATCAAAATCTTCTACAAGTATTTTCAAAGATTCTAATCTACAATTGGTCGGGGGAATGAAAAAGAAGGTCATATTTGAAGGTCATTTCACATTTGAAATAAAACAAAAAAATAAAGCAGACATTTGTGTTTAAGCATTACTTTACTGTTGCAAGTTTTACGATACAATCTCTTATCGCTACAGAAACACAAATATTTAAGCTATCGTGTGCATACAGTTTTTAGCAATTTGTTAATTTTAATTGTTTATGCAATTTTTTTCTTATATTAGTTTTTATATAATTATTTAAAATTATTGAAAAATATTGTTGATATACAGATGCTAACGAGGATGATTTATCGACTGTCGATTTGCTATCCGACGAGGAAATTTCTTTAAAAGAAAAGAAGAATGTATTTGCGACTGGTAGTAAAAGTAACTTGATGGAAGATTTGTTTAAGATAAAAACACCAGTTACATCCGCAACAAGTATCAAATTAAATAATGAATTGGAATCAAAGTTTCATTTTGAGCACGAAGATGTTTATCGATCGTTTTCACAGAAACCAAGCAGCGATCTGGCTACTACGACTACCTCTGTTTTATTAAAAAGAGAATCATCTATAGAAAAACATGTACAAGAGCAAAAAACTGTATCTGTAAATGATGAGGATATTTTAGCGAAATTAATTGATAAATCAGACGCGGTAAATGATAAATCAAGAAGGTCTGGGTTAAGAGAAAACTTATTTGAAAATAAACCTCTTTCATCTGCTACCATGGATTTAATTATTCCTAAGAATACTAAAAAAGCAGAATCAGAAGTTTCGATTAAAACTGCAGAATTTCCAAATACTGCGCAAAAATCAAAATCACAACCAGTCGATCGATTACCTAAGCTTTCTACAGGAGAGTCTCGTAGAGGTAGAAGGAATACAAAAATCATAAATGATCCTCTTGGTTTACTACCCACTGATTTATTATCCGACCAAAATTTTCAACTGGTAATTACATTTAAATAATTGCATATTTAAAAAAAAGTAATTGCTTTTGATACGTTCTTAGTATCTTCATCTATAAACCAATGTCTGGCGACAAGATGTCTTTCTTCGAATAGAAAATTACTGTTTACATTTAAATAGTTTTTCATTTTATTTTTTATATTTGAAAAAAATTCAGTCATTTTACATAGATAATTCTACGTGTAATATATAGAATATAATTCTATAAATTACAAACTATATCTGGCTCTTTGAATTTTGAATTAAGTTAATATAAGTTAGCATTAATTTTTGTTACATAAATAAGAAATAAATATTTCCGTATTTCACAATTTATTAGTTAACCCTTATAATAAAATTTATGAACATATTTTAACTACGCCTTCCTTTAAATTTTTAAGCTAACGGGTGAAAATGTATCAACCAATAAAGATACTAATCCAAAATTGGAGGAAAATTTACCAGAATGGTTGGGTGGAACAAAGAAAGTAGAGGAAAAGAAACAGGACGAAATACATGAGGGAATACCATTAAAGGATAGATTATCTGATAAAGTTGGAAAAGAATCTGCTTCTAATGAAAATATTAAATCTCAAGATATTAAAAATTCCACGGATGCAGCGACAACCGGTGTAAGTGATTCAGAAGCTGTGTCTGTTCCAGAACATTTCTCATTGTTATTTGGTACACAGTTTAATCAACGAGCTGCAATTATGACTATGCAACAGCAAGAACATGAATTGAGAACAGCAACTGTACTTTCTCAACAAAATGAACAGTTGAGCAAGGTATCGGATGCACAACGTTCCATACTTTGTAATCAAGAAAAACAATTTAATTCATTTCTAAAATTACAACTTGAAAAGCAACTTTTATTGGAAAAACAAATAAAAATGCAACAAGAACGTATTAATCGATACATGCAAGTAAACATTTTTTAAAATTTATCATTTGATTCTTACAAATCAGGAAAATGTTAAATAAGATTAAAATATACTTAACATTTTTCTTTTCAAGACATTAATGGCTCAGCCAATTTCGGTATCAAGTACTACATCTGTTTACACGACATGTAAATCAGAAGAAAGTGAAAAATGTTTAGCGCATGAGAAAGAAGAAATGGAAAGTACAATAAAAATGTTACAAATAGATATATCTAAATTAGAAAGTACATTATCCGCTATAAATGGAAAACATAATAACGAGGTGGCATATCAAGCAGAATTCTATGAGTATGTTTCTAGTATATTTTAAATGTATTGCAAGTATAAAGTAAAATGCAATAAAAAAATTTAACTTTCAGAAGGCAAATTTCGTTTTTAAAAGAAGCAATGTTAAAATTAGAAGAAAGAATGAAACAGGAAGTTGAATTTTTAGAAGCAGATTACATGGTAAAATTAGAAAAATTAAGAAATGAAAAGTTGCAAATAGAAAATTTGTGCAAAGAAGAAATTCATAACTTAAAGGTTAATAGTTCTATAATATACATATTTAAGTAGCATTTTTGATCATTTATATCATTGTATTTTCGATTGTATTATTGACAATAGAAATCGGAGTTCATTATATTATTTTATAACAACATATAGTTCTATTATTATTTAAAATAGTAGAAAATTAATTTAAGTTACTTTTAACATATCTGCATAAGATGATATAAATTTTTTAAAACAATAAATATAAATTTATTTATGTAACTTGAAAATATTTAAATAGAATGAACATGCTCAACGTATAGAAGAATGTAATAAACTACATTTGCAACACATAAAACATATACATAGCGAATATTCTAATATAATAGAAAGTATATGTAAAGCTAAGGAGACAGAAAATCAAATAATAGAAACTGTAACAAGTCGAAAGTTTGATATAGAAGATATGTTGGAAAGAGCTAATATAATTATTGAAAGTATGCAGAAAAACAAAGAAAAAATAGAGGTAAAGAGTAACGAAATAATGGAACGTCGAGAAAATTATTTGAAAACGTATGAAGAAGATATGAAAGGTATTTTTAAGAAGTAACTGTATTAACAGTGTAGTTACAAAAGATACTTAACATTTCTTTGAACGACTATCAGTTTTATTTTATACATATATATGTTATATAATAAATGTTTCTAGCCCAACAGTTTGATTTAAAAAATCAGAATAGTGTTTTGGAAGAACATCGTAATAAATTCGTTGAAATGACAGAGAAATTCAGCACTCGTCTTACTCGGTTTGTAACCGAATTAGAAAAACAAATAACACAGAACAACCAGTCGCAAGAATTGTTTGAAAACAGAGCAGCAAATCTTTTACGAGAAAGAGAATTGTTTGAAGAAAAAGTAAAGTGGGAACGAGATTATTTACAGGTAGAATTGAATTTTTGTCACTGAGAAAAGTTTATAGTAAGCGTTAGTGATATACGTATATGTATCTTGTTTGTTGTGCTTTTATAAAAACATTCATTTTTATTATTCTTACGTAGAACTAATAATTGATATAAGTAGCGATAGAAAATAATGATGCATTCGAAAAGTTGTATTCTATTAATAGGTATACTATGATTGTAGACATTAAAGGAGTCCTGGATGAAAGAACAAGAGAGGCAACTAAAATTACTTGCAGAAGAAAGAGAAACAGTAGCGGCAGAAAAAGCACAGTTAGATATTCTAAGTAGATTAAAAACTAATAGTGGTAATGTTGGAAAAATAGAGGTACAAAAGATTATTGAGTATTATGTAGAATAATAAATGCTATTATATTATGTTCAGAAAATTGTATCTATATATCGATAAGTTTTATAATAAAACAACAATAATAATGATTATTTATACTTTTTTTGCATAGTTGGAAGCTGCTATTAAAACTACGCAAGAAGTAACCGCTTGTGCTAATCAAGAAAAATTAAAATGGCGGGAAAAAATTAATGAACTTGATGCTCGTAAACAGATTTTACAAGACAAAGAAAATCTGCTTATTTTACGTGCCAAGGAGCTGGAAGACCTTACACGAGTAATATTTACCAGATATGTTTATAGTAGTTATAATTACTTAATTAAATTTTCAAAGACTAATGTTATATTATTTTGCTATTATATAGTTAACTTTAATTAAAAAGGAAGAAGCAACAAAAGCTTTGAAAGATGCAAAATATTTAGAGAGGCAACATAAAGAAAGACTTGGTCTGTTGCACATGCAGTTTAAGAGAATAACGGAAAGGGAAAGAAAAGTAAGAAATGAAACATACGATGTTGCAAAGTAAGTATATACATTATATGTTCATATTCACTTAAAGAAATTGGTTTGGAAATTAAAAAAAATATTTCTGAGAACATTATTCGTCTTTAAGTATATTTACTTATACTTAAACATGGCTTTATTTTAAAGAGGAATGATATCAGCGTCTTGTGAAACTGAAAAACCGGAAAGAGATATAAATGTTCCACATAATTTTCATAGCGGTGTATTGCCTTTTTCTGTTATGCACTCAACGTCCAAAATCACTTCAGAATTAATGGTAAGAAAATAACATTTATTTCTCTTTTAATATTCTCAAATTTATTAGATTATTTATTTAAAAATATTGTTTGCAGAAGATCGTAGATCCAAATCTGATTATGTTAAAATTAAACCTTGACGATAATTATGATACGATTACCTAACGATGACATGTAAACTTTTGATTAATATTTTATGAGAAAATGAATATGCCAAATTATGTATAAAATTTAATAATAAAACGTTAAACATGTTAAATTGTACATGAATATTTAGTAAATGAGCGAGTGTAATGATAAAACATAGTTCCCTTATTTGAAACATAGGAGAATATTCTTCAGAATTCCATATCCTCATCTATAAACATGGAATTAAAAATATTCTTACAATGATTACGTATGTCATTAAACATTTCACGAAGAATGAGCATTTTTTTAATATTTAAATGCTTAATTAATGGTATAATAAATTTAGATTTTTATTCGAATAGCCTATTTCAGACGTTTAAAAAGTTTCAGGTAGGAATGATATAATTAAATACTTTTGACTATTTATTTTCATAAAATAGTTACTTAAATTTATCCAGAAATTTCAAGAAAATGTTGAAAGAAAACCAGTTGTAAACTTAGTTATATTATTCTTTAATTAAATTCTTTTTGATAAACTAAACAATATGGAAAATATGTGTACCACTTTTTTATAATAGAATTAAACTTACCATTATCAACCATGTAATACTGCAATACATTTATATTTCTTAGTAATGTATCTACTTCGACAAATAAAGATTTTATTTTAAACAGTTCACTTTTTATATGTTGCGTATAAAATATCTAGAAGAAAAACAGAAAATATTAAACATTGTTTTCTAGTTCGATTAACAAAAAGTAAACTTACAATCTCGTCGATAAGATCCATAGAATTGACATATCTTTTTTTGATACTGTTATCAAAATTGTTATAGACATTCTGGAATTTATTTATGAAGTGAACTACTTCCGAGAACATCACAATTGCACGTCTAAAAGAAGACCTTTTAGAGATTCTAAACAATAAAAAAATAGGAACATTCCTAGCAAACGGACCATTCACCGATCGGTGCGAGTTGTAGGTCATTCGTATTCGTTTGCTAGGAATATATCCAAAAATATATTCTTTAAAACTTAACGTACTTATGATAATTATGTGGAATCGGCAATCCCTCGATATTTTCAGAATTATCAACACACAAATTATATATCGTGTGATTATGTGTTGCTAAACGATCAAGATTGTTACTAATAATTTCTTTACAATCATTTGCCTCGTCTGTAATAAATGTACAATCAGATTTAAATTTCCAAATTATTTAAAATAATATTCTTATGTGTAAAAACAAATACCTTTTACAGTTCTCATAGTGTTCATTATATTATTATATTTTAAAATTTGTTTCCCTTTCATTTCCGCAAAATGTTTTTCACGGATTGCTTTCCTTTTATGCCAAAGATCAATTTGTTCCTCAATATTTTCCATTTTAAAAAACCTTCAAATATAACAAGACGAAATACTATGAAATACAATACACAAATCATAGAACACCATAGGCCACAGAGTCTGTCGTAGTTGTGAATACACCAAACTAATTTCTTATCACTTTAATATTAAGCAAATGTATTCCTAATTATTGCAGCTCGTAAGTTATCTGTTATGAATCTCTAAAAAGAAATTGAATCATTAATAACGTTTTATCAATTTATTTGAAAAGAGGAGAGTTAAATGCCTGATAACGCATACGCACGTCATTTCTACCCTAATAAAAATTTCAATATTGGTGCGTTATCCAACACCAATGTGTTAAAAAGGAAAAGGGAGAGCCCGCGCTGGTGATTTTCTCGTTAGACGGCAAAAATTATGTCGGATCAGTGAATGCCAGAAAAACACCCTCACCTCACCCGTTGACGCCGTTGACGGGAGGTCGGATTTCAGTTGTTAAGAGCGAGAAGGCAAATGTGAACCTTTCTCTCTCGACGACTTCCACCAAGTTGCTGAAGCGCCGAAGCTCACGTATGTAAGTAGGTACATACTTACTTACTTACTTACTTACTTACTTACTTACACGGGGTGTATTTAGTGTGCGTAAGTGGTGGGGCAGTTTCCTCTAAGCTAAGCACCGGTCTGCGTCTGCCGTCTGGTAACGGTAACATTAAATACGTTCGACACTGTTGATGTTATACGAATGTTTGCACTTAGCGAATGTTCTTTCTGATCTTTTTCATTTTTAAGAAAATTGAGTACCTTCCTGGACAAATTTGCAATGCAGAGTGTTATTAATTCTGTAAAAGGCACTGCGCTTGGTGTTGCCGAGTACTTAACCCCAGTGTTAAAGGTATGGTTATGTGGGTGCTTATATGATGCTTAGCGATAGATATCTTAATAAATAATCGGTAAAAGTATGTTAAAACATGACACATAATTTTATGTAATGAATATGTTGTCGTTATTCAGCAATTTAAATTAATCGTTTAAATTGTGCTATTACATGCTTTTGACATTAAACTAAACTATAATGAACTAGATTTTTTTAAACATTAATTGTAATAAATACTATTAAAGGAAAGTAAATTTCGAGAAACTGGAGTATTAACACCAGAGGAGTTTGTAGCAGCAGGTGATCATTTGGTACATCATTGTCCAACGTGGCAGTGGGCTACTGGTGACGAAGATAGAGTGAAATCATATCTTCCCAAAAACAAACAATTTTTATTAACTCGTAATGTTCCTTGTACTCGCAGATGCAAACAGGTACCATTGTTTCCGACACACAACAAAGCAACTGTCAAATCATTTTTAATATAATTTTATATAGTTCAAAGTATGATTTACTACATTCTAAAGTTTGAAAAACTCTTTCTAGCAAATTAATAGTCCTGTAAATAATTTGAACATATATAATGTCTATGTTTAAAATAAATGTGAATAATTTAAAAAAAATACAATTTAAATAATTGTTCTTATCGTCATTTCTACAAAAATGTTTAATCGGAACAGTTTCTTCTTTCATGGGAGCTCTTGTATAGTTAAATTAAAAATATTGTAATTTTGTACATTATTTACTTATACAATATGTAATTACAAATTAATTATAAATAATTTATAATAATACATCGATCAAAATTTCATAGTTATAAATTTATATCATTCGCACCTAATTATATGACATATTCTACAATGAATATTCATTTTTTAAGATCGCTGATTATAAAATTAAAATATTTAGTAAAGATTTATTAAGTAAATGTATAATATTAAATGTAACGTAAGTTTTCTGATTAAATTTTAGATCGAATACAGTAAAGAACAAGAATGCATTATAGAAGCAGATGATCCAGAAGGTGGTTGGGTAGATACACACCATTATGATACTAGCCTTGGTGGAGTCGAAGAAAGAGTAACAGAAATGACTTTGGAAGAAACACAACTTTCTCAGTCAATCGGTACAGGAGAAAATAATGAAGGTGATGACGATAATGAAGATGAAGATGAAGATGCAGCAGATATGGAAGCTTTTGAAGTCAGTGGAATGCTGGATGAACAAGATAAAGTAATTCTTACGTATTAATTGTGTCAAAAGTATATTCCATAAATAGGTAGAGCGATTAGCGTTATAGTATAAATTATGTATACAGAGTTCTTACATACATTATATTATAGTTTGTTTTAAAATTAATAACATATTCTAATATAATAAATATTTAAATTAAGTTTGCAGCAGAAACCACAAAGAAACCTGCCAAGGAAAAATGGGAGCCATTTTCTGAAGGAGAAATCATTCACACACGTACATATGATTTATACATTACATACGATAAATATTATCAAACACCCAGATTGTGGCTTTCAGGATACGATGAGGTTTGTTTTTTCACTTAATAAATTCAGCGGTAATAGCAGTTCATTATATTATTTCATACATAATATATAGTATATATATATATATATATATCAATTATATTGTAATTATTTTTAATACTTAAAGAAGTTTTGAAATTTAACGCAATTTCTTTTTACAAAAGAATCGCAAGCCTCTAACAGTGGAAGAAATGTATGAGGATGTTAGTCAGGATCATGCCAAGAAAACTGTTACAATGGAGATTCATCCCCATATACCTGGACCACCGATGGCCTCTGTTCATCCTTGCAGGTAATTTTAAGCAGTTAAATTGTTTTTAAACTTCTTTGACACGTTTGCTCAACGATTATAAAACATATTATTGGTTCAGTTATGGTCATCGGTATGATGTATAGTAGTGAACGGTGTTAAGTAAATAGTTTGTATTATTATAAGGAATTCTTTTCATTGAAATAAAATTACAGACATGCCGAAGTAATGAAGAAAATTATCGAAACAGTAATGGAAGGTGGCCGTGAACTTGGTGTGCATATGTATTTGATAATATTCCTAAAATTTGTGCAATCTGTAATTCCTACGGTCGAGTACGATTATACACAAAATTTTATGCTAAATGCGTCTGGTTAAGAGCTTTATAAGTTTTTACTGTACCTTGAAGATAATCGTGATTTTAGTTTATAAGCTTATAATAAGTAACAAAATTAAGAGGACTGTGAAATATAGAACGTAATAAACACGTTTAAGTTCTGAAAATTGTAACATATTTATCCTTGCATGATACAATTTGGATATAATATTACATTTTTCTTATTTATTTGCAAAAAATGAATTGCCTCCTTAAAAATTTATTATAATGTCTGAATTAAATAAATACATATTAGCAGTAATATTTTTAATTCAAATTTTATTAAAATTAATTGTTATCTGTTCAACTTTATGTATGTACTTACTTACTTACTTACTTACTTACTTACCTGGGTACTCCAAAATACATAGGAGCTTTCAAATTCTAACACCAGAGTCCGTTACTTTTGTTAATAATAAGATCAATAAGGTGGCGGAACTTAAATGTTCTGTGTTTAAATATCAATCATCGTGTTCAGTGTTTGTAAATGAAGGTTTTGCTCGAAGACATTTTATTTATTTGTAACATATTTAATGTATCGCTACGTGTGCGTGTAATGTGAATTATTAATCAAGCCATTTTATACAACTCTATTTTTCGTAGGTTAAGAAGAAATCTCGACAATAATAGACATTATTTAGTACTCCGAGTTTATACTTTATACTTAAAAAAAAATATTTTAGGAAAAATGTCGACTTTGTATGACCAGATAAAGCTTCTTTACGAACAGTCTTTATATTCGAATGTTATTTCGCTCGTAAGTAAATACAAGAAGCAATTAAAAATATTTTCTTGCCAGTGATGGAAATAAAATTGTACGATATCATAGCTAGAATTCAAATTATGTATAAAAAAATATCAAAACTTTAACGCTAATGCAATTGTTCCTGTACTACAGGCAAATTTAGTATTGTCGCTCAGTGAGCATAATTCTGATTTACTACCTATATATGGAAAGTTCCATATTTACGTTTATTACGCGGATGCTCACTTTTACTTGGGAAAATACAAGCGGGCTGAAGCACTTTATAAAAAATCATTACAATTTCGCAAATGTTTATTAAAATCTAAAGGTGCTACAAAACCTTTGGAAGGTCAGAAGGATCTTTTGACAGATGTCGACATCAAATTTCAAATTCATTTGTGTTTATTAAAATTAAAAAATTCTCAAGAAGCGTTCCAAGTGCTGCAAAGCATTCCTGGTAAACAGAGAACTCCAAAGGTAATCGACACGTTTAAAACTAGATTTTCACTTATGTAATGACCGGATATTTCTATTTTCAAGGTAAATATGGCTCTGGCAAAAATGTTCCAAGAACAAGAAATGGAACGCTCTGCGATTACAACTTATAAAGAAGTTTTAAGGGAATGTCCATTGGCCTTGGAAGCTGCGGAAGGTCTGCTTTCTCTTGGAGTAAAAGGAATCGAAGTGAATTCATTAATTGTAGGTTGTGCATCCAGTCTTTCAAATTTAGACTGGTTGAATACTTGGATCAAAGCTCATGCACATATACACAATAAAGAATATACTTACGCTGTATCGACATTAAGGTCTTTAGACAATGTTAATCTACTAAGAGATAATTTCAATTTATTGACAACAATGGGAGAATGTTACTATTATGCCGGAGATGACAAAAATGCTTTGTTATGCTTACGAAGAGCCAGGATCATTGAACCGGATGTTATGAAAGGGTAATAAAACTATAGAATCATATTACATTTCATTGTATCATATTAATATAATGTTTTTCCAAATAAAACTTTTTCTAATTAAATAATTGTTCTAGCGTATATTAATGAAGTAACAATAAAAAAATATTAGTGCTAATTATTATAATAAATCATTCAATTTAGAAAGGATTATTAAATAAATATTTATAATATTTGTTCCTGTATAATTAGTTTAGTTTATTCAAGTTTACCAAACTAACTAATTAATAACAGAAAATGTCCAAGAGATATCTTTCTAAAATTATTATTATTATGGAATAGGGTTGATATTTATGCAGCAGTATTATACAAAACTCATCATATCGAGGATCTTGAAAGACTGATACCCATAATAACAGGAAGCAATGAATGTACCGGAGAAATATATGTTGCGATGGCGTACTCCCTTTATGCAGCTGGGAAATTTAGCAGAGCAAATACTTTAACAACGCAAGCATTGAACTTAAATTCAAGCGATATAGAAGCAATAATACTTAGAGGAAATATTCTTATTGGGCAGAAGAAGTACAGAGAAGCAATATTCTACTTTAGACATGCCGTACAACTGAAATCGTATCGTTATGAACCTCATAAAGGATTAGTAGATTGCCTTGTTGGACAGCACAGATTACGAGAAGCTCTTAATATTGCAAGTGGATCTTGCAAACAGCTTGGACATACTGCAAGAGTTCTCACGGTATTTAAGTTTAGTATGTAAAGGATAAAGTTAATAACTTTATTTTTTTTTATGCAATTATATGAATAGATTCGAGTGCGAGACACTACATGCGAATAAAGAAAAATTCTTCTACAGCTTTATGCTTCCGTACTTATGAAAGATCCAGTTTCTGTTGGTAAAGCAAAGAATCTCTTGGAAAAGGCATTATTACAAGATGAAGTTTATTTACCTGCTGTTTATTTATTGGCTGAAATATATGAACAAGAAATGAACTTGGAAGCTGCAATCGCATTACTCGAAAGACAGGTGGAAATTCAATCAACGTGCAAATTGCATCAAATGCTTGGAGATCTTTGGGCAAGAGTTCATAACGAGGAGAAAGCTTTGGATCACTATGCCATTGCTTTAAAGTAGGTTTTTATAATACTCTTTCTGGTTGTATTACAATTGCTGAAACATTTTCTGTGATACATATAGTATTTAGTTTTCGACATTTATCTATGAAAATCTAATGTAGAATAGTAAGTGTTCGCATGAATCAACATAATGTTTAAAATTAGTCTAGATCCCAACAATAGAAGAGCATTGGAAGGTATGCACAGACTAGACAACTCTTCGAATAAGCTAGATTCAGCTTATTACATGGCTGTGGGTGAGGAACAAACAGATACAACTTACGATGCCGGCGATGGCTTACCGGATACTGATAATGATGAGGCGCCTGATGAAAGTGAAACCGAAGCCGTATGGTCCGATGTGGATCTCGAGGCAAATAGTCAATAATATGAAAATATTTGTTAAAGAATTACGTTTCAATATAATTAAATCAACATTGTATAATAATTAACTTTTATTTCATATAAATATATTTCTTATGTTTGTTACATAATTACATAATTCTCAAGATATTTGTTCATAATTTTAAGAAAAAGAAAATTAATATTTAAATCAATCTTTTGTGTTTATTCGTCCAAAACGTACAGCAGTTTCATTTTCTATGATATAATTTGTTTTCCGAAATATTGTATACACAGAATTAAAAGTACATACTACAGATAGTTTATTTACACACTATACAGGATTGGAGATTCATGGAATCAATAATACTATTAATGCGCGAATTCAATCAATCGACATACATCGTACATAAGCTAATTTACCTATTTTGAGAAAACAGGAATCTCGCAGAGGACAAGTTCGCATGGTTATTTAATGAGAAATAGGGCCGTACTTGTCATGACTTATTTATAATTTTTTGTATGGGTTTAAATGAATGTCATGTATACGTACGTACCCTTCCTACAGAAAAAAAGAATGTTTGGATTCGATGTATTAGAAAACGCAGAATTCAGTCTTAAAGGTAGGAAGCACGCGTATTTCCTAAATAGCTCGCTTTGGTCTTCGAACTGCGTTCACGTTATGTGTATTTATATGTTTGTACATGTATCTCATCGCATCACCCTTATTTGATAAAGTAGCACTTGTAAGCATCTCAACGAGTCTGTGATCATTTACGATGCAATTGTGATACATATCTGAAGAATTTTCAGGACACGAAAATTAATAAATAGGAATGACCAGAAAAGAGTTGGGCATTAAGTTCAAAAATTACCCGTAGGGCAAAATCAATACATACAATTGATCGCTATAATTATCATTCTTAACAATTCACAAAGAAAAGTTCCTCGTCAAAATGATACACATTATTCTTTGAAAGTTCATCTACATGTATCTCTTTATCCGTGATTTTCTCGCGTGATCTGCTCCTTCCGGATTTCTTCAAACGTTTTTACCTGCGTTCCTGACCCTTCCGTGAAAGAAGTGATCGAAGAAGAAAACGAGGAAGAAGTGGAAGGGGAAGGGGAAGAAGAAGAAAAAGATAAAGAAGATGAGGATGAAGAGGAAGATGATGGATCATCGCTAATAATCGAAGTGACACCAGGACCGGGAGAGGGACTATCTACAGGACGAAAGGAGAAACCAGGAGAATCGAGACTGGAACACGATTCCGAAGTCCCGACTGAACTAATAGTTGGATGGAGACTAGATATTGCCACATCCAATCTGAATAAAAAAACAAAATACATACATACATGGACACAGATGATTTAAAAAATGTTTATTGTTGTAAGTAACAAAGTTACCTAGACGTGGCTGAAGTCAGTAGACCAGAGGTACGTTTCGTGGGTGGCTGTAATTGATGATCCATTCCAGAGTCATCCAATTCAAATTTTCTCTTTACCGAAGCTAAACAACTTGGTCGTATTGCAATAGGACTTAAACTCCGTCTGAATACCAGATTAAATTTCCAAAGAATTTAGCTAATACGGATTCTGTATGTTGTTTTTATATATATAAATAAATTTACCTTGTGGCAAATGCTTTCCTGGTAGGGCTAGGTGATAAGTTATTCTTCCAAGCAACTGCATGAACACCAGGCGAATAACATTGTCTCGGACCAATATTAGATCTTGTTGGCGATGGAGACGAATATGTAGTTTGACCACTTACAGATAAATTGATACTGAGTGGATCAAGAACTCGTTTTGTAATTGGCCGTGATTCTATTTTAAATTGTAGCGAAGCTGATTCTGAATCTTTGAAGGACAGTCCTTCTGCTTCGATCGTGAGATCCTCCCAAGATTGAGATATTTGCATGGCACTGTGTATCTCTTTCTCATGCGCCGCTTCGCGACCAGCAACACCGATGCACTCCTCTTGCCTTAACTGACTTACACGCGGAGTTAGCCTAGGAACAGTTCCAGAACTCTACAAAAATAAATATCTCACGGTTTTATAAACAATAAATGATACAAAATATAAACAAATATATATATATATATATATATATATATATAGAGAGAAAAGTTTTGTTCTTTACTTAGTAATATTTTATCTATTTTCTTTATACTTTGTTGTTTATATTCAATTTTCTGATCGATTATTTCATAATAATTTTGAAATATTTAAATATACCTAGATATTATACATGTACAAAAAGGTATACTCTTACACTAGTGCTGAAGCGTCGTATGCGAGGTGAATTTGAAAATATATTAAAATTCGATGGAACATCCCTAAAAACAATTAAAATCAATATTTTTCTGAAAACTATTGCAAATATTTTGGTTAATCAAATATAATAACTAACTTTTACATACAGATTACATAGAGTCATTAATCAACTTTGTACATATTGATCGTGGAGTCGATGTAATCATTTCTATTGACTTGTACGGGTATAATAGTCAAACGGTTGACAATAAATACCTTGGTGCAGTGGCGGAAGGTGAGGTCACAGACATTGTCGCAGTAATCTTGTTGATCATGGGTGCGCTACTAGATCGTTTCAAACTGACTATCGTGCAGTCAACATCCATGATCCTCCAGACTAGATATCTGTCGATGCATCTGTGTGGAAACACTATTCAAGGAATTGAAGTACATTGGAGCGTACACAACAGTGCAGTGTTCACTAAGCAGACGAATAATTAATTCTTGGCACAAGATAAACGTATGTCTTTTACTGTTGTTCCAAGATTCGGTAATAGCAAATCCTGTCTTTTGGCACGAGAACTGAGAGGATGCCGCATTTGAGCTTTCATTTAAACTCTGCCGCTCTGATTTTTCTTTCACAAATTGACACGCTGTTGGCGCAAGATCTTTACACTCGATCTTCAGCTCCGTAAAGTGAAATAGCAAATTAAAAAAATTATCGAACAATTACTGTCAAATCCGAAGTATACATAGTAGGGGAATGAAACACCAAGGTACAGAAACTGATTCGTGTGTGTTCTTAATTTCTAGTTCCTATTTGAACCACCGTGTAGAAACCGGGTTAGAAATCGCAACTTGGTTTTATTTCGTAACTCTTGATTTTCCAACGATATCACTGACTGTAAGCAAGTTGTAATTTGTCCGAATTACTGTCGAACCCCTATCGTTTCTTATCGTAAAGCACGCGTATGTCGAACCTGGCTCCGATCCGATCCCTCTGCTTTCTTAGGAAAAATCTTTCTTAATTAAGAAGCACACTAAATTTGTTGGTAGCCTTGTGACTTTGTCAAGTCCATGGACCTAAGAATACATGAACGGATCGTAAAACTTAGTTACCGTATAAATGATCGAAAAGGGGAAAGCAGGGAAAAGAATTGTAATATATCTTCAATGATCCTTTTATAAAATCATTGTCCCTCACTCTCTCTCTCTCTTTCTTTCTTTAAAAATGGCGCAACATTTGAGTATTTTCAATAATACTGCAAACATTCAAATGATTCGAAATGTTTTATTATTACGAACGAAACAATTTGTATATAATGATACGTTTCTCTTAAATTAAATAATTATTTTGTTAAAAAATAATGCAAAGAATATAATCATTCTTCTTGCTCTTGCTATGAATTTGTATGATCCATGGTACGAAACAAGGGTGTCCTTATGATGGACGCCTTTTACTTATTACGATTTACAATAAAACAAACTTTGTATTCAAATTTTATTTAATCGAATTTCCACTTCGACTGCATTATAAAAATTTAAATACATGTTTAGCCTTAATTTCATTCAACTTAAACGAATTAAAGGAATTTTCTCGTAAATAAATTTTATTTATATCATAATTTGCGAAAATAATTACTTATTGTATTGTTATACATATAAATTTAATATTTAATTATTGAAATTATAATTTTAAAAATATTTCTTATCGATACAATAATATCAACGAACAATAACATCTGTTTAATTTATATTTAAAAAGTAACCGTAATCCCATACATTTTTAAGTAAATGTAATTTCGAATATATTACTAAATTATACTTTAAGGTGTGGAAAGGAAAGGAATCATTTGTGTTTTATTTGTACTTTTGATTTTACACAGCATTGTTTATTTTCTTTCCCAATTCTTAAATTAGGATGGAAAATTAAAAATGTCCTTGCGCAATGTGAAAAGATTTTATTGCAGTTTCGCTCGCACGGACGACTCTATCTCGTACGCATCGTCTCAACTAAAATCTGATATCCATAGCAGGATTGGATTTATAATAAAACACATATGCGAAACATGGAAACGAGAGTATGTGTTCAACATTCATAGAGATGCAAAAACGCATGCTTTATAACCATAGTAATTAACATTTGGTAGAAATAAAAATGTCATTGGATTTTTCATTAAAATTAATCTATCCTATATCTACATCTGTATATTGCATATTCAAATTAGTATCTATTATTTGGAAAAGTTCAAATGGCTGTGGTATTCTACCAGTCTCAAGTTTGGACCATACAGGAACATCTAAAATATAAATTACATATTTTATATAACCGTAATTATCATTGTCGTAAAGCAAAATATTGTTTACCATTGAAATGTATTTCGAATGCTCCTGATGATATGATATGTCCTTCTATTACATTACAAATGAAAAATATCACCATACACGAATAGAATCGATTGTCTATGCACCATTGCCAAAGGAATGGCAGTGGTTGTCCCAGATGAAATCCACTTATTATTAGAGCTATTAGTGAAATTTTAGCAAGACCCTAAACAAGAACAATTTATATATTGACAATTATTGTATATTAGATATAGCAAGTAGAAAAAGAATATAGAAAATAAATAGACGCCTGGTAGTGAACTATATTCATAGAAATAATTCGCTATAAAAAATCATTGTTATTTTCGAAATTCTTGTCAAGAATTCCAGAAGCTAAATCATTTCTAAAATACATTTATCGAATAATTTTATAATTTGAAACGACAAATAATTATGTTATAAGAATAAAGGTTGCTGTTTCATAGAGATAATGTTAGCAAATTTGTCAATTAATGTATTTTAGGTATGAGCTATGCGCTTGTAGAATTCTTAATGAAAGTTTTGGAAGCATAATAAATGTTCCTGATACAAAATCAGTCCTACAAGCTATTAAATAATCGTTTAAATAATATAATAGTTACTAGTATTTTAGCAATGAGCATATTATATCCAGGGGGATTATAGTTTTCTCCATCAATTTGTAATTCTGGATATTTTTGTCGTAGAACACTGACATATTCTTCAAAGATTTTTCTATATCCGCAGGAATAACTGAAAAGGAAAAGAATAAAAATTTTTAATATACAATTAATCGACATACCTAATACAGTTCCACATACATATAAGCAAATAAAATCGAAGTGTATGTACCAAATACTAAACTAAAAGCAGTTATTTTTTAATAACAGAAGTGTTTTAAAACTCACCAATAAAAGAATTTTAACGTTGGTCCTGTTTTTGTGCCGAGTTTGGTTAATGAAACTTGATTGTCATCAGCTTTGGTGCTCAGTGCACAAAAAACGATGTAAAAACACAGAGTTAATTTCATAAGACGCATCATTCTTTACGTCATTGAAATTACATCAAACATATAAATTTAAAATTATAACTAAAATGGTTAATTTAATTTATGTCGTACAAGAAACGGCAACCTGCACTTTTCTGCATGTACCTACAACGCTTCCATTCGCTATCTGCTGCTAATGCTGGCAAGCTAAGCTAAGCAGAAGCAGAAGCAGAAGCAGAGAGCAGAGAGCAGTTCCGAGTTCCGAGTTCCGAATTGAACCGACCTGAGCCGAATCGAATGAAACAAAGCTAATTGCCGATATGTACCGATGATTATCAAACTTATTAAAATAAATGAATTTTAATAAATAATAAATAAAAATTTAGTTTAATTATTACAGTATTGATCATAGATATCTAATTTCTAATAGAATTTTGATCATAGAATAAAATTAAAAATTTATAATTTTCTTTTTTAAATTCTATCAATTTTCAAAACAAGATAACATGAAAATTTAACATGAAAAACAAGATAATTTTCGATATTTTCCATATACATATACTTATTAATAAAATCAATGTAAACAACAGATTGGGAAGGAAATAGAATCCTTTCATATGTTGGATCAATTACTTCAGTTAGTGTTGAACTAGAGTTGAAATAATATACACAAGATTATGATTTGCTATAATTTTTATTTAAAAAGTTTTGTACTAAACACACATACATATAAGTATCACAATTCTAGATTAGCTAGCGGAACGTAAGATGTACGTAGAACGATACGCTTAAAGTAAAGACGATATTGATCAATTATTTGCTACATTTTGAGGGATCATATTTGTAATGACGGTACACAATGATGTGAAGTAGAACAGGAGGCACCATTTGGCTATTATTTTCAAAAAGAATCTATTTGTAACAAACGCCTCCAAACACTTTCTATCAATCGAAGAGATAACTTTTTCTTTAGAAGAGATAACTTTTTCTGTTTGTAAATAAATACTGCGAGTATTTCTATCTCGCAAATAAAATACTTTTCAAATATTAATGCGTAAATGCAAAAAAAAGGAAAGCTCAAAACTGAAGCTCCATGAGGTAAAGCAAGGTGCACAACATAGTAACTCTTTATGCACTGATAAGGAACATCCATGAATTGTTCCTTCCCGATTTTAACGAAATTTTATAGATTTGTTGAACAGCCAAATATAAAAGGTACAGCAACTGAAATTAACGCATGAAACCACCTTCCAAAGTTTCAATAGTTTTATGCTATCTTCAAAACTATTGGCTACAAAATTGGGAACTCTTTTAAACAAATTATAAAGATAACATGGTAGAGAGACGTCGATGAAGAAATTAATAATAGATATTTCAAAAATCACTTTTACCACATTTATTTTCAACATTTCTCTAAAAGTCGGTGTTGTAGTGAATTATTTTTATTTTACACTAGCATTATACATACTTACATACATATGTATATGTACCGATGCTTAAATAAGTATTTATAGAAATCTCCTCCGGGTAATAGATTTGTTAAGCTTGTATGCATAACACGGATGGCAATATTTACAAGTGATTTTTACATTTCTTATTCATTTTTTTTCATTGTTGTACATATCATACTTTTTTTTTCTTTTGTAAAAAAACCATAGAAAATTTGTTTAGATTTTCTTTTATAATCAATTGTTTTTAAGATAGCATTATAAGAGTAGAACTTTGAAGAGCAATTACCACTGGTACAATACACATTTTATGTTTCATCTTCGGCCGCTCTACAAACCTACAAAATTTCCGTATCTTCTTTCTGAGGAGAGTAGAGCGGATATCTTCACGTGCATAGACTTATTAGGTTGCTTTCTTTTTTACGATTTAGCATACATCTTTGCAAATAGAATATACCACCTTCCAAACTTACTGTGGACTCTCATAAATACAAATACTTGTTACTCTTAGTACTTAGTAACTTAGAGCAATCTTTCTTCAAAGAATACTGTGCAACTTTTTGAGAGGCCATTCTGGCAGCAATATGTCCATGTAAACTCAGAAGCCGAATACTTTTGCAGAGGAAAAACGGCCTTCTTTTTAGTTTCATAATTGACTTGGGTTGGTTTTAGAACTTGAAGCCGTCATAAATCTGGAAATCTAAAAAGTAAATCAAATTATAAAGGGAAATTATGGAAGTTCCTTAAACTTACCTCATAGGATCCTCAAAATAATCTAATGGTATTTGAAATAATTGTGGGTCTATATCACTGCGAAAGGCAAATTCCTGAAAAGTGATTTTTGCTGTCACTGTTGGTAAAATAGGTATATCAATTTTTACGGGAAATCCAGGTGGCAATTTCATAAGGACAAACTGTCGCAATTTGCTAAAGTGCTTGAATGGTGCAATTACTTCCAAAACATTGAGTAGCATATCGACAGTCAATGGAAAATCTGGACTCATGGCAACTGTTGCTTTAAATGATTTACTGCTTTCCTTATAAACAAGATTTCTTCCTAGAAGTGGACATTGACCCGGTTGAGCCATGATATACTCTTCCCAAGTAATGTTTGATTCTGGTGGTGGATTTAGAGAAGCTCTTCTAACATGAGGCTAAAAAGTTGATTAATTAGTATAGAAAAGTAGAACAAGATTCTTTTCTTTTCTTTACCTCGCCGTTCGCAAATCCTTGCGAGTTCCCTTTAGTTAAAGACTCCATAATGGCCTTATTTTTTTGCAAATCTTCTTCGCTTAAATGTTCTCGTCGTTTTCTACTTTCCAACACCATTCCATTGATTTGGTAAAAGTCTGCATGGAAAGGTCCTACCATCTCCTTCGTTAAACATTTTATATAAATCTCGAGAAAATTTTTAAGAAAGCAAATAAGATATAGAAGAATTGTGAACAAAACGTAACAATGTTTATGTCTTACTCTTTTGTCTTCGCGAAATATCCATCCTGTCTGAGCTCTTGAAAATGTAATACCTTTTGTTGACATTTGTGCTGCCATAATATCACTCGACATAAGAATATCAACTTCGTCTTCTATTTCCAATTCTGTTTCCTACGATAAAGAAGTAAGTAGTGATAAATTTATATTTCGCAAATAATAATGAAAATTACATAATTGCAAGTATCGAATAACGATAACGAAGAGAAAGGAATAATGAAGTAAATAGACCTCGTATCTCACTCTTTGAAAAAGTTTAGCTTTGTTGTCAAGTACTGTCAATGATTTTCTCGGTTTTTGATCACCATTAAAAATGAAGGATATGTCGCCTCTTTCCCATCTCATATCATTAAAATCTACTAGCGTAGTATCCATTCTAATGGATGCCCCGCTTTTGTGTATCTTACAAACATCAGAAGGAAGTACACGAGAAACAAGTGGTACTGAAAAATCAAAAAAATTTATGAACCACTATCGTAATTCTGAGTGGCCCTAATTAAATATAAAATCGATTAGGATGATTAGTAATCAATTATTACCCCAACTTTGAAAATCCCATTTTAATTCCATGTAGAAATCACCCATCTGTCGCAATGTCGCAACTAAATTTGGCCTTCTTTCTTCCATTTGTTCTCTAGCTTGTTGTTTTAGTTTTCGCACCAACGATGATACTGCGAAAGACATAAAATTGATGATAATGTTATTTTTCTGTGTTATAAGAAGTTTGCCAATTATTTCTACAGACTGGTTTGTCTATCTCCATAACTGATCGCTTCTGCAAGTGGACTCCATCCGGCCAAATTTTTTACTTTTACAGGTGCCCCGTGTGCAAGTAACAATTGGACTGATTCTGAAAAATTGTTTCTAGTTTAATACATTTATTTTTGTTTAAATATAAAATATTAAATGGTTAAAACATATCCTGTCACCTTTCCTTCCTAACATAACGGCTAAATGCAAAGGTGTATTTCCTAAGGAATAAAATTTAATTTATTATTGCCGAACTGTATCTTTGATTGTGATTAATTATCAATGCGCGTATCATCTATACCAGCCCAAAACTTATAATATTAATGTTAACCTTGTTTATCCTTCTCCGCAATATCGTAAGTTCTAATCAAAGAACTTAAAGTTTTAACGTCTCCTTGAAATATACATTTGTGTAAAGGATATTTTTCACTTTCTGAGTTTTCTGCCATGGCCATTTACCCTTGTTGGGAAAATTATAACAGCAGTGGAACTGATCCCTTTCTTTATCTGATCGAATCCCTTTTGATATAATAGTAATTGTTTTGTATTCCATTTCCAAAAAGTGACATATTATATGGAATAGTCATACTAAGACTCTCATTCCATGCGAGCCACTTATAAGCGAAAACTCATTATTTAAAAACTTGCTCCTAACTATTAGCAACATCAATGAATGAATATTCCTTATGTTCTACTAAACATTACAATTTTTCAAGTGACTTGAAAAATTTTTACATTTAAAAATAATGCTGCTTTTTACATTATTATTGTTGTTTTTGTGGCGTTGTCAGTTCTGCCGCTATTGTTTTTAATCGTATCGTGCTAGGTGGTCGTTCTTGTAATCAAAGTGGTTAGTCACCTCGCTGCTACTCTTTTTATTCAATATCTCTTTGCAACAATCATGAGGTATACATTCGTAAATGTAGGTTTTTGATCATTTCCAGTCTATTTTAATATTACTTATTTTACATTATACAAACATATACCGCACTAGTTGTATACCACATAATAGGACGGTACTGCACCATGTACATATATGTATCCATGTGTTTCATCTGCATACCATGGCATCATACCCGTACCGGCCGTACGCCGTACTTACCTATATCTATATTGCGTTCAATCGGTTCAATTCAAAGAGGACTACATGTAAACAAAACCACATGATTGCAAGAAAATCTCATTGGTCCACTGTGTCTCTGGCCAGGAATGCACTGCACCGTAGAATGGTAGAATAGCAGTACAATGTATTAGAAAATCGGCCTGCTGCAGTCACGTGCTTTTGTTTTCATAAAATTACAGAAAATTTAGTTTACACTGTACCGCTCCATTGTACCGTATTCATTTCTGATGATACGCAGACTAAAATAGTGCGCACTAATAATAAGCGTGTAATAATTCATTTACGTTTACATCAGGTCTTCCGAGTCTATACAAAATATGAATATTGACAGAAATAAAGTAGTAAGTAAGTACTACTTGAGTCGCTCGAGTGTTGCAAGTGCACAACGTTTGCTCGAAAACATGAAAATTAATATGGAAATATACGTTTTGTGTCTATTTAATGCGTTATTCGGTCTTGAAAATTAATCATGATTATACAAAAAGATATTTACGACAATTATAAGATACGAACGAATAAATCTAACCTTAATTCGGTTGTTTTTAAAATACATGAGTAATTACAACACTTAAAAAGTATTTGCTACGATGAACTAAAGGTGAAAATTACTATTGGTAATTAGAATTTATTTTAAACTCAAAATTGTTTATTTGTCGTCATTATTTTATAAATAAAATCAGATTGATCCAAATCATTATAAATTAAAAGCAACAGCCTGGGTTGGTTTGGTTTGGTTTTATTTCTAAGATAATAAAAAGTTAATAACTGTAGCTTGCTAAGAACTATTTACAATTAGTAATTTAGTTTTTGTATTTCTGGTTTCCAGTATCAAGAACATAGATCAGCGCAAGGTTTACTAAATTAAATACGTACTTTAATCAAAAAATGTATTTTACAACTATTTTTACAATCATAACTTACCCGATATTATACAAATATTAATATTTGAACACAGAAAGTTAACACTATTGAAAAATAAAAGTTCTATACTCAACATATAACTGTAGCTGTATTAATTAAAATTTTGCGTAATGATATTTTTCTAAGAAACTAAGAAAATAAGAATAATTATGAAAGACTACTGCGATAACCAGAATTTGTTTCTTCATGATCGATATTCACTGCTTCTGTAACTGTTTATGGAGGTGGAGATTCTAACGAAACTACAGAATCATTGGATATTGACTGTTTTTTTTTGTGCACTGGAAATTTAGTTACAGTTTTATCGTTTATCTGAGCAGGGCATTCAAAATGGACGCAGTGAAAAACCTAAAAAAAAAAAAAAAAATTTTAAGTTCCTACTTATATCTTTAGATCGATATAAAATGTATTTTAAGTTTATAAATGATTTAATTTTCTAGTAATCTTATATGTATAAGAAGTACATGCCATGTGTACATTCAACAGTATTTATAAATAATAACCTCATTTGCTGTATTGTGTGTTCCAACAATACGTATAAAGACGACGGGTCGGGGTGGTTCAAAATATATAGTTTGCCAAGAACGACAAGCTTCTCTGGTTTTATCAGCAACCTGAACCCAATTCAAAGAATTATCAGACACTTCTATGTAGTAAGAGTATGTACGATTGTCGCAATCCCAAAGCAATAATCTATACAATAAATGAATAATTATCAGAAAACTTTCTTCCAACCGCATCAATTCAATAATCGTGATAATTAAATGGTATACCGCATAGAATCTATAATATACGGTTGTCCAAGTTGTATTGAAATAGAACCAGAACCAAGTTGATGACACGTGTACCCACTATCCCAGGTATAATTTGATGTATCGCCATTTAATAATGTGTTCCGAGATCTAAATTCAAATATATAATTTTTTATAAAAGAAATATGAAATGTAATTCAGAACATATGTACCTGCAAACACCTTCGGTAAGAGTGGCACTATGATCCGTGGTAGCGACATTTCGTGTTGGAACAACAAAACCATTACAGAGTTTCTCATTATGATTTGTATAATAAGCTTCAAAACTCACAACATGGAAAATCTTTAAAAATAGAAGTTATGAAAAATGAGAATCAAAGGACAAAAGTGTTTTTTGAATCAAAATTTCGTTCTAGTACCTTGTTTACAGTATTATTTGTGCCAACGATACGAATATAAAGAACTACTCTTGGCTTAAAGTATAAGTATTGCCAACTACGACAAAAGTATTCTGTGTGATCAATAACTCGAACCCAATCTCTTTGATCCGTAGACACCTATCAAAGAAATTAAAAGTAATTTTAACAGAAATAATTACATATAAAAATTAAGCATTTGATATTTTAATTTTTTAACATACTTCTAAATAGTAAGAATATGAGCGCAAATCTTTATCCCAAAGTAGCATCTTGACATGATTAATTATACATTGAGTTCCTAATTTGATCAAAATACCATGCTCCTGTGTCTCTGTAATGGTGTGTCTGGTATACCTGACAAAAAGAAAAGTTTACTTAAACGAATAATCTTGAAAATAAATTCAATAATTTACCCTCGCTCCATATCATAATTGTTTGTATCTCCATCTAACAGGTGACAGCGCATTTCACCCTGTAGAACTTCAGCACCATGCGTAGGATGGGCAACATTTTCATCAATAAATAATCGACCACGATAATTAAGATCTGAATCCCGTACTTGCGTCCTTGCAGCTATTGCGTCTAAGATTACTTCAGGAGAAACTAATCCAGTCAGTCGAACAATACGCAAAAGATCCGTGATAGGAATCAAGCTTAATCGTACATTATCTATAGAATTAATTATATTATTTTCACGAAATTACAATAATTCCATTCTTTAAAAACTAATTTGAACATATACTATTAAATGATCATTTTATTTGATTTTACTTTTTTTTTTTTACATTTACCTACCTAAGACACTTTTGTGATCAACGTCAGGATTTGCCTGCACCCATGATCTTACAGCTAAAAAGATATCAATCTCTGGTGCATAAAAGGAATCTTTCGAAAGAAGTTCATTCAAAGCAGTAGCACTTAATTGCAAAAAGCTCTCGTGCTGTATCACTTCGCAAGCATGTTTGTCCATGTAGTCATGACAAACCTGGAATAGATTAATTCCTCTATGTTCAAACATTCTTTTAGATGTCACTTTGACATCATGCTCATACCGTGGTAAGAAATTTTAGTTGGTAAAGTAGCGCTGCATCAAATATGAGGCAGATATTTTTTATACTCAATATGTCTCTGAGATAATCTGATATAGAGGCTACCAATTCTGAAAACCCATAGAGATGTGCTAATCCAAGAATATCTAAAACCACCTACGAACAATAACAGTTTATGAAACAATGAAATTTTAATCTAAACGAAAGATAAAAGTAAAGAGATATACCTCGTCCTGTCTGTCTGTTAAAGACGTACGTCCTGTATATATGTATTCAAGTAAAGCTTTGAATGCAGTTAAATTAGCATTCTTCAACACAATTTCACGTTGCGTCGATTCCTTTAATCCGCCAAAGAGAAGAGCTCTAAAATATTCGCTACGTGCTGCTAATATAACCTTATGACCATTTAATCTTTGACCACCAACAATTAAAGTCACATCTGAATAGTCATCTGAGAGATAGAGAGCACCAATATCTTCAGACAGGTAACCAATATGCTCTATGTCACCGGAAGGTGGGTTTAACTGATGATGAGAACTCATTTTTTTACGTCTTGATTCGTTTTGCACAATACCGCTCACAATTTCTTTATTTATCCTCCTTTCTAAAAGATTACTTTTCTTGATCTACACATTTTGTCAACATCCAATGACATTCTTAGCACTTTATTTAGCAGATTTCAATACATTCGGAAATGTTTTCTTTTTTTTCAATATTTATTTATTCGCAGGAACCAAAACGTGGAAGTACTTCGGTTCCATAAATACTTAGCAACTACCGGATAATAAAAAATAAGGTAACTTTCAGTTTTTAAACTCTATATTTTAGTTTCACTCATATTTTTATACTGTTCTACAATTTCACTTACATATTGTACGCTTAATCTTCGCTAATTTTCACTACCATTAACTTACTTAAACTTAAATAAATCATAAAGGAAGTAGAATAAATAGAAAAATAAGGATGTTTTGACTTTGCAAACTGCATTTACTCTATGCCCAACAATCTTCGCGTCAATTCCTATAGTTAACGTATAATCATCATATAATATAAATATCATAGAATCATGGATCTACAAAAGTGAAGAAGGCGTTACCAATTATAATTAGTGCAACAAGAAGAAAGGAGAAATTTTACTATCAAAAGAGAGATAGAACATGAAAAAGAATGTATGTGGTTTAAAATATTATCTAAAAAACGAACAAATAGGTATACTAAACTTTATATTTACTTAAAAATAAGCTGCATGTAAATAAAACTATAAATGCGACAGGTTTGTACCGAAGAAAAGATCTTCGAGTAGATGGTCACAATAGAATATTGGTACACAAATTTCTAGATATATACGTATAAGTTATAATAATATTTGTTTAGGAAAAATAGTGCTGCGTTTAATTAAATGTCGCGGGTCTGTATCATGGAGTATTGAAAATGGCTGAATCTGTTGCAAGGCGTAAATTCTTCCGATTTATGGAATGGCATTGGTCGTTTTAATATTGAAAACAAAACTGATGGCCTTTTAGTAAATTGTTCTTGGACGTGATACAATTGTTGAAACGAAAATAGTATTACGAGCGTCAAAGTCAAGTGGGTTTCGATCAAATTTATTTGTCAACAATTATTAAATAATTTTTCATCACAAAAATATGAACTGTAATATAATCGTCGATTTTGCTTGTTCAATGTACTTACTTTATAGATGCAATTTTTGAAAATTACCTCTCATTTGGGAACACTATGTACTTACTATAGTAGCTCTATCTATTGCAAACGAGCGGTTCAATGGTTCAGAGAAGAAAGATACAAGTACCATATTCCATCCATATACATATTGTGTTGATTGGGGAAGGCTGTGTGCGGCCGGGTGTTTTGTGGATAATCCACTACTTTCATATTTCTACAATTTATTTAAATACGAATGCCAGAGAAGAGAATAAATATAATTTCGAAAATATTCTCTTAAAAAAATAAGCTACGATGACGAAAGGTATCACGCTGTTTCATTAATAACCGCGGTACTATAAATACTAGTTGTATAGGTTAAGTTGTTTAATGATACGCGATATGAATACTAGTTGTACAGTTTAATTGTTTTGTTATTTAGTGTATGTTTTTGGCGGAAGTACATGATATTTGTGTATTGGAACGAGTTTTTCCACAATTTCAATGACTTGAGAATATTTTTAGCAATAAAAATGAATTTACTACCTTGGTGTAATCATTCAAGTAGTGTGAAATGTTTTTTTGATAAATTTTTTAATTACTAATAAAAATACTGATTTCAGTGTCTGAATATTTTGTTGTCGCTATTATTTCAGGTGCAATTAGTACATTTGAAACAGTACAAAAATAAAATAATAGAGATTTTCATTGTAATAGCTTATTAAATTTTATAGCAAGTTGTAAATTATTTGTTATAGATGAATCTATGGAAAAAAAATCAGTTGAAAATAATGACACTGATAAGAAGGCTGCATCTGAAACAGGTCCAGATCCATCAGCACCGATAACAAGAAGAGGCGTATTAACATCATTCTTGACTGGAAAGCCAATGGAAATACCAGAACAAGATATTGTAATGATTCGATGATATCTACTGTGATTATATTTATTCTAATATAAGTAATGGTGGTAATGATGTAATTTTTGTTTTTAATAGTTAGGTAAATGCAGATTTGTATCAGAGTTTGAAAAGTTAAATCGTATAGGGGAAGGTACATATGGAATTGTGTATAGAGCAAGAGACACCAAAAATGACAAAGTTGTAGCATTGAAGAAAGTTCGGATGGAACATGAAAAAGATGGACTGCCAGTCAGTGGTCTCAGAGAAATATCTGTTCTTTTATCTTGTCGTCATGAAAACATTGTACATTTAAGAGAAGTGGTAGTGGGAAGAAGTCTAGAAAGCATATTCCTCGCAATGGAATATTGCGAACAAGACTTAGCAAGTTTATTGGATAACATGCAAGCTCCATTTTCAGAAAGTCAAGTCAAGTGTATCGTTTTACAAGTGTTAAAGGGTTTACGTTATCTGCATCATAATTTTATTGTACACAGAGACTTGAAAGTTTCAAATCTTCTTATGACAGATAAAGGGTGTGTAAAAATTGCCGATTTTGGATTAGCTAGGTGGTTTGGTTTGCCTTTAAAACCAATGACACCTAGGGTAGTAACATTATGGTATAGAGCCCCTGAATTATTGTTACAAGCTAAAACTCAAACAACTTCCGTAGATATGTGGGCTGCTGGTTGCATTCTAGGTGTAGTATTCTTACTTTTCTTTGGGATATTGTTCCGTATAGTATCCACAGTCGATTGACATGAAATTTGAAGGCGATGAAGGGAAGGGGGGTCGAATGCCAAACATAAAATTGTAGCGTCTTGGGAATTAAATAGTCGTCTAGTGTTGCAATGAAAAATAGCCCCGTCTAATTTCGTATCCCGAAAACTATTAATTCCCAAAGCCAAAATTTTATATTTGGCATGAATTCTCCCTCATCTCAAAGCCCCTGTAAATTTTCTATCGTCGGCATCGGATGCCATTCGGGAGAATAGTCCTTTCTATATTTGTATATAGTATTGAAATATTTAAATGTAATGTAATTTTCATTTCAGGAGAGTTACTTGGACATCGACCTTTATTACCTGGACGTTCAGAAATTGCGCAGTTAGAACTAATTGTTGACTTGTTGGGTACGCCAAGTGAAGCAATTTGGCCTGAATTTAACACCCTTCCTGCGTTACAAAACTTTACATTGAAACAACAACCATATAATAATTTGAAACAACGGTTTCCCTGGTTGAGTGCAGCAGGTTTAAGATTATTAAATTTCTTATTCATGTATGATCCAAAGAAAAGAGCAACTGCTGAAGAATGTTTACAAAGCAGTTATTTTAAAGAAGCTCCATTACGTAAGTGGCAAAACACAATATTTATTCCGTGATCTTTTTAATTTATTGCCTGCAGATTATTAACGTTGTCATTGGTCTTCCTTATATCCACAGCGTGTGATCCTAAGCTTATGCCTACATTTCCACAACACAGAAATATGAAAAAGGCTGCTCCACCGAAAGAAACTAGAGAACCAGAGGCAAATGTTACAGATCAAACGAATAACTTACCTGCAATTTCGGATCTTGTAAGTGTTTATATATTTTTTGTATGCGCTTTGTAAATATATATACATAAAACTAGAATTAATATTTTTTTCAGCTTGGATCGCTTGTTAAGAAGAGACGAGTTGAGTAATTTAAAACTATAATTATATTCATAACTTCGGGTAGAATCGAAACACTCTTGATTTTCAATTATAAAGAAATTTCATTACAATTTCTACAAGATGGATATTATTCACAAAGACTTTTGAATAAATGAATTTTATTACCGAACATTTGATAGAACATTACAAAAGCAGGTTTTCTTCTTGTTTAAGAAAACAAACATTCGTGAAAAAGAGTGGCATATGTAGACTTTAACACATTAATTTATCAGTACAAGTGCACCAGTAATGCAAAAGTGTGACTGAACATGTTGATTAAACATAGAAAATGTAACCTTTGAAAGATCTCGTATTTCTTCGAAGACGTGTACGTACACGAAAACGTCATTACGTCTACGTATGTGTACATTTCATTGAACATCGTTGTAGTGGTTATTAACAAAAACTATCACTTTTGATGTGTTTTCATTGTATAAATGATATCGTTATTCTTTATTTAAGGTTTAAGTCTTTTTTTATAATTTGAGTGTCCTCAAAACGGCTTTTATGCTGGCCATCTGGATCGCATGTTGCGACAAGTCGCTCCTAATCATTTGGCCTTTTAGTTCTCAGATGATTTATTACCTTGTTGCAGTGATTCTTTTGCTTCTCATTGCATTCGCTACAACCCGAGGATAAAGCATCAGGCAATGTTTCTGGAATCAAATATGTGTTAATTGTTCAATATACTGTGATTTCGTTATACATATAAAGTTTATATGTATATGATTATTTCAGGAAGTTTCCGGAACTATACATATGATGGAATTACAAGCAAACAGTATTTAGCATAGTGATCAGATTCATATAGAAATTTAATGTAGTACAGGTACATCAAGAATTATGGTAATTAAAAACATATATTCCACTATAATTCCAATCGTTTATAAATTACATTAATTCATGTTTAAAAAAAACATTTATATTTGTAATTGGGCCATTCCACGCGAAATCGGGCAAGTTATGGTGTAAGTTTTTAAATTATGTTCAACGTTTGGATAGGTTGTAGTCCTTAGCCATGTTTAAACGTATCTCGAAGCATTTTTCAAAATTGTATAGAGACTGTTCAAGTTACAGGCGTGTAAAGTTGACTGCTACCTACATATAATATTATGTCCTTAATAGAAAGAGTGAGATTCAGCAATATGTATAAGCTGTTATTAAATTTATCTCGGTTAGTTTTCTGTCCTTGTTTTTGCACATGCATATGTAACAATTTAAAATAAATAAATTCTATTATTATTTTAGAATTAAAAAATATCTTTTAATTTTATTAATAATGTTTGTGTTATAAACGGTGAGAGAGAACGATGATTACTTGTGATTGTTTCTTCATTCTGTTCTTTCATCGTTTGATATAATAATAGTTTGAGTACATGTAATAACAACTTGGACGTTATTGAAGGGAGTTCGATGCACTCCAAATGAGAAAGTTCAAAGCAACTTATGTAATACAGAGAGGGAGAGTGAATGAAGTGAACTCTGTCGTAATTGTCGCAGCGGATGCACGCACGGTGAAGTTTCCGAACGAAACCAACGTGACATTCGGTCATGCATCCGAATTAAATTATTTTACTATTTCAAGCAAATCGACATTTATACGCAGAGATTCGTTCGTTATTAATGGACATAGATATATTGTGGGCTGCAATTAACACGTTAAAATAATTAAAAAGTTTAGTGCGAATGGAGATGGTTCTTTCGATTAAAGACTTCCTTAACGCTTCCTTTTCGCGGCTCGCGAAAATGGCTTCACGGTATAACATTCTTGAATATTATTATCCTCTTACTCTGTTCTATTCATAAAAAATAAATGAAATCGCAAAAGAACGCTTTGAAAATTTCAGGGTTTCACGGTGGTCTTTTACCACCCCTTAAATGGTAACGCGGCTTAAAATTTTGTAAATTTCAACGATCAAGAAAAATTAATGATGCATTCAACAAATTACTGACCGTTATCCGATATACTGTTTATGTATGTGTACTCACTTTTTAATTCTCGGCCTTCGTTAGTGCACGGGCCTTCGTCCAACAAGCATTTGATGTAATTGGCGAGGACACGACCGTTCTGGAGTATCCTGTCTACGTCGACATCGTCGTATTTGCTGGGATATTTTTCAGCCGTTACGGAAGCGATTCCGACGAAAATGAACAGCAACAGAAAAGCTGTCATGTTGCGATCGAAATGTAGTTGGCAATTTGAAAAATTTTAAGCGGCACGGACGGATGCACGAATTTATTCCGTGTAATATTTCTAATACAGCTAGAAAGAACGGGTTCAAGAAGGAGAGATAGCCTCTTCGATAGCCACCCTCCGCCGCAGAAAGTAAGTTGCTCTTTGCGTCTGTTGGGACAAGCTACCAAATTATATACCCGCGTACGCAGTGGACATTGGAGGGAGTGCTTAAACGCGTTGATCGAGTCCTTTATACGCAACGTCATGAATCGTGAATACGTTGAACAGTGGGTATCGGAATACTACGAGGAGGTACTACCAGATAATTATACATTCCATTAGAACGTTTTCCTTTTCCCTCTTCGAAATGCATTATTTTTCTCTGTTGAATTTAGTCTATCGGATAATTTTACGAAAAAAATGCATCTTACAGATACTGATTTTATAGCAAAAATGTGAGTACCCTTAAAATTACCCATTTTACAAATTACAAGTAGTTTTACCAACACACAGTTTAGGAGCAAATAAATGTTTCAACTGCAATTTTCCGTTCTTTTGACACCGTAATACATATACGTATTGGCAACAGTTAAACAACTTGGACGCTTATTCATAGATTAGAAATTCGAGATTTATTTGAATTTGATAAATATGGAGGATGCGTAGTAAAACTGATTGGCTAGTTCATTATTTGAATACAGAATTTGCTGAGAAAATAATTGAATGGTTTAACGAGTGCTATCTTTCTACGTATATGGTGAGATTTTACGAAATAATTATTGTTTTTATTTTCTCGTTCAGAAAAGAAATAAAATCGGAGTATTATAGTAGAAAGATAACATTAACTGCGCTAAACTAATAAAAATAACTACAGAAATCGTATAAATCGCATTAAACTTATTTTGCTTGTTACGAAAATTTTGCTGACATCCGATCGATTTTATCCGTGACCTGAAAAGCTTAACACAAAGTGTTTCTTTCTTTCTTTCTTTCTTTCTTTCTTTCTTATAATGCAACCTTTTTATTACTTTATAAACTTTTGCTAACTTGTTTTAAATCGACGAGGCGCATATATATCCTTCTCAAATATTACAAAAATTACACGCTCCTAGGAACTAGAAAATATTAAAAATGTCAAGTAACATTTATTTCTACTTAGTCTTCGTTTTTAATATAACAAACTAATATCGTAACTCTTTTTTTTTACTTAGGCAGATCGATGGCACATAAACAGTCGCTCTCGTAGTTTAGATCCGAAGGGTCTTTGATTTAAAAATACTTGTATAATTCTATCTTTGTATTATAAAATGTTTTCTACATTAATACTTGATAAATAACTTTTCCATCGCACGTTACTTCTTTTAGATATTAAATGCAAATACGATGAGTAATTAGATATATCTACCGACTCATCTTTTCGATAAATACACGCGTTCCTTGAACATCTTCTAAATCGAACATTTTCTTGTATGTATACGAAGCGAAGAGATATTTCTAGATCAGGAATCATTTACTTTCCTACTGTATTACGTATTACAGGGCAGCCTGTACTCGTGCACGTTGAATGCTACGAAAGAATCGAATGCTAAAGGAAAATGTTGTTTCTATAAAAGTTTAAGGACAACCTTGCATTTCCTTGATCGCCGCTGGTTGTCTTGCATATTGACCAGTATGTACGATACAAATGTACGAGATAGCATAACGTGAATAGCGTGCTTGCTATCAAGAATAATGAAGAGATCATCCTCTGTCATGTTTAGACAAGGATCATCATAAATTTAACTTGCATGCTTCTCGAGGATTATCATCGATGACAGTGCAATGTTAAAGCTGTATTTGGTGATGTTGGAATTTACAGTGGCCAGTAGTATGTACAGGAAGAAATTAAACAAGTAATGTTTCCGGTACAGTATTCTTAAGGAAGTGTGATAAATATTCGAATAATTACGATTAAGTAACGAATATCAAGCGTCCAAACAAGTATCCGTATACTCGTACAATACGGAACTTTGCAGGATTATAGCAGAAATACATATTTTTCGGGATGTTTTTTTTTTTTCACTTTTAACTAAGTACTCATATGTGCCTACATATGTGCATCGAAGACGAATACACAGAACACCTTGCGAACCAACTATTGTGTATACATATTTGTTTCGACATTAGAATCATCATAGTAATTAGTATGCGTTCCGTGTCGCGACTTCAACCCACTTTATCATTCGACTATACGTATTGCGAAAAGCCGACCGGTAGGATTTAAACTTTCTATCTTATACCTTTATACAATGTAAACAGATTCTTAATTAGAATCTAATAGTAGAACATAGACAATTTTCTTTGAACATTATACATACATTTATGTATACACTCCGGGACAAAAAGATAGCACAGTTGACGAAAAACTTTAAACATAAAATAATTAATGAATAAAAATTAATGCTTAATATTATTTAGAACCTCCTTTACATCTAATAATTTCGATCAATCTGTTTGGTAAAGATTTATACAATTGCGTTATTCATCGGCAAACACTAATGAGAGAATTTAATGCGAGAAATATTGTGTATATTCTATTGGGTCATTATTATACCATTTGTTACTAATGATATCTTAATTTCTTACAGATTCATGCACAGATAAAGAATTTCCAAACGTCTTATGAAACGTATCAGGTGTGTCTTAAAAATATGTATAAACAACAACAAATTTATATTATAACCATTTTATTTTACGCATTTACGAAATTATTTACTTTCTCTATACATATATCAATTATTTATTATTATTTCATTGTGTTCTTCCATTATCGCGTGTATTCTTCAAATATAATTTCTGCATCCTTCCGTAGTGTCTCACAATCGAATGCCATTCATTGGGATAATTTCGTTTCATAAATTCGATCATCGTTCGGGCTTGTTCGGTTTCTTCGGGAGTACAGCGTCGGCAATTGTTGTTCAATGCTTCTGGCAACAATCCTGTCAAAATTCATTATACCAAAGTTTATAAAGATTTTCAAATTCATGTTCGATTTTACCAATGCGCAAGAAAAAAAACGTTGATTGCGCGTAAATGATTCAAACATTCAACCAATCATCATCGATGAATCATAACAATACATACATATGTATGTATACACATCAGAATCACCTTACGACACGGAAGACATTAAAAAGGGGCATACACGTATTTAACAATTCGTGTGTATTTGATACGACCGTTTAAACGATAATTTAATTCCATTAAAAAATTATAGAAAGCGGTCCAGATATACATATGTACGTACATGTAAATTTACACGCTAATGTAATTAAAATATTCTGTGCGTTCTATGAACAAGTAGTGTCTTAAAGACATAGCTTACTTCTCGAATTATTATGTCTTCTTGGTTAAGTTGTTCATATAGAAGATTCAAAATTTTTCTAACAATATACAATATAGTATAGAGAATAAAATAACTTTTAATAAAATACGAGCGACGGCCAAAAACTTCCGAGGGTCATTCAGGTGGGTGGGTGATCTTGACAAGATATGTCAAAGTCAAGGTCATCGCAGCTGCCTCCCCTAAAGGGTAGTAAGGTTTACTCACCTTTAATTGTTTTCCCTATGGAATCACAGTGCCCCCGATTCAAAATACAATCGATTTGCTTTTCCACGAAACGTCTGTTCGTTAGGAGATTCGAAATGTTTAGCGCCGCGGTTAAACTTATCGATACAAGAATAATTAAAATAAAACTAATTTTCACATTCATGTTTAATTATTTAGTATTGAAAAATCAGCAACTATTGTATATGTATATTCCTTGGATGAATCTCTTTCGGTTTAGTCTTATGTTCTATTCATGAATCTATAATTGGGACAGAACTGGCTATTTTGTGTGTTCGGGACTTATTTTTATATTTCCTCCCCTCTCTGAGAATAACTGTTGTGCAACCGATAGATATCGTGTTATGCTTTCGTAAATTTCACTCTCTTAATTGTTCATGGAAATCAATTGTCGAAAGGCCGAGATAAAATCAATTTTCCCTTCGCTGATTGACAGACACTTTTACAAATTACATTATTGGTAACATTAAACTTTCTTATCGAGTATTTAATACTAGATTTTCCTGTTTCAGTCTCACATTAAACTTTAAATGGGGTATGACTAGAATGTTGTTTTGGTATATGTAAGTATTATCTTTCGGAAGATTTAATAAAATTACTACATTTAAATTTTCAATTATTTATTTGCGAATAAATTTTTATCCAACTACGTGTATGATTGTTGCTAAGATGCCTTTTTCACATCGTATCTTAACAGATTACCGACCGATAGCCTATTAATCGACTTTTTTACCGGCCAACACTTACCGACCGATAGCCGATTAATCAACTTTTTTACCGACCAACGCTTATCGACCGATAGCCGATTAATCTCAACCGCTACATAAACAGACGTTTATAAAATACGTATGTACTAGTAAAACGTTTTATTTTAATCACTTTTTTACCAAATTTTCACTATACATACATATGTATACATACTAACAGAATTTTCCAATCACCCGAAGATTCAGAAATTTTCTAACTTTCGCAAGTTTCTGGACAATTCTAATAAAAGTGTCGATTAACTTCATAATCCTTCCAAGTGAAAATATCAGTTGAAGGATAATGAATGTATGTTTTGATAGTTGTTATAATTTTTAAAATACATAAATACACATTATTTTTCCTTTGGGAGAATGAAAAGTAACATCAGAAAAATTTGTAACAAGGCTTTTTATAAAACTGTACAATTTAAACAATGTTGGGATCTATGTAGGTACATACATACATACATATACGAATCTATTTATGTACTCGGATAGGGATTTCAGATTGAAAGTGGTAACAATTTGTAAAGTAAAGTTTACTAAATTGTTATTTCATACAATACAATGATATGTACTATGAAAACGTAATTTATAACTTCTCGAAAATGTATTCATATTTTACGTGTCGAGACGTCCATGTGTAAAATTGACATAAAATGGACATCTTGAAAAATATTGTGTGTTGACAAGAGTTAGTGGAATCATTGAACGGGGCTAAGGGCTAAGGTATTTAGTACTTACATACATGTAGTGAATTATGAATTCGATGTTTTGATAATATAACATAATAATAATTTAAACGTTGCTAGAATCATTTAGTACATCTCTAGGATGACTCTAGGATTACTCATTTAGAAGAGAAAATTTAATATTTTTGTCGTATAAAAAGTATGATTGCGATTTGTGGTAAAAGGTTGTAACGATGGATGGATACCTATCCGGGAAAAATATTAAACTGTAGATATTGTGTCTTCAACTTGAACGCACAAATTTGCGACAGATTTCATTAATTAGAGCTTATTTAATGTTTGTGAACGATCGTGAATGGCACAATTATGACGAAAGAGAATTTATAACCTGTCAATTCATGGTTTAGTGATACTGGTTTAATTACTTATATTATATTAGTTGACGAGTTCAATTTCTGCATTTTCACCAGGTTTAATAGTTAAGGTTCATTAACCGAGTACAGTGCAAACCATATAGAATGATAAATCTGCTAATATTTATCAATGAAGTATGTAAAAAAACGATTCTGCTAAAAGGATAAATGTTAGTGCACATCATGTTTGTTAATCATTTCAGTACATTTCCTGTTATTTGAATTCAAATGTTATTTATAAAATTATTTTTAGGGAGACGTCTTTAGTGGTGGAAAGTGCTATAGAGGAAGAAGCTAAACCATCTCCATCTTTCATTTCTTTGAACGATTGCACAAAAACGTGTAACTTATCGTTTTCGTTTAATATCGATTTCAATAATGTTATTAGCGATGGTTCCTCCGATTCAGAAACTGCAGATTTGCAAATCGATGTCTCTGAAATTGATAATTGCGAACCTCCCATTAAACATAAGAGGGATGCTATCGAAGAAACGTCTTCTATCATTAACGAAATGGAAGAAGAAATTGAAAGACAACTTGATGCCAAAGCAGCTAAAACTAACTTAACAGCCACAAATGTTAAAAATATCTTGAAACATGTTATTACTAATGAACATGTAATGGCAATGGTTAAAAATCATCTTCAGGAGACAGAGGATGATGTACTATTTGAACCTAAATTAACAAGAGCAAAGGCCAAGTACGATGCAATAAAATTTGTTTTATACGTATTATAAATATGTGGTATAATTTCATTGAACGAGGACATTTTTACGTAGAGAATTAGGAGCATCTCAAGTGAATATACCGTGGCCAATTACACCATTGAAAAAGACCACTTCGCAAGTGCAGGCATTAATCGAAGAAGAACTATCGGAAGACTCTTCGGACGAAGAATACAATCCAGAACAGGATAAACAAAGCGACGATGAAAGGGAAGTAGAAAATTCTGTAGGCAGCGATCTAGATTCCCAACCCTCAACATCAGCAAATACTTGTCGCGCATCATCGGTCGAACAGACTAAATCGCTGAATGTTCAATATGATACGGAAGGAATTTTTAAAATTCCTGGGTAATTTAAAAGTCATTTATACAATTTATACAATTCGCATAATATCACAATTATACTATTCTAATTAAATGTATATTATTTTTCAGTATTCCTCTTGTCTTGACAGAAGAGGAGAGTATTGGGCAAAGAACACGTTCAAAACTTTGTTTGAGCGAAACACCTTTGGAACAAATTGAACAGGCATTTGTACCACCGGACATTACAACCGATATGTATGATTGGGATTGCGAAGTTGACGAAGATTGGGATAATTTTTTGAAAGAGTTTACTCGACCATTAACTCAAGAGCCTATAATGGAAGATGACCCAGAAGCAGATCCAGAATATAATATATTAGAGGATGAAGAAACGGATTTTTGTACGTACGGATTTTCATCATATTGCAAAATTTTTCTATACATACAAAATTCTGAAATTAATGAAAATAAAACGTTTGTAGTGGATAAAGAAGAATTGCGAGCAGATAAAGCTGTAAAAGTTACTCGCAAGGAATTAAATAATTTAATTGCAGAACTATTTGAGTTCGCTGATACATTTTCAAAGCAAGAGCAGGAAATTTCAAGGAAAAAAAGATCTCCGGAAAGTCCAAATTCATTCAGTGAGAATAATACTATGGTGAGGGAAAAGAATGTTATTTCTGTACGTTGCCTGTATAATATTAATCAAAAATACAATTGTGTTTACAATTTTAGAATTGCCCTGTGATAAATTTATTGCCCGTTTGTAAAGAACCTGAAATTACCAATTTAATGATTACTAGTCAGCGACAGTTGTTGGCAGTTCAACTTCGTCAGCATGTACAGATGATGGCACAACATTGTGCCATGTCATACATGCATCCAAATTTACATTTTCAATCAAAATCATGCAAACAGAATTTGAATGCCTTAAAGTAAGTTTGTAATTGAAAGATTCGTAATTTATAAGTGTAGAGTGTGTAGTAAACTGGCAGAATTTATTATGTTGAATTTATTGTTGCAGGTATTTAAGCAATGGCCCTAATTCTGCATTTAATGCAGCAAATTTATCAGATGCTTTAAAATTGGTGTCTGATTGGGAAGATAAATTTTTAGATGATACGTTCTGTGAGAATTTTAAAAAAACTATTGCCGACGAAGATGCAGTAAAAAAGATCTATATTGCAAATAGGTGGAAGTATACCTCTAAATTTCATCCAGAATTGAAAAAGTTATTTATGGAGAGTAAAGCTTTAATGTATCCACAACTTTTACCCGAGATACCTTTCAGGTCTGAATTAAATAAGTTTATGCGATCTCCGTACCTAAAATCTGAAGAATCGTAAGTATACTTACATATATTTACTTATAAAAATTCTATTGTATTTTATGAGTCTTTTTTTAGTTTAATTGCATTGGGCCTCGAACAATTTCTCCCTTTTGTTACATCCAAGCCGAGAAAATTTAAGACTCATAAGTCACTACTAATGGATGCAATACAATTGATCGTTGAATATTTGATGCCGTGTAGGGAACCACTGGCAATATTTTATCACATTCAAAAGCGTAAAGCAGCAAAAGATAAAAATCCAATAAAAGTACGTAATATGCATATTATTTAAATTACAAAACGCTCAATTAAGTAAATGTTGCAGTATTATTTTGAAAATGGTTGTCCTCCTCGAACAATACATTATATAACATCAGAATGCAGTCTTAAAGCGCCAAAAGATCAACCGATAAACTTTCTACCTATGAAGTGGCAGTCTTACCTTTACAATGTGAGTGGTTAATGTGGTACATACAACTATAAGGTATTTCAAAATTGTTCTGATTGGAAAAATAAATTTCTACATAATTTATTTATTGTATGTTTTTATTTCTATTTAATGCATTTACCTCTTTCATTCATTAATATTTTAGAAGTACAGTTGTACGAACAAAAACTTTAATATGTTTATTTAACTATTACAATAATAATTTACATTTGTTCACACAGACAGAGCAGAAAATTGATTTATTGAAACGAAAATATATATTGAATTTATATAATAATGATATTGTAAAGAAAGACCATTTTATAAACAAAGATTATACATCTATTTCCAATACGCATGTGTTGCGTAAGCCAGTTGGAAATAGATTACCAAAGATACTACCCGTAAACACGAATCAAAAGAATTCAAATAAGTATACGTTAAGGAGTGGTTCCGCCTGCTTGGCCGAAAATATTGACAAATATCGTGCAATTACGCAAAAAGAGATAGAGGAAGAAGCAAAAAGTAATACGGTCGAGGAACAAGTTAAGAACACTATACCTAGAAATTCACTTACACCAAGACAATCGAAGTTTTCGAAAAAGTCCTCCGAAATGGTACAAGAATTACCACAATTACGGAAGACTACACCCAGATTAGCAAAGACCAGAAGCGCTCAAAATATGAAGTTGATGGCTCAAGTTTTAGGACCAAAAGGATTATCATCTAATTGTAATACCTTAAAATCGAAAGAAAAGAATGATTTGGAGAAAAATTTGGAGAAAATATCAACTTTGTCAAAAACTGTAACGTATAGTTATCACGTATTATTAAATAAAATAAAATTTTTAAATTTTTAACAGTATTTTTTTATTATAGGATAATGAAGACGAAATAGCGGAATTAATGTTAGCCAGTACGACTATTAAAAAAGATTCTCTTAGTAGGAAAAAAGCTAAAGAAGCTAGGGAATTGGAAAATATTAAAAGGCTTTTGGAATCCGAAAATCCACTAAGCGACGAAGAAAGAGGATCAAGTATGTTCTACTTATTAATAATAGTAAATGTAAATTAAATATTATTAACTTTTGTTATGTTATACAGAATTTGCAGCATCATATCTTCAGAAATTACATTTAACGCTAGAATCTAATAGCCCGGAAGTATTTAGATCTGTGATCAAATTATATTTAGATTATTGTGAAAAATTGGACAGTATTAATCAAATAGAGAACGAACAGTCCTCTAATCTATCAGAACCTTTGCAGGGTGGAAAAATTACAGAACAAACAACAATTGATAAAGACGCAATAGCTATAAATTTATATCAAGATGTATGTGAAAAGTTACATGAATATCCTGAACTTTGTACAGACTTTTTATTATTTTTAAAACCACATCAAGCCGCAATGATGAATAAAACAATGGAATATATAATGCTTCAAAAGATGAGCGAGTTTATTAATGGTGCTCAAATATATTTTGCTAAACAACCTTCTCGAATAGCAAAAATGATGCAAGCTATCACACAACTTTCGTCCGATCCTCAGACGACATTAGAACACGTTCATACAATTATGGGTTCTATACTAAAGGGTCACCCTTTAGTCATGGATTTATTTCTACAAATATTACCCACTGCTAAACCACCGGAAAGGTAATGTTTCTAATAGGCAATTTTCTATCAAACGTACAAAATTTGATTATTACTGGTGCAGTAGAAAGAACGATATTATTTCTAACGAATGTATTTACTTTTAATATGCGTTTTGTTATTTTATAGCTTGTTTGCGTCACATATGTTTGAGAATTTAACATATCCAGTGGGGCCGCATGACAAAAAGAAAGTTTACGCCAAAGATGCACCGGAATTGTATGAAAATATTGAATTGCCTATGTTAGCAACACAGGAAGATCCTTACGGTGGTGAAAATTGTAGATGTAATTGTCACAATGACGATGATTCTAGTTATAAAAATATTTCGGAACACTGTGTGTCTTGTGGCACAAGGGTAGATATTTTTACTTTACTTACGGTGGTCTCGAATATATAATACAATTATAATAAAATACAAACGAGAATTACAAGTAATGAACATATATGTGTATACATGTAAGTATATTCTGCACAATGATTCACCACAGTTACTTTTATTTTTTATCAATGTTTGATAATTCAATCGTGTTCGGGTAAAACTATAAAGATAGTGAACAGATTTGATTTAGAAGTGTAACCGAATAATTAATAATTTTTATACGAAAGATTAATACCTTTTTACAAGTATTACAAATTTGAGACTATCTGGTATACATATATACATATATATATATATATATATATATTTATAACATGAAAAATTGATTACATAAATTAACAAATTAATTAAACAGTTTCTCAATGGAAAAATTTTTCTTCAAACATCCGAAGGTCTCAGACCGGCTAAAATTATTTTTCCTGGGGCCGACGAAGAAAAGTTGGAAAACATTGCTCGTGTATCTTTAAAAACAACTGATAAGCTTGTTCCGTCTATTTCATCTAGACAGCGGAGAAAATCTTCAAAGAACGAATCTAATTCTGATGAACAATATCAAAAATCTTGTATATCAAAAAATTCACCTATTAAAGATAACGAGGAAGGTGGAAAAGTGATTGTAAAATCTAAAAAAAGTATAAAGTCTCCAGCAAAGGTTGGAGATCAAAAAAGAGATTTAAAAAGATTAGGAAGTATAGATCACATGGATGTAAATACAAAAAAGATGCGCATAACACAGTGTAAAAATAAAAGAGGAAAAACGGCAGATAAACAAGAAACACATTTAGAATGTACAAGTTCACGTGTTGATCATATGAAATTTAACGAATCTTTATGCATAGATTCGAACAATTCCTTGACAGAAATAACTAAGAAAAAGCCATCGGATGTAGAGGCTGAAATGTCAAATAGTAGGTCATACAAAATTGATCTATCTGACAAAATTAAAAACGCTACTACTTCTAACAATGATGCGAATATTAAACCATGGACACGACAAGAAGACACGATTCTTTTGCAAACTATTAAAAAGGAATATTCCGACGAATCACTTGCCGTGGTCAGTAAAACTTTAGGAAATCGTACATTTGACCAAGTAAGTCTTCTTTTTTTTTTTTTTCAAATTATTCTTTGGCAGTTTTTAATGCAATGTACCACCTAATTAACATTTTATTGTAGGTCCGCGAAAGATGTGAAACACTTTTGTCGTTATTGGAAAAAATGATGTAATTGTATACTTTTCTGATAGGAGTTCTAATTTTATTGAATTGACCGACTTATGAACGAGTATAGGTAAGTAAACCTGCAAACCACTAACTACTCCTATTAACTTGTGTTTAAATTTAATTATTTATATCGTAAGACAGAGAAGGTGTTATTTGCACGTGAACCCGTTTACACATATCACTTCTACCCGTGTAATTTAAAATATACAAGATCAAAGGTTCGGTATAGCCGAATAGGGGTCAAATGACTGTCAATGAATGATGAAATACATGCTTCTTTAAGATAGTATATTAATTATTCTTCGTTTTCTAAAAGATTCGAAATAGGAAATGTTCTTTTCCGTAATGTTACGTTTTGTTTGATATTTTTAATATTTACGTATCATATTGATTATTGGTGGTGACTGAAGGGAAACAAATTATTACACATACACATGTTAAGTACTGTTTTTGTACATGAGATAATTCATTTAATACATTATACAAAGTACAAATAGTCTAGTATTTATTTTCGTAGTGACTTTTATGTACATAAACAATCTTCAACAATAAAAATTTCATAAAAACGTCGTCATACAGGTATTTATTATTTATGTTGTCGCAGTTTTTATGAAATTTCATATTTGTTACGTCTCTTACATTTTTTACATTTATCTTAATAATAAATATAAACATGTTAAATGAAACATAAGAAAAGAGTACATAAACATTTCTTGTTTTTTAAAATCTAAGAAAATGACGAAGTACGTTACCATAATATATACACTTGATAAATTATATTATCACAATATGGAACGTCGTTGCTGTAGATTTGGATTAATCGTTATTTGATTATATCCGATAGTTTCAATTGTATGTATGGTAAGCAAACGTACAAATTATGTAAATTGTATTCATCATAATGTATGTATGTATGTATGTATGTATGTATATACATACACACATATATATCATGTCACTAGATTATGTATATAATATCGTAACATCATATATACATCCATATGCATCTATATGCATATTCTTGCAAAAATTAGAACTGTTCTTTGTACAAATTATCTGTGCAATACATTTTACAAAGAAACAATGAAATAAAAATATTTTAAAGTACTTCCATACTGTCTATATCAACTCCGATATCAAGAAAGTCTTCTTCATAGTTTTGAACATGCCTTTGTACAAGCGGATGTTCCGAATGATCTGGATCATCCGTTACAGGACTAGGTGGTGGATTAGTCACTGTACGATCAGAATCCATAGGCATTCTATCCATGCCTTCCCCACGTCTTAATCTCGCTTCTTCAGCTATTTCTCTTGTAGAAAGTTCTGCTTTTGTTAATAGAGCAGGAAGATCTTTTTCCGAACCATCTGTACGAAAAATATTTCTGTTTTATGTTCATTTTGAAATAATATTTGTTACCATTAAAAGAAAAGAAAGCAATACTTACTTTCTAGACATTTTATTAGTTCTTGTGCCTTTTGCCTTCTCGCGGTAGCATCAGATTTTTTTTGATCCGCATTTTCTTTTTTATCATAGTAAAAAATTTCTCTTATTTTTTCTTGAGGAATATGTTTGTCATTTTTTACTAACCATAAATAAACACCACCTGCAGTTCTTCTTCGTGATCCGTTCATTATCAACATACCGCCTCTTTCTTCGATCTTCTTTGTTTCTTGAAAGAAATCGATAGCCTTTTCTTTGCCAATTATATCTACAATTCGCCCTATAAAATACAGAAGTTATTTAAATAATTGTGCAGATGTGTGTGTGCGTGTGCATAGATCGTATATATATATATCTCTTACTTATAAGAATATCCTTTTTCTCGTTAAGTTTTGATGTTATATCGGTAGCTACGTCCGCATCAGTCGATTCAATCGTTGCACTTAAATCCGCTATTTTTCGTACCGTTCCTTTTTGATTATCTACGTCCATTGAATTACGTCTTTTTCCTAATCTTAATTTAATATTACTTCTGTCAGAATTTGTTCTTTTATTGGTTAATCTGCAATCAGCATCTTTTTCATCTTCGGAACTGTTATTATTACGATTTTCCATATTCCATTCACCGTTTACAGAATAATGGCGTGGAACATTGTAATTCTCGACATTACGTTCTTGATATCGTTTTTTTGTAACACCGCACAATACTAAATCTTCCGTTAAAGAATCCTCTTGTATCTGAGTACACCATATTTTGTATTTATCGCTTCTGTCTCCCCAGTTTTTGGCAGATCGTCTAGATGGTTTTAGTTTCAATTTAGGTCTTTTCTTGGTAATACGGCCAGAATCTGAATCAGAATCACTTTCAGAGTCCACAGAATCGTCAGATTCATCACTGTAGCCCATTTTGACATGTTCCTCTATATTGGAAGTTGCGTGAGGTCTTTCCAAAACATTGTACGTTTCAATGTCGCTTGTCTAAGTAAAAATATATTTAAATAATTAATGCATATTTGTTATAAAATAATTTTAATGATTCTAACATAATATTCACAGAATATGGAACGGTTTTAGAATTCTATTAATATGATTAAAATTAAAAGAATTTGATAAATTGAAATGCAAACTAATGTTCTAATGTAATATTTTAAGCTGAAATAGGTTAGACTCCTGTCAAACAATAAGATTATCAAATATCTGACCTCGTCGTCTATAACTTCGCCTTCTTCGAGTTCTAACGGTTCTGCTTCCATATTTTTCTTTTTAAAAAATGACAATTTCTTCAACGAGTAATTACCGAATGGAATTACAATCACCAAATAACTCTGAACGACTACTTCTTTCGACTACTCCTATTTTAATGTTAGTTTATCCCACGGCTCCATTTTTGTCGCTACTTTTGTCGGTGTGTTCTGTCTTCCCGGTTAAATTCTTTCCATGGATTAACCTAGTTCCGTTTTGTTGGCGATAGAGGGCCTGTTAGAGAGACGCATGTAGGGACTAGGACTAGACGCAGGGGTTTCCGCGAAAGAAAATAGAAAGAAAGAGAGTCGGCCCTCTCTGCGTTCGTGGTGCACGTATTATAATAAAGTTGTTTACTGATACGCACGGCGGTGTTTTTTCACCCAGCTTCCTGTTTCCCGGTGATTGTAGACCGCCGCCGCCTAGTTATTTACCAGGCCATAATCCTACACGCAAACCTCGTTCTCGATTCTGATTGGTACGAGGTAAAAAACTCTACAGCCACGCTAGTTTCCTCTACCAGCACTTTAACGGTCTTTAGTGCTATTTAAATTTTATGCTAAATTTACGTCTTTAAACGTTTATATTTTATACATGTTTGCTTTACAAGACATACACATGTATTTGAAATGTGAACCGATCGGTCGTATTGTGTTAGCAATAATGATATCATAGTTGTATATTAACTATATATTTTTGTTAAGAATATGATTGAAATAGTCTGTGTAGAAAGTGCTGTTTAGACACTTTTTCATCGGAATAAACTTGTCAGTGGATTAATATCACTGTATATAAAGGTATGGTAGAAAATATGAATAATTTTAATCTGATAATATGAATTATTTTTTATTAACATTACCGTCGATTGTTTTATGAAGTACCGAAAATGTTAGGAGCAGGGAAAGGAAAATAATGTAACAATTAATAAGAAATAGTATCGATTTAGTTAATGGCTCGAATTTGAAATGCCTTTGCTTTTATTATCATCATCATCGCGATAAGAGACTATTTGTTGTTCCGTGGTGATAATGTACGTATGTAGTACATAAAGAGATATTTTAAGACATTGTACTCGAACACAGGCAACATAAATTTCAATCATCGTGCATTTACGCCCCATCAGCGGAATTGATTGAGTGTCAACTGCATTTATTACGTACTTACACGATCCTACAGTTCACTTCCCGATCTTCATTCGTGTTGCGGTGTCACGGCGTTTCAATTTTCGGAGCAAAATTATATACATACTTGTAAAATATAATTTTTCGTTCGTTATTCGGTAAATTTGTCGATCTCGTGATTGTGAAATTGATAGGCAGTTTGTGATTTTCGAGTAAAATACTGGATCAGGTAAGAGAGAGAGATAGATAGAGAGAGAGAGAGAGAGAGATATAGCGTTAGAAGCTGTTTTTTCGAAAAGTATTAGACACGGAGATAAAATTCTTTTTTATTTTCTAGTTTACAAACATTTTAGGGCATTTTAGTTTTTCCAAGAAAAAGAATTGTTTTAAATAGACGTGTATGTATTGATATAGACGGTGTTTGATTGATATACACACCTCACGGAAAAATTGTTAATAGCTGAATCCAGAGGGTAAAATTTGTTGATCGAGGCTTGGAAAACTGTAAGGCTGTCGGTCGATACGTCAGCGAGTAGAGGAGTTTCTCATGGTAAGCGAGAACCACTATCGCATGCACGCAGATTGCCGTCCTACAGGCGGAACTTGAAATATTATGTATCTTTTTAAGGAAGCTTCGACGAAGAAATTGGTATTCTGAGATTTTCGTGTTTACTTTGGCCTCTAGAATCCCCCATTAACAATTTTTCCCTGTATGTGTGCCCGGGGTCTCTAAAAGTGAATCCCGTTCGATTATTAAGACCGCTATAATGATAATAAATATAGCGAAATAAATAATAAACTCGGTTTGACGTTTGTTTAAAACGGGTTTCCAGAGATATACCGATAATGGAAGAGTTGGTGGGAACAACAGCTGGTGAACGTATACGACCACCGGGTAACGATCGACTGGCCTCGGACCTCCTGGAGAAACTTTACGGCCTGAAGACAACGCGCGTGACCGAATTGAACGCGTACGATGACAGAAACTACCATGTGGTTTGCGAGAACCTGTCGGTGAATGGTGAGGCGAGCACCATCAGCGAGCACGGTTACGTGCTGAAGATCGTAAACTCTTTGGATTCCCGAAAGGGTGAGGTTATCGAGGCGCAGACCGAGATGTTGATCTTTTTAAACGAACGGAATATCAGCTGTCCCGTACCGGTAAAAAACGTGAACGGGGCGTATCACTCGTTGGAGAAGTTGGAGGTTGACGGTTTGACGGGCAGGTATGTCGTGAGACTGCTCGTCTATCGTCCAGGCGAGCTTCTGCATCGCGTGCCTATCACCGGTGAACTGCTACGAAACGTGGGCAGTTTCACCGCAAACCTGGACCACGTTCTCACAGGCTTCTCTCATCCCGCGTACGACGACCATAACACGTTATGGATGTTGAGTTCCGTGCCGAGGCTGCGTCAGTTCACCTATGCCGTGAACAACGCGCTCGAGAGGAGGTTGGCGAACCAAGTGATAGAAAGGTTCGAGCAGGATGTTTTGCGGGTGACGTCGCAACTCGAGCAAGGCATCATCCACGGTGACCTGAACGAGCAGAACATCGTGATGAGCTCGAATGGCAGGGACATAGCCGCGGTGATCGATTTCGGTGATGCACATCGAACGTGTCTGATTTTTGAGCTGGCTATCGCTCTCTGTTACATGATTATGCAGTCTGGCGACCTGGCGATGGGCAAACATGTAATCGAGGGCTACCGAGTCGTCAGGAAGCCGACGGACTTGGAGAAGAGCATCCTGAAGGTCACTGTATGCGCGAGAATCTGCCAGAGTCTCGTTATGGGAGCTTATTCTCATATTCGTGATCCGCAGAACGAGTACCTGCTGGTTACTCAGAAATCTGGATGGAGTTTATTGAAGAAACTTTGGCCCCTTGATCGGGATCAAGTGCTACGTATTTGGGGTTTGTCGGATTGAAGGAGGTATAACAAACACCTCCAATTTAGGCGAATATCAAATGGTTCTTTAAGGTTACATCTTCCTTGGTTAATCATGAGAAAATAACTAAAAACTGAGTTATTTATGTAATGCGACTATAGTCGTCAGCAACTGCTGCTGACTGTAATTATTGGTGATTGTAAATTATTGGTGACCTTCAAATACCATTGTCAATTTGTCGAGCAATAAATATACATAGATCGTTCATAAGTTATTTCCGGTTCCATCGAATCATTTAAGAAATTATTTAAGGTACTGTGCAGTGATATATCCTCTGGTTTTATTCGTTTTTTAGGCAGTTACATATTTACATAGATATATAATGAACAATAATGCTCTTTGTATAATAGTGTGAAATCATTTGACATAACTATATCGTGGTATATACAAAAATGTAGGTATAGGAAATCAATTGTCGGAAAATCGTGTTACTGGCATACGACATTACAAAAATGCATACATTGTGTGGAATTGGATCGAATAACAATTACCGTGGACTTAAATACCGACTAAAATGTTGCTCGAAATATATATCGATAATGTACAGAATTTGCACGTAAGTATACCGTAAGACAATATATTTCGATCCTGGATAATACGCTCATATCCGCGCTTAAGGTGTAGAATTTTTATTTTTTTAATCCGCGTGCGCTTTCATCTTATTTACGTTGCTTGTAATATACATATGTACATATACGTATGTATACATATACATGTACATATATATGTATATTTTAATCTCGATTTCAATAATATACTAATTTATTTATATCTCGTTTCATTTACGTCAGCTCGTTTTGGCAAACTGTCTAACTGTGTTGAGGCAAATTCGTTGATAGCGAAAATCTGTTTACAGTACCGTACGACCATGATTCGAACGAACGCAACAAATAATCGTATGGATTTCAGTTTTATGCTTAAACAAAGTAGAAGTATCTTTTTTTAAAAAAAAACATATATATATATATATATATATATATGTTCTCGCTGACATTGAAGAAAATTAAGGTAAATAGCACAAGAAGAATCAGATTATTATAATCAATTAGAAATAAACGCGATCGTTGGCGCGGTTAGCCGCGCGCGATCAGAGGCACACAAGTAACACAAGTAGTTGTTTAACCGTTTCGATTAACAATGGAACGTCGTGTTAACGAATTTTCGCCAGAGGTTATTAACAAAATAGTATATTACAGTACCCTATATAGATTTTATTGCTTAGAATCTATTGGCTTACGTTCGCCCGACGAGGCGCTCGTAGGCGCTTAATAATTCATTTATTAACTTATGTCGTTAGTAACTTTAATAACTTTTATCATCCGTTAACTTAACATTCGTCGATTATTAATATAATTTATACTTTGCATCGTCGAAATGAGAGGTAACGTCGCAATAAATGCGCAAATACATTTACTCCGAGGAAATGTAACGAAGTAAGAAAACATACGCGCGGAATGTACGTACGAGGACACTCTTTGGGAAAATGAAAAAAACGAAACGGAGAAAATATGGGTTTTGAGATTGGCTGGCTGGTGCCCGATGGGGAACGGTGGGGAACGGTGGGGAACGGTGGGGAACGGTGGGGAACGGTGAACACCGAGAACAGTTTACAGAAGAAGCGTAGCGTTTCAGTCTTGGGGTAAAAATGATTTCACCGCGCGTTTTCAAAAACCTAACCGAGCGGATCGATCGATCGATCGTGCGTGTCGTCGAAGTGTACGTAAAAAAATAAAGCCTCGAAGAAGGAATTTTTTGTGCCGTTCTTTACGGGACCGCGGTCCAGAGAGAAACTGTACCGTTCAGCGCCTCAACCCCTTCGTAACAGTTTCATTCTAACATTTCAATAGCTTCAAAGCTCGTCTTTCGAAACACCAACACGAACCGCGACCATCTATCGTTCGCGATCTATCGTTCGCAAAAGCTTCCTTTCAGGATACAATTACGTTTTCTACTATTCCGCTCTCGTTGAACTTGAACAATATCATTTCTGAAACTTGGTTTTTTTTCTTTTTGTTCCGTTTTGGACGAATGCCAGGATTCTCTCGTTCTCCCCTGGGTCACGAGCATGGACAATTAGGAACGGTGCCAAACTAACGCGTTGCGCACGTTCGAAAATTATAGCTTTAATTAGCACACAATTAGGAATTAGATTGTTATCGGGGCACGAAGAATCTCGCGAGTAGGTTGCCTCGAGAGCACAGAGAAGCGCGAGAACACGCGGGAAAGATTGGGGTGGAGGGGGATAATTACCAACGGTAGTAATTTTGATCGCTGTTGAATGTTTCTTACGTATAGCGAGATGCGACGTGGCGTCATCTCCCCATTTTTCTTTTTTCCACTGGTTCGATTGAGAAAGAGGCGTTTGCTTGCAGGTGTTCCAGGGAGCGTTCCGACAAACGACGCCAAGGTAATCTTCGGACTCGTTGCCTCGACCGACATACTTCCCACGCGTGTTTCTCCACCCATCAATTTCGACTTAATTTTAGTTTTCGTGCAACAACAATTGCTAGCAACATCTCTCGGGCCTAGCGACACGACTGACAGCACTGCTTCTGATACAGGGGTACCCTGCACATGTTCAACACCTTCACCCTACCGCACAGTTGCGAGTGGTCCTTGCAGTCGTCTGAAAAATTCCAAACAATGTTAGTATATATTTAATGCTGCCCATTCACTTTTAACTCTTAGAATATTACAATTTAACTCACAGAAGCGATAGTCTTTTAAATTTCTTTAAGAACAATTAAATAGAAACATATTTAAACGAGAGGTTCGATACGATTAGAATAATTAATAAATTTACATTATCGATTCTAAATTATTGGATGACCTAAAATTTCACTAGAAATCTGTTACCAGGTGTCCGAGGACACGGTGGACCTCTACACGTCTTCATAACAGGTGGTCGCGGAATATCTCTGCACGCGTTGCCAGCTGGTTTCTTCGTTCCGAACCAAACACACTGCAAGATTCTATATTTTATGCCATCTTCCTCGCAGGATGCTGTGCACTGTTCAAATTGACAAGTAACCATTTTAGCAAACTATACATTTTATAAATGCCTACGGAGTGAAGAAGAAGATGATTGAACTCTTATAACCGTAAGTCACGTCCACGCATTGTAAAGGTTGCGATGTTAAGGTTCCTTAAGAATCCTTAACAGCAATAGAACTTAAAATGTAACGATCGCGTGGTACATACATCGGACCATTCGCCGACTCTCCACACTCCCTTGCAGGCGTCGTTGTAGCACTCTTGCCTTTGCAGAGGTTTCGTCGTATCGTCGCATTCGTTCAAATCGAGCAGCGTGACGTTTTGCTGACTGTTGTCCGCCTCGTCCATTAAACGACATGTAACGTCGCGTTTTTGCATCGCGGTTTTCCAGTTGAAACACCTGGACGTCTCGCAGGGGGTCCATTCGGTCGTGTGCCATTGGGGGCATTTGCCGAATCCGCATGGCCTGACTTTCTGAGGTACAGGATATCCCGCGTCCTCGCACAGTGTCGCTCCTATCACCGTTCGCGGTGCCACGCGAGAAGAATTTCCAAACGGTTTTGACGAACGTACCGTGCACTGGGCCCCACGCATCTTAACGCGAGCAAAATAATTTTTTTCATTAGCTGCAATCTACTTTAGGAGGATAGGTGGTGTTTGAACTCTAACAGTTGTCGAAATCCACATTGAATGCGTGTGAACCGATTACCTAACCAGGAATTTCCTTACCTGAAATCCACTTCCTCCGCAAGTCAGAGAGCACTTTGACCAATCTGTCGTCACCCACTCGAACACGAGATCCTCGGTAGTATCTGTACATTTTCAATTTAATCAGCAAACGGTATACATACATATGTACATAACTTCAAGTATAGATTCATAATTTTAGGAATGTTTAAATGTTTTTGATTAAGAAAGAAGTTATTTTGCAAAAGTGTACACTGGTTTGTTGTACCCACCTAAAATAGCGAGTGACGCAACTGTAGAGTCGACGGTGATGTTTGGTCCAATGGTCGTATTAGCCGCAACATCCAAAGACTTGTTAATTTTCTGGGTTTCTTCGTTCGTTGATTGCTCTCGAAAATCAATCGCGTCCTCGGACGAGTTGTCGCCATCTTCTTTCCGCAAGTTTTTCGAGTACTCATCCTTCTCCGTGATGGTGGTGGTGGTGGTGGTGGTGGTGGTGGTGGAGGATTCTCGGTGTTCGGTCGATGCCAATTCGCTGAGATCTTCCTCCACGTTTCTGGTACTTGTTGTTCGATCGGCATCATCAACCGCGGTATCATTTTCCACGTGGACCCTCCGTTTCATCTTTTCCTCTTCTAATCCCCCAGCCCCGTAATCTTCTGTCCTGTTCAAAATCTCCGTTTCTTCGTCTTTGGTATTCGGTTTTCTCCAAGCGTCGTTCAAACCTTTCAGCGACATCGTGGAGAAAACGTGTTCGGTTTCCGAATGATCGTGATTCCTTCGATTTGTCCCTTTCCTGAAAGATTTCATCGCGGAGCTGTCGTGGTTGGGATTCGACTCTGGAATATAATAAACCTCCTCGTTGTGCGAAGTGGTTTCTGGTTTTGTGGTTTCTTTGCTTTGATCTTTGGACGTGGAGTTCCAATGGCTCTTAATATCCGGGCTGTTCTGCCATTGTCTTTTCACGTTCTTAAGGGATTCCTCGATGTAGTCGTTGTCAAAGTCCGTAGACGTTCCCGGATCGTTGTAGCTAGCAACAGGTGGTGTGATCTTCTTCACTGGGTCTTTACCGTGCTGGAGTCCGAATATAGATTCGTCCAGATCGTAGGGATCAACGTCTATGAATATCCTTTCCTCGTCTGGTCCGATGGTCTTGTCCGGAATTACGGTGTTGCGGTATAAAGTGTCCAAGTTCTTCTCTACGTTCTGGTACCTCAGACCGGAAGTTTTGCCTGGCATGGTACGTTTCGTTACGATTGTTTCTTTTCGCGTGTCATCGACGAACGTCAACGGTGTGGTTTTCTGAGATCTTCCGGCAGAATTTTCACCGTGGAACGGCCAATATTCCTGTTGGATAATTAACAATTAAAACACTTAAACGCACGACTACCGAATGGAACAGACACACGCGTGTTTTCAGGCGAGAGAAAGTTTTCTCGAGATATCAAGACGATGCGATGGTTTGGTTCGGTTCGGTTCGGTTCGGTTCGGTTCGGTTCGGTTCGGTTCGGTTCGGTGATTTCATAAATCTTTACGTATTTAATTTCCTCGATTTTTTAATTTTTTATTTACTTATGCTTGATGAAACAAATTAATACGTTGAGATTTATACTTATGAGATCTGTCTTAACTTGTTTTTTTATTTTATAGACTGGAGAAAATCATGGTATAAGAAGAAGCTGGTCACTGGCTGGTGAATGGTTGATATACATATATGTAGATATTTGCCTCGAGTACAATTTACTTACCCTATAAATACACAAAGACTTATGAAATTACTTTATAGAAGTAATTGCAAAAGAGACGGTTAAGGAAAATCTGAAAATATTTTCAGTTTCGTTAAGAGAAGTTCTGGAAGAAAGACTCAATGCCCGACGATTAATTCGGCTGGTATATGTGGCGCAGATTATCTCACCTTTAAACTCGATATAAAATAAGTTAAGTGCGGTACGAGAGTAGAGGCAGTTGACGATGCAGTCGATTCCACAGATTCGTGGTATCCTGGCTGATATATTTTACACCGGGTATATCCACCATCGCATAAAGTTAATCCGTACATATAGGTAGCAGGAAAGTAAAGAGTTGTAGACGAAGAATTAGTTCACCATGCGTTCATCGGAGGGTTTCGATAATATTTTTCGGAGAGCGGAGTTGAGGGGAAGAGTACGACTTGGATTTTTGATCTGGTGATGTTACCTGGTTTTCCGAGGTTACAGTGTGCTCTTTGTGTACGAGCGTCGAATCTGGCGGTGTCGGGCTAGTTTTCTGTTTCCTCTGATGCGGCTTCGTCGTGGGTTTACTTGGGAAAGCTCGTTCGTGGCTTAAATCTTCGCTGTCTATAGGTACGAAGAGGTTCCCGTAGGCGGCTGTAGGAGATTTAAAGTCGTTTATGGCAATGCATATCCATGTAAATTTCGAATTTGGTAAAAATGTTTAAATAGGCTTTTTTTTTACCCGCGCGATCAGTGTAGAGGCTCTCTCCGGAATTCGCCGGAGCGGAGTCCAAGTTTGCGTTTCGTTGAAAGTGGACGGAATTGCTCAGTCGTAAATATTCCTCGCTGCTAATCTGCTCTTTGGAACGAAATTTTACGATCAGCTGCGTCCCCGCGTGCGAATTTCCCGCTGAAAGAAACATTTCTACGGTACTCTGTCTGTCGTGTTCGATCAAGTTCGTTCGATATAGGAGACACGATTTACTTTTACCTATGCACGAGTAGATACCGGAGTCCGCGTCCGTTATCACATTTATCTTCAACGCTCCCTTTTTGCTGATCTTGTACTTTCTCGATCTCCTTAATTCCTTGTTATCCTTGGTCCATTTGATTTGCGACCTGAAAACGTTTCGATTTTATCAACAGAGGCTCGTTTCTACGTATGGAGGAAATGGATGTCCTCCTTTCGTGCTAAGCCGTGACATTTTCATCCACCACGGATAATACCGATCGGTGAAACCGACGTTTCTACGCTTCCGTATCCGAACAGTAAACTCACTTGTCGAAATTCCTAACGGGACAACGGATTTTTATGGAATGCGTGCCTTGGAACACCTTTGCGACGCCACCGATTTTCAGATTCACTTCCGCGGTTAGGTCCGTCTGATTGTACGTCGTGTTTTGGCTAGAGATTATCGGTAAAGGACCAGCCCCCATGTCGGGACAAGCTCTGGTGTTGCAGGGCATCTCAGTCGCGGGCTTCTCCGACATGCATTCACGATCCTTGCGACTCTGTCTATGTCCCTGGGCCATTACTTGCTCGCAGGCCACTTTGCGTCTCATCACGCCCCCGTTGCAAGTCTTGGAGCACTGAAACAACACACCGTTTCCAACACCAATTCCATTAAACTAAACTAACGCACGATTTGTATGATATCGCGGAAAGCTCCGGTGATATAACACCACCCGTTAAGGCGAAACCAAAGGTAATCGCGATAATTCGATTTCGACGCTCTTTCGGATCGTTTAATTCACCGTTTAGAGAGAAAGTAGGTACCTTGCCCCAGTCTCCTGCACTCCATTCCGCCGGGCAATCCAATACGTTGCAGTATCGTCGGTCGGTTGGCTGCGGCTGTGGGCACATGTGGTTTGGCACAGGGACTGCCTTACCTGTAGAGCCGCGTATCACTTCGTGTATGCACGTGACATCGCGTGTCTGTATACCGATCCCGCATGGTCTCGAGCATTGCGAGAATTCACTGTAATTCCATCTGCCGAATGGAAATTAATTCCAATAATTAGCTTCGCGTCTAACGATGCTTCGATTACGATACGAACAAACAATTTCTAGAATAAAAGACATAGAGTTAATCCCACAAGTATTCGTACCTTGGTTCCTTTATGGAAGAAATTTTTTGAAATCAAACGATGCACAGAAGATTTTGCAAATAAACTTTTTGCTATAAACGAATACATTGTATATGTCTAATATTCTAGAAAACATTAAGTAAATCAGATAATTGAACATTTTCTCGATGATAATTAATTGTGTGATCGAGGGCGTTTCGTTACCTAGGAGGGCAAGGATGATCGTTGCAGACCCTTATCCTGGCTTCTGGTTTCGTTTCGGTGGTGCACAACAACGGCATTACGGTCTTGCCTGTGTCGTCTCGTACGCAATTTATTATCAGGTTTTGTACACCTAAAACACATCAAAGGAACATCGATATCGATCGTCGATGTTGGGATATCTCTATCCCTGCGTTCGGCTAAATCGACTACGTCGTAACCGTTCGACGACTTTAATCTATCGGTTCGATGCAATTCAATCGGCTGACTCGTTGCTAAGCACTGTTAATTACATAATCGCGTTTAATTATCCCGGATAATTAAGCGCGCTATGCGAAACGAACGCAGATCCATTCCGTTGAGCCTTTCTGATCTGATCGTTGATAATTCCCTGGCTTATGCTTGCGGTTGATTGGCGTCGACTGGAATGCAGTATTCACAGATCAAAGATCGACAATATATTCTATTGTACGTATCAAATAGATAATTCCATTAAAGGATTCTTTGAGCGTGTTGATAACGTCTGTCGAACGAGTACCTTGCGATTCAACGAATGGTTCATGAAACGAATAAGAATTCGCCAGGCAAAATAAGTTCAAAATGTGGAATAGTTTAGAAGATGGTTGGTCGTCCGAGTTAAAAGTTAAGTGAGACAAGATCTCTTACCTCCGAGGCAAGTGGCGCTGCAAGGGGTGTAACCAGACTGCTTCCACGAGTAAGTGGTCTGCACGTCGCTTCCCGGGGCGACCTTGATGCCACTGTCGTAACTACTCCCGCTGGAACCGCCGGAACCGCCGGAACCGCCGGAACCGCCGGAACCGCCGGCCGATGATCTGTAGGTGTCCGTCAAGCTGGGTTCGACGTATCCGCTGTCGCCGACCGTGTCGATGCCGTACGACAGCCTGTTCTCTATCATGGGGCACGGCTCCGTCACGCACTTCTCTATTTTGGTTGGTTTCGGGCCCGAGCATTGTCGGTCCGGTAGGTTCGCGATGGTCCGACTGAATTCGAGGAATATTTTGCAACGAACGTCCCGATGCCTGGTCCCTTCGCCGCAGGTCACGCTGCACGGCGACCATTCGTCGGCGATGAACCTGGAGGGTCGTTCGTTTCATCATTCGCGTTTAAAATCGTAAATCTCGCCCCTCGGTAACTCGCGGATTCAACCTGGCTCTCTTATTCGGGACTCGAATTATTTACAAGTCTTTTATACTTTCAGACTCGTTATTTACTTTTATCGTAAAATGGTGGAGAACGGTATACATACATATAACCCATGATCGATATGGTTTATTCAAAATATACAATATTTTACCGTATGCAAATTGCAAATTTGATCCATCAAGTACAGGAAGATATAATGTTAGTAGTCTAAATCAGAAGATCGAAACCTAGGATTTTCATCGTAATTCAGTTTAAATAAATCAGTCCAAGAATTATTGCGTAGAATTTAGCAAATCTGAAAAGAAGTCACAAGTTCTACGGCGAATGCAAAATGCAGATTCGAATTACGGACGGAATACTCTACCAATTCTTTCCTTTTCAACGGTCTGACAAGACGAGGCAAAATATGAAGGAAATTTGTACGAACGAATCCGTGTATCTACCTTTTCTTACCTTTATTCTCGAATCAAACGTCGCATAAGATACAGAATTTATCGGATTCTTTAGGTTATTCGTAGCTCATAAAGCGACGTGCACGTCTGTCCCGTCATCAATTGGATCGTATAAATAACGGTCGATTATTTATTTAGAATTACGTCCGAACCTTCGTCTTTCGTTCGCTTTCCCCTTCACGCGACTCGAGACCGGACCATTCAAACTTATTCACGAGCACCCACTTTCGTCTATCAATCAACGATTTCCTGCCGGCAACAACGCTTTCAATTTGCTTCCGCCCGAGAGAGTGTTTCGACCTATTTCCGCGTCACTTTGATTATCCTAGATATTCTATATTTTTTACGAACGTAGATGGTAAACGTGTTTTTCTATTCAATTTCGCTGGGTTCAAGGCTACACGAAACGATTCTTCTCGTCGAATCAAATACAATTCTTCTAGCGAGTATAGAGACGCGGGACAGTTCTACGCTACAAATTATGCATGCTGAGCCTATATAGCGAGGGGGGACGAGGGTTATCGAGGAATAACGGAAACCGGAAAATTGGAAAAACGTAGGCGGAGAAAGGAACGATGGTAACCGTCTACGTAACACTATCATCGTAAGTCTATGCTAATGCTTGTTCTACGGCATTCGCGTTATGCGGTAATTAAATCACGGCAAATCTCGTGATCTCGTAAATGCATTAGGAGCAAGAGCTAGGAAAAAGTTAGCCAAAAGAACGAATAGGGAGGGAGAGGGATTAAGTTCCCTCGAATTTAAGCGGGGACGAGATTCAACTTGGAAAAGTCTCGTGCGTCAGCAGAAAATGGAGCCCCGTCGCCGCCGGTGAAACTATTTTTCGCGGATCGTGGAGATTCTATTCGCCTCGAAACGGACGGGGGAGGAAAACATCGCTGGCGAATTATACATTGCTGGCTAATCGTGCTCCAACAATATTCTTGCTGACGCACGACCGCGATACGAAAATGCTTCTAAAACTCGCTTAGCCCTGATTTTGTTCGAAAAAGAGGAGCTTCGATCGGACTTTGCTGTTCTGCGGTGAATTACACAAGCGTGCGGGGAATCTACGAATCTATCGACACGCGGTGGAGGAAATGGGTGGGGAAGGGGGGGTGGGGTGTGGCAGGTAACAAAGAAAACGAAAGAAGTGTGCTTCGCACCGTCCGGAGGCAGGCACAAGTGGCGTTGGGAATTCGGGGCAAGGGTGGAGACACGAAAACAGAGCGAGACGAAATTAAAAGAAGAAGAGAGAAAGAAAGTGAACTGGGCTGGATTTGGTGCAAGTGAGAGAAATAGTATCAAAGAAGAAACGAAAGGTAGATAAGAAAAAGAAGAAGAAGAAGAAGAAGAAGAAGAAGAAGAAGTAGAAGTAGAAGTTAAAGTGATAGAAGAAAGAGACACAGTAATGGGATACCTCAGATACAACCAGCCACAGGCAAAGTAGTTCGTATATCTGTCGGGACAGACCAATTGACGTCAAGAAATGAATGCTTTTAAGACTGAAAGATGTCTATATAGCTGTTCGTACGAGTTTCGTGTGTAAAATAAATATGATCATCGCGCGTTTTCCACGCGTTCACGTACAAGAACCAAATTCCAAAAAATTATTAGTATAACTTTTTATTTAAGAGATTTTTTGTTCTAATTAACGGTTTCGAGGCGGCTTACTTGGGGGGAGGATCGATTCAAGCGACTTGTCCTGTGTACGTTTAACGATTTTCGTCGGTTACTCACGTGGATTCCGAAGGTATCGGTTGGTCTATCAGCTTCTCGGACACCGGAGGTGGCGGGTATGGTTGCATCAGGGGCTGCGTCATTTCTTCGCTATCTGAATGGAAAGGTTCGCGTAATCTCGTTCGAAGCATGGGTGAGATTCGCGCGAGAACTCGATGGTTGTTCCCGACTCGCGCGAATCTCGAATCGGCATAGGAATGGCGCGCTCGACGCTGCTGCATGGGAATCGTAACTTATAGAACTTACATATCGGACAGACGATGTTTGTCTTGCACTCTTGCTCGGTGTGGGGCCGTTCGGCGGGATCGCAGTCATTCGAGATGGAGCCAACCGCGTCCCTGCACTCGATCGTCCTTGTTCTGATGCCGGTACCACAGGTCACGGAACACTATCGATCATCACACACACAAACGAGGAAAAGTAAACGGGAAAATTGTATTCGTGAGAAACGAAAGTTTCAAATTTATTCGTAAGCTAGCTTTTGTTCGCAACATCGTTCGTTTGGACGTCACATTAGAAAAGTTAATTCGCAACTGTATAATTTTTATTCGTTATTCGCGAACAAAGCACTGTTCTGCCTTTGTCCGATTGGAATGCTGTGCACCGTCCAGAACTATAAAATTCTGATATCGAGCAGCGTCTGGCATAGGCTCGGAATGGGTTGATACAATGAAAGAAAAGCCTCTGATTAAGTTTCATCGCGTGCGGAATTAAAACACAGTCAGAAGCCAAGTAAATTTCAATCGGACCGAGTGTTCCGTGTGTCCCGTGTTACGGAATCCCGTGTTTAGCGTGGAGGAAGGGCGATCGAAATCTTTCAGCGACATACCGATTCCCTGTGCTGTTTTATCGGGACCGATCAGATTCGCTTTTATGTCGAGCAGAATCGGAGTCGAATCTCGAGTGGCAGGAGGGTACCATTTTCAGCACCCCGCGTCGGTTCACGGCGACCGATACCGGGACCGGGACCGGGACCGTTTTGTTCGAGACGCGTCCTGGCCTCAAACATCTCTCAGCCAGAATAAAGTCTGCTTGATCGGGAAAGTAAGAGTACCGAGGTGTGGGCTGAACGGTTTAGAAGCGAGCGAGCGAGACGGACGGCGAACAAAAAGCCCGGATGCCGGAGCTATCGTTCAAGACGTCCAAGGTGGAAAGGTAACATGAACGGAAAAGCAGAAACCCGACTTAGGCACTCTGCCCTCTCTTTTACCACCTCCGTCGCTATTTGCTTTCCCTCTTTTCCGTTCCTGTCTCTAAACCCAGATCAACCCTTTTTTCTCTTTGCCTATCTTCGCGCTATTACAAATTAATTAATTCCGACTGTTAAAAAATTGCGAGTACGATTGTTGTTGAGTAATTGCCAAACGATTCGCCCTCCTTTTCAATCTCTATTTTTCTCTTTTCTCTTTCGTTTCCTCCCTTTTCTGTTTTCCAACTTTCATCTCAACGTTTCCCCTGATATTCCCTCTTTTTCCCTTCTTCCTTTCCCGTCCTCGTTCCTTCTTATCCCACGTCTTTCTCAGAGCTGCCCATTCCTCGGAAGTTTGAGGAGGAGGTCCGATATCGCAGGGAGTGCTTTAAGGAGCTCCGTGCTTTCAGTTCAATATTTGCATGGCTCCTGAGCTCACAAAAGAGAGAAATCTATCAATTCCTGTCTTCCAGGGGGCGGTGGTTCTCCCTCTCTGTTCGCAGCTTCGGATGAAATCATTACCGTGCTGACGGGTATAAGAGGCTGCCTTTATGTATCGGTAGCAAAAGGATACCGACGCCATCTCATCGCTCCTGGCAGCCTGCACAGTTTCCTTCGTCAAGAGGAACGGCGGACCCCACCATTGTGTATCGATCAAGTGCGAGATGAGCCGTAAATCACACCACGCAAACTTTTGCTTACACGCGACTAGGGATATTTTCGTGCCCTCTTCCAAACCATCCTTCCTGTTTACCGCCTTTGTTATCGGACCCGATGAAAACGAGGATATCGTCGAAAAGTCTTAGACGACAACTTTTCCTCCGCAACTTTCGAAATGCCGAAAACTTGGCTTCTCGAGAAGATTAGATTAGACACCGGTTGCTTTATAATACTTTTCCTTTCTTATTTTAACATTAACAGAAATGTGATTTTTCTATGTATACGAGAGATAGCTCGAACCGATAAATAACTGATGCGCTCGAAGCGTCGACCGAAAGTAATTTTTCCGACCCAAGTGTAACTCGGAGGAGTGCGTGTAGCGAAAAGCAGCTCTGTTGCCAGTATCCATCGAAAAATGAAACGTCGTAAATCAAACGGACCGCGCTTTCTTCGTACGCGACTAGAATTTTTCAGCATCGGTGGCTAGAAGCGTGACAAACCTCCGACGTTCTCCCAGTGATTTTATTACGAGCATCGTCGCACGATTTTCTTACCGTTCCCGTTTCGCCGAATCAATCTTAAACTCGGGAACGTAACGCGGTGATAAAGTATCTTCCATCAACTTTTTCGAGAGCCTTCGATCGGAATTTGCATTCTACGACGGGCGTCATCTTTGTCGCAAAGTTCTAGTTAACTGGAATTACTTGAAATTTCTGCAGAATCTTCAGCAGACTGTTCCGTGCTGTTCCGTGAAACACGGAATACTAATAAAGGTCGAGAAAGTCGGTATGAAAATTTTATTCCATTCGCTGTCAAGTTGTCGCGCGTTTCAATTGTCTAAAAGATAATCCGAGGGTTTTATATGTATCAACATGTACCATCGACGTGGCGCGGCGCGGCGCGGCGGTGCAGTTTCCGAGTGGAAAGTCGGAGGAAAAATGGCGTGGCATTCGACGCGTTAAAACAGGTTTCTCGCTAACAGGAGAAACAAACTGCTCGAGACGCGAGCGGAGACCGGTAATCTCCCAGCGGGCGAGGAAAGAAAACAAAATTTAACTTTCAATTTGCAGGCTGAATATTTCTTTCCTCCGGTTTCTTTCCGATCCCGTGGCCGTTATCGGTGCTCGTGGATCTTAAAATATTCCAAACCGTGGAATGGACGACCACGATCCGTCGTTAGGCGCCGCATTATGAGTCCGCACGATCCGCGAAATACCGCCGCGGCGTAGGTTTTTTTACGTACCACGGCATAACGGTAATAAATACGGTATCTGGGATCCACGAGTGCATTTAGCGGGCTCATGAATAAAGCATAACTTCGGGGTTGGATCCCGCGGGGAATCTCCCGTTGATTTTTCCCACTCGTCGTGTACCAGTTGGGAAAGTTCGCTGCTGCTGCTGCTGCTGCTGCTGCTGCTGCTGCTGGTCGGGGAACGAGAGGTTGCTTCTTCGCTCCCGACCTTCTTCTTCCACAACTTGTCCCTTATTGTTGCGTCTCTTTGCACCTTTTATTGCACCCTGGCAGTCCCTGCACCGCTGCGAGGTTGCATCAACAGCCCGGGACCACGAGTCATTTTTACCCATTGCTCGTTGCATACGGAACACGCTTCTCTTGTTTCTCTCGTCCGGGCGGCTGAGATACGATGCTGTAAAATTTTATTGTTCCCAGAACTTTGTTAGCGTTTCCAGTTTGTCCCTGAATATAAACGAAAACGCGTCTAGCGCGCCAAGTTACAGACAAGTTGTTACTTTAATTCCTTGCACCGAAACACCGTCGCGTCGCGTCGCGCCGTTCTCGTCCCGATGATGATGATGATGATGATGATGGTTCGTTCTCACAGAACATCGGAACGCGTCGCGGAGAATCGCGTAAACTGTAGGTACACCGTTATGCTAAATTAACCGTGGGCGACTGTTTGCTCGATGCATCGAGCAGGAATAAAATAAAGAGGGAGAAAAATCCAAGAGTCTCGAGTGAGCTTAAATTTTCATAAACGCATGAAATCGGACGTGCCCAAAACCAAATGTCTGGAACGTTTCCAGCAGATATCGCACTTTCCAAGACACGGTCGGTCCGGTCAGACAAGAAATGGCACGAGCACGAGTCGGTCATCGAGCATCGTGCCAAAACGAGCGCCCAAAACTCCCACGGGCGCCACCAAGTCGTTCGAAACCACCCGCGATGTGCCCGCCCTCCCTCCCTCCCTCCCTCCCTCCCTCTATCTCAAATCGCATTCGTTACGACGACGCACGCGAAAATTTTCTGTAAATGTCCACGAGCTGAGCTGCATGTACATATGTGCACGCTGCAACGGGGACGCACTTGGCGGCGAGCCTCTTGATGCCCCGTTTCGAATCGATTTGCGTTCTTATCCGCGAATGTGTGCGACCACGCTCGTCCAACAGTGCACACCAGTGGTGCCCAACACTCCACACACGTGGACGGAGTAAATTTTTGTTATTTACGAACGACCAATACAAATTTTCGATTCGCTCGTAAACTAATTTCCACGTTTCGTTCCCAAGTCACCCCTAGTCACTGCCTAGTTTTCGTTTTATTTCGCCCACCGAGGAAAATTGTTGTGCACCACTGGTATACACCGTCCACCACGAACGCAATCCGCAACGATGAATTCGTCGAGCGTTTTCCACGAGAATGCACTCCTCCTTGCCTTCCACCATGCTCTTTCTTTCTACCGCCTCTCCTCTCGAACCTCTTATCGCGCCTGTATTTTTTTTTACACGCCCATTTGTCTACCACTCGGTCGTAGCTTTTGTAAAATGTCCCCTTGAAGATCGCAAAATTGCCCCTTTCGCGTCGAGATCCCGCGATCCCCTTTCAACGTCGCGCATTCCATACCGCGCTTTGAGCTTCATATTATGATTTCGTGTTTACGAAGCGGAACGATGAAATTAAATTACCTTAGGGCACTTGTAATTTCAAGTATCTTCAATAGCGCCGATCTCAACGCGTTTCATCTCACTTTACGTATGAAATATAATTTCAGTTTGTACAATAGATTTCTTCTTCTTTCTAATTACCGTCAAATTTTTTTTCTCCTTCGTTTCACATCGTGTAGATATTTTTTTTATTCATTTTCGTAACGACAATATCGTGCATCATTAATTCGAAAGAATCGTCCCCGTTGCTCGAAAATGACAAATTTTATTTCGACAGTTTCGAGTCCTCGAGCTCGACAAAATCTCCAGCGGTTAAAGAAGAAACGGAAAATTGCATTCTGCGGTGTCTGCACGGGCCGACGTTAACCCCGACGAAACGCGATAACAAAACATCCAGCTCGCACAAAGCAAATTGTAGAACGAGTTTCATTTCCCTTTGCAACAATCAGCCCGACCTGTTTACTGTTCCCAGAGGAAATCGGATTTCCTGATACGAATAGACAGATATAACTGGATAGAGAAACGTTACGCGTTCGTCCGCCTCATCCTCGAAACCCGTTAACGTCCTTTTAAGAGACAAAAGGTACGTCTGAACTCGCGTAACGCTGTTAACCCCTGCCGGATACAAATTGTTACTCGCTGTTTATCCGACGCGAAATTGCGCGGGAAAGTGATCAATCGAGTCGTACATTACGAACATGATGGGAGCCAAGTGCATGAATAATTTATCATTTAACGTATTCTTCACTGAATAAGTTTATTAGAAATTATTCCTGGCTATTTTCTCTTTAATCTGTTTAATCCCAGTCGAGGGACCGTCACACATCGGCAATAAATACTACTTTATTCACCCGTTGGTATCTCGTAAAGGCCTAAATTCCTGTGTCGAACGTATCGCTCCAATAATCCGTCCGTCTCTACGTGGAATTCCTAGTCCCCGTTTTGCATGTGAACGGGCCGCGAAACGATCCTAGTTCTTCTACATACTTCACATTGCTTTTTACTCACCTCGCTCCATTTATTGGTCTCCCACATGGGACAGGAGATGGTGTTGCAGGTCTCTAGGTTACGTGGTTTGTGCGTGTTGCTGCTGCATCTGTGGTCGGACAACTGTAACGAGAAAGATTTAAGGCTTTCGTGCGATTCGTCTTCAGCGTGTCTCAGCACATCGATTCTGAATATTTTTAGCCCCACGGCATAGTCCAGGACAAACACTCCTGGAAAAAATTTTAATGGGAGATTCTACACCCTAAAATAAGACGAAAATTAAGAATATCAATTTGTTGATCGAGGCTTCGTTATTAAAAAATTTCAAATCGTTCTAAAAAAATTATTATGGTTGCGGGGGTCAATTTCAATCATTTTTCATCGATAGACATACCCCCGAAATCCTACCCAGTGTCGAGAAAAAAAATTCATTACTGAAATGCAATGCCTGACCACACGTGCATCTATTCCCCTGAATTTTCGGCGAAATTAAAAATTTTCAAATCGTTCTAAAAAAATTATTATGGTTGCGGGGGGCAATTCCAATCATTTTTCTTCAATAGGCATACCCCCGAAATCCTACCCAGTATCGAGAAAAAAAATTCATTACTGAAATGCAATGTCTGACCACACGTGCATCTATTCTCCTGAATTTTCGGCGAAATTAAAAACTTTCAAATCGTTCTAAAAAATATATCATGGTTGCGGGGGTCAATTCCAATAATTTTTCTTCATTAGACATACCCCGAAAATCCTGCGCACTTTCGAGAAAAAAATTTGAGTAGGTTCTAAAAGCTTGCACGTTTCGCGAGGTACGTACATACATTTTATCACAAAGGTGTCAGTGTCGCGCCTTGGTCTCCTAATAATTACTCGAGCTACGAAACATTATTACACATATTATATCCTCCATTACCGTCTCGTGTGTTATCCAACCGTTTTCTTGAGACCGGGGCGCATAATCGAGGGAAGATGCAAATCCTCGGTATGCACACGGTACACGTTTCTACAGATTTCTGACGTACGCGTGTTTCAGGTGCTCGGAGAGTCTCGGATGAGAGGATTTTACGGTGGCTGACAGAGAACCGCGAGCGGCTCTCCCGGTTTAAACGAACCGAACTGGGTTGGGGTTCGTGGGTTTCGCGAGGTTGTCGTAGGCACGGGATGGATGGACGGATGGATGGGCCTGTACCTGTACGACAGTTCTAGAGACACGAGTACGTCGTAAAGCCTCAAAGATGGAGGAAATTATTAACCCATTTATGCGACAAGTAACAAGGGGGACAGATTCGACGAGGTTTACGGAGATCGGGAAATTATTTCGGTTTCAGTTTCGGTTTCGGGGGGGTGAATTACAAACATTTTTGGTCGATAAACATACCTCCGGAATCTCACCCACTTTTGAGAAAAATGATGGTAATTTGCACGAACGTTTTACTTTTTTTTTTCCTCGTTATTCTATACACCGTGAGTCGGTGCTGTGAAACACTGTGCCGTGATTTTCACGGTAACGAAATGGGGTCGGTTTCGGGCCGAAATCCCAGAATTTAATATAAAGGGATTCCGCGTATTTAAATTATCTCTGTTCCGCCCCTTATTTACCTTTGTAGTCTCATTGCCATTCTCCTCGGTGCAGAAAATGGCTCTGGTCCTGGATCCACCCCCGCAGCTAGCGCTGCACATACTCCAGTCGCCGGTTACCCATCTAGAAACGTAAAAAGAATCAATTGAAACGCAGCGCGACAAGAGCATTTTCGTTTCGTGGCACAGAGCCACGATGTTACGTAACGTCTCTTGGACTCTGGATATTTTTAGCAGAAAATATCCGGGAAAAATAAAAACAATTGTCTTTTTTGCATCTTTGTTTTGTTATATCGAACATCAATATCACTAGCCATATTAGCAGCGTTAATTTCTTGATAGTTTCCTGGGCTCTTTTAATAACCCTTTAACACTAGATTTACGGTTATTTATTATATAAATGCTACAAAACTAATAATACAGTATCAGTTATTTATACCGTGTTCGAGGAGAAGCAAAATAAAATTTTCGGAACGTAAAAAGTGCATAAAATGGCGTTGGTTTCTAATTAAATTACGTTTATACTTGGTTCAACAACATGCCATCCGATTGTTATTAAAGATAAAGAAGCAAAATATATCTTTCTCGCTGTAGAGTAGTTTTGCTTGAAAAGTTACGTGCGCTTGTTGGGAATGTTTAAAATTCATGTATGCCCTCGGTAATCCTAATATTTGCATGCCTTTTTACGGAAAAAGGAATATTTCCATCGGGCGGGGATCAAAGAACCGTGGAACAACCCCGACAGACATCGTAATCGTTTGAATATTTTCGAATCTTTCTCCCTTAGCAATCCGGAAATTACACAACTATCACGAGGTTTTCAAAATCGTTCCATGCGCCAATTAAAAGAGAGCACTCCGTTCCGCTCCGCTCCGCTCCGGTCCGGCAAAAGTCACCTTTGACACCGACGATCGAACTCCACGTAATGGTTCGACCAAATTAGTGAATAAATTCTATCGGTCGAAACAGCCATGTTGAATTAATTTTATTTTCAGGGGCAATTTACACTTTGCTGCGTTCTTTCGAACCTTGTACATACAATTATTTTACAAAAATCGAAATTAATTTTGTCTTTCCAAACCAACGGAAATGGTCTAGAATGATATTGTTTCGAAGGAGAGTATCGAATTCCTTTGATAGAAACAGAGCTTTGTTAAGATCGAGCAGGAGAGTTGGATCGCAAGATTAATTACCAAATTTGTTGGGAAGGTGTTTAAGGACTTGGGAATATGCCGTGCAAGTCGTACCCGCCCCTTTAAAGCAAGAGACATTAGCTTCTGCGTGATTTAGTGCAAGATGGATCGTTGGATTAATTACCGAATCTGTTGAACAACTGGGAGTATTATGTATAAGTAACGACAATACATATTCGTCTGGAACACTGCAAGTGGAGGGATCGTGTAAGCAGGCTCTGCCTTAGGCTTCGAGACATTGAAAAATCGATGAAGGAATGTAGATGTAGAGATAGGAGAGTTGGTCGAGTACTTGCGAGAGAGCGTAAAATTAGCACGCTTGACGCCCTTTGCTCGCGACACAATGTCACCAACATCCAGACGCGTATCCGTCTCGTTTGAATTCCCGTGACAGAACGGTTACGAATACTGTTTCGATCATCGATTCCGCGCTGTCAGATCGCAAGATTAACCGTCAAATTTGCCGGAAGACGGATAATGGAATTTAATTGGGAGTGTATCTGTAGCGCGACACGAAATAATGGCCGCTGAAGTATTTAGTGGGTTAATACACAGTTGCGGGTAGGCAGCGGTTTAGGAATCCCGGGCCTCTTGGGGGATGGCTGAAACGCCGACCACTTGCCTGGCCTGGCCTGGCTGAACCAAATTAAACTAAATTCTCGGCCGTGGCAATTAGCGGCAATTTACCGTTGACGAGGCCCACTCCACCGGTGATTTATTAACGGTCGTGCCCGTTAACGTTACAATCACCTCCCGCAACGTCTGGATTTTTAAGTACCGAACACCGATCGATCGTGGTCTTTTGCTTTGCAACGCAAATATTCGTAATTAACGACGAACACCGGCTGTTCAATTATTCATATTCCAATTACGACTATTGTAGCGGAGTAATCTTATTTCGTGCAGCGTTTCGGGCGACGCGACGCTTTCATTTCGACCCTGCTGCGCATTCGGCGGCCATCTTTCACTATCGGACGCGTTCAATTCCTTTCTATCAAACGATAGAAAGATATTTTCGAGATAAATAAAGCCCGCGTCGATTCCCCGGAAATAAACGTGGAGGCTGATCGGCGAGACTTTCGTGGACATCGAACCATAATTTCGATCACAAAGGAACAGGTCCTATATACACACGCCTCTGCACGATTCAACGACGTGGTGCGTTTTCAGCGCGGCTCTATATCCACCAAGAATGGTTTGCGGCGAGTTTTTGCCCGAACTTTGTCGCCGACGCGACGTAGTGTCTGCTCGTCCGGCGAACGATTCTCATCGGGAGCGTGCTTTAAATCCTCGCTTTTTATCCCCCTTTCCTTTATCCGGACAAAGAACAGGCCGTATCGTTCCGAGAACTAAGATTGTTTCTTCGAAAAAATATCCTCCGGACGTATACCCCTTCCTTCTTTCTCGTCATTCCACCCGATCGTTACGCTTTATCGAGAACGGTCTAGTCGACGACGACGACGACGACGACGACGACGTTTGCGTTTTAAATCGAGAAAACACGCTTCTTTTCTCGAACATGGTGTCCAAATTGGGCAGCAATCGATTACTTCGCGATCGCTTTCCAAGTTTATTATTAAACGTAAACACGACAAACTTAACCCTTAAATTTATAGCTCTATTAAAAACACAGTATGCTAATGTAGAGAGTTAGAGTTGTCCCGTTCCAGCTACGTAAGAGTTCACGATCGTCTGAATTTTTGGGGTTGGAAATCATCCCTCGTCCGCCATAAATTGCCGCGAATTTTCTGTACCGCGCGAGGATCGAGGAAAGAACAAAACCATATTCCGTGGGCGTGGGAGATAAACTGTCCTGGTTCTTGGCTGCAACCAGTCGTAATTTCCAGTCGGAATGTTACAACAAGTATCATCGAGTGGAACAGGGAGTTGTTCTAGGACCGTGAATTTGTATTTCGGGAAACAGTAAAAGTCGAGGAATTCCGTTAAATAACTTTTTCAGGAGCACGATGCCTCGGAGGAACCGGTGATACCTTTTTTCCCGTCCGATCTCTCCGTGACTTGTACTTTATGGCCAGCACATCGTTCCGCGGAGTTTTCTTACGACGATTCTGATCGCAACGAGCGTAAGAAGCAGCAGCCTTTACGTCCTCGTAATCCATCCCCTCGGAAAAAGAGTCATATCGTCGGACGAATTGTTTGTCCAAAAGTCAGCCAGTGCTCACTCGTTTCCCCCCGGCAGCGAATCGACGTAGCGATAAAAAATGAAAAATGCACGGAATAAATCGCGGAACAGGCCGCTAATACGGAACAGGAAGAAAACGTTCAGTGATGTACACTTTTCCCATTTACCCTCGACCCTCGTAACTTGATAACTAAGCGAGCATATTTCTGTTAATACCAAAGGAAGATGATAATTTGTTTTACAGGGTGCACCGACTACGACTAGCATCCAGCTTGAAAACATGGTTTGCAACGGGTGAAAAACGCTAACCGAATACTAGAAACTCGATAAGGAAACGCGATAAAAAACAACATAAACCGTGTTCCGCTGTTACGAGGCGATCGATGCCTCCAGTGTTGAATAATTTCGGTACACCGACATTCCAGGAAGTGGCAAGTACGACCCTCTTCGATATTCAGCGAGCGATCGTCGCTGCCAAAGTGTTCGCAATCGGTGCTCTCCACGGCTCGGTTGTATCGCTATAGGAAAGGACCGGGCTTGTTTTTCCAGGTCACTTTCAGAAAGAGGCCCGCCGGGCTTTTGCTCTTTCTCTTCCGTTTTCCCGACTAATGGCCGTTCAGTCCGCTTGAAAGCTCCGGCCCATCGTTCCCAGCGAGCGTTTCGAGTCTACACGGCCACCGTATCCATTTCTACGTGGTTTCGTGCACTGCTCGTGCTCGCATACACACGGCATACACACGGCATACACACGGCATACACACGGCATACACACGGCATACACACGGCATACACACGGCACCGTGTACACAGACCGCCTTCTACAACAATAATCGGGACTGGGTTGCTTTGTTCGCGGTCGTACGAGGAAATTGGTCAGAGAAGATTGGCCGGCGTTAATCCCAAAAGTGGGAATTCCGATTTCCACGACGGAGAACACGCAAACTCCGAGCACCTGTGCGTACGTGCGAAGCGAACGCAACATGGGGTTCGAGGCTTCGAGGAACCGAAACACGCTCGATCTCGACGATCTCACGATCAAACAAACTTCCAAACAAGTTGCACAAGTTGCATAGAGCACCCTGTATAAAATAACCATGTATTATTATCATCATCATCATCATCATCATCATTGTCATTTTATTCGTAATCTATTATTCGAACGAAAGCTTGTTGCCCGTCTCTGCTGTCCGGGCGAGTTCGATGGGAAAATCCGCGCCGCGAGCGCGAGTAGTTTAACGTTCTTTGACGCGGATAATGTGCACGCGCAGACCCGATGGAGTTCCGTTTGTCAGAAAGTACTCACTTTGCAGTGCAGGGGTGCGTGTTGCACGGCATCCGGGTCTTCTCCGGTCTGCTGTCCGGATCGCAATAGCTGTCGTCCACCACGTTCTCGTCTGGCCCGTTGCTCTTGCACACAGCCATCGCCAACTTGAAGCCTGTTGGAAAAAGCCGTTCATTTTAGCCTGATTTTCATAATACTATTAATATTTGAAAATGATTAATTGATACTCCGAAACATAGCATGGTATAACAATAGCGAGTAGCCATACAATTTTTTAACGGTCTGTGTAAGGCAGAAAGATAAAAGTTCTCTATCTCGTCCACAACCTTCTGGCTCGGGTCTCCCCTATTTTCTCCGCAGAACAAATAGAGACCAGAAAGGGAATTTGTGTGGCATTCGGTCCCAAGGAGCAAAGCAATCTCGACTGAAAGTGCAACAGCCCGATAGGTGGAAACCGACCCGGTCCAAGTAGTCGTTATTAATTTCGGGGAAAGGGCCGGGGGAACGTTTAACGATTCGCAGGCTCAAAGTTCATTAGAATTCATTGCTCCCAGTGCCGATGTAAATGGACTAGCAACGCGCGCGCGCGCACACCTTCCGAACCAAACGCTTCAACCAAATGAACTTGGTAACCGCTACTAACCTCCGCCGCATGATTTCGAGCAGGCGGATATCGATTCCAAACTCCAAGAGTACCGGGATTGGCAGCTCGATCCGTTTCCACCGCACACGCCGCACGCGTCCGTGTTCTTGTTGCTTCCGACTCGTAAGTCGCAGCCGACCATCTAAAACAGAAATACCGTACGCTCGATTAATAAAATCTTTCCATACCCTTCACCTCGACGGTACAAATGGCTCTTTCGACATACCCCTGTTGACCCGCCATCGTTACTCACGTCACATTGAATTAAGAGAAAAATCGAGTTCCTATCGGCAACGATCGACAAGAAAACATGTTCGAACGCGGTGGATCATAAACTGAACATTTCATTCGACGATAAAACTGATAAATCTATCGGTATGGCAATTGTTCTCACTGACGTACAAAAGGCAAAAATTAACGAGATGCACTCTTCCAAAGTGGAACAAAATGTTAATAAGATCATGCATAAAATTGTAAGCCTTCTAACTCGACGTCGTTCTGTACAAATTCAGAAGACCTCGTTGGGAGGATGGAAAAAGGCAGAAGAAGAAGCTGACGTCGATTCGTGACCTGGCTCGGACGGCAAACTGATTTGTCATTCAGGCTGCATGGAGGTTTGCTCCGAGGTCGGGGAGTACATTATTCATCCCTTATCCGGGCGAGAAGAGTGAACCAAACTGGTGGCAAAGGTGCCAAGGGAGGATGGGACCCAGCAAAGAAGGATATGGATGGGACAACGAGGGGGGCTGGTGCGGGTGCGGGTGCGGGTGCGGGGGCGGTGGCGGGGGCGGGGGCGGCGGTACAAGGGGAGGAATAGAGAGGAAAGACACAAGTCTAACGAGATCTTTGGAAAGACCGACTGTCGTATAAAGATAATCCAAGATTTCGCGGAACAACGTCGGATACGGATAAATCTTTACACCGATCGTTTGCCGATTGATGTCGCTATAAAATCACTTTGTAAAGTGGGACGAGAGATAACGGCCGAAATCGTACCATGACTGTTCGAGAGTTTGAGAAGACAATCTTGTGGCAGGAAGAGTTATAGATTAAGATATCTGTCACTTTTTTCAATAGAAAAAATCGCAGTCTCCATACACATTTGACTCGTTTACGGACGAATATTTCAAATAACCGATGGACATTGGAGTGATGTTCTCCACGTAGGTACCTTCTTCAAATTTTACATCCGTGAAACGGTACTTGGCGAACTCGAAACGGTTAATATTAAATTCCCGTGCCTTTGCACGGGAATATTTCGAAAAATTGTGTCAATCTCCTGTCTGGCTTTGGCGAAGGCGCATACATCGGCGCATCGGCGGCGCATCGGCGGCGCATCGGCGGCGCATCGGCGGCGCATCGCCGCATCGCGTCTTTACATCGAGAACACGTTCGACTCTTCGTCAGCGTTTAGAAACTACGTTTATACTTCAGTGAAAATTCTTCGACAGTTGGAAACGCGCGCCGTCTGCGGAATTTACGTGGGAAGTAACTTGGGTGAATCATGCTTCTCGACCAAAAATAAAAAAAAAGAGAAAAGAGAAAAAACAAAATTGAAAAAAGCGAGCAGAGAAGAAAAAGGTATAAAAAGGATTTAAAGTTTACTCAGCTGTGCGAGCTATGATTTAACGGAGCCCCACTGACAGCATAATAATTCCGGGGATAAAAGAAGCTCGTGAAGCCTCGAGAAATCGAACGAAACGCGTGAGGCGGGAAGGACGAATTGAGATTTAATTTTACACGAGGCCGGAGATTCGTTTCGCGACCTTTTTCCTTGTTTTATGCACCGATGCATCCGCGCAACCGTTGCAGGCGTGTAGAAGGCTCGCTTCGAGTGCACCGCAGGGAGTTCGAATGGAGTTTAAATCTGGGATATACGATTTTAGTAATGCGTCGAAACAACGCTCGTACTTTTCCTTTGCCCCCTTTTTTTACGGCTTGACTCTTTAACCTCGTTTCCGAAACAAAAAAAATAATCCCGAGGATTCGTTATTTCGGAACAGTTTCGACCAAGGATTTCAACGTCATTTCGGGAAATATATGCAAAGCGTATACGTTCGAGGGTGAAGTTTGCAATAATTTTTCTCTGCTCTGAAAGAAACAGCATGTGGTATAGGGAACTTATTTTAAATCTATAGATTCGATTATTTTTTAAGCAGTTGAAGGTAGAGGATTGGAAGGAAAAATACAATGATTCGATTTCATATTTTACGAAGTAGATTTTTACACGAAATGGTAGATGAAAAGTGCATAACAGTTTCAAATCCTTTCGAATTCACCAGTAACGTATTCATACGTCTGACAGAGAGTTGAATGAAATTAAATAATTATTTTATTAATACGGTGGAACGCCGCCATTCATTCGAAACCGTCGGGACAATTTGTATAACTGGATCGTTCATATAATAGGAGCGTATTAATTCTCCCCGCTATCTATTGATTTTTCGTTCAAATAAATTCATGTTCGGATAAGTGGAGTTGGTTAACCAGCTACTGAACTTATACCAAACCGAGTTCTATTCTATATTTTAAAGAGCTGTACATGTTTAGAAATGACGAGTAGTAATAGCTTTTTCCTTTAATTTTCGAAAAAATGAATCAGAGGCCCTGTTTAAAAAATATATGTATATGTATAGGTGTTTGTCGAGCGGGCGAAGATGACGGATCGAGTGAATCGAGTGACGGGAAAAGGGGCAGCGGGATAAATCGTTCTTATCTCTCGAAAGCCCATTTCAGATTTGTAAAAGATTCATAGAAATTTCCTGGTCGGAGTGTCTCGACGGGCTCGTCGACGGTTTTTAGATCCTGTAGGAATCACAAATGTGAAAAGGGACAACCCGCACATACGGCTGGCCTGTGTCCACAAGCACAGGGTAGGAAGCGCGCGCGCGCAAACAGAACGGAAGAGACACACACAATACGGGCGTTCAGGATTAGATTTACTTTGCCCGAGAAGTGGAAACCTGCAGCAGAGAGCTCCCGTAATTGAAGGATAGGACCATCGAAGCAACCGGTTATTTCTCTAGGTAAACAAGCCAAGAGAAACGGGCAGCCGGTCGGGCGTGCAAAATGAAATATCGCGGAACTTAACGGCACCGATCCTCTTGGTTGCGCGATCCCCAACTGTCCTCGCCCCGATCCGCACAAATAATACCTCTGCATTCACTAAATGTGCCTTTCCAAGACGAACAGCGGCTTACGTGCGAACGGGGGGACGGTTTCCACCTTCGAACGCCATTAGTTTTCAACGGAGGGAACGCTGGCACAGGGAAATTCGTGAATAAATTAACTCGACAAACGATGCTTTTGAAAGAATTAAACTCTCCCGGACGAACAGAGGATAGAAAATATTGCGTGTCTCTCGAAATACAGGGTGTGTTGGGCCACCCCTGGGAAAAATTTGCTAATGGGAGATTCTAGAGGCGAAAATAAGACGAAAATCAAGAATATCAATTTGTCGATCGAGGCTTTGTTGGAACACAAAGCACATGCACCCTGATTGCAATTAATAGTTTTCTTAACATATAATAAAATCGAACCTTATAACAAATAAAATGCAACGATCTCTAGGCTTGTTAGTGAACGCTTCTGTTGTAGCGACGATACAAAAGAAGGGGAGTTATCTTCTCATGGATAACGGTCAGTTGAGAAACTCACTGAATTATGATAGGCATGAATTGTGATAGGCAGCAGCTAGTGCGTGTAAATGCATACCAATTGAAAAGTTGTAAATAATTTACTAAAAATCGGTCTATCCGCGGTTTCTATCCGAGCTATCCATCGAGTTCGTAAACAAGCTTCGCGAGACATCGGAGCTTCCCCCCTCCCGCCGCCTAACTCGCGAGCGCTGCCGAGCACAGCGGACGGCCATCATTCATCCTTTGTAAATAAACATAGCAAGACGTGTCGAGACGTATCTGCGTTTCGCGGCCGAGCTGCGTATTTCTTACCTGTTGATACTTTAACATTATGTATTACTACACGCGTTTTAACACGTTCACTGCCAGACGAAAACTGTAGAATATTCTGCAAGATTAACATTCTGATTTTACACCATTGTAAGCTACATAACCTAAAGTTTGTTTCGGTACTTATTGTCGTAACCTTGTTAAATTTCGTTTCTCTTACAGTCTCTTATTGGAACTCGAAATTAAGAAATAATAAGACTTGTTGGAACCTGCCAAGATGTGTCGGCGTTTCGCGACCAACGAAGTATGTATGTATTTCTAACCTTTTGCTATTTTCTCATTGTGAATCAATCATTGTTTAATTATGATTTAATTTCTATTTCATTTCTGTTGCAGTCTCTGATTGAAATTCGACGCCATGGATAAATTTATTGGCGCATAAAGGACACCATAACAGATGGCAGACGAGTCGAGAAATTTTTCAGGGTATATTGGTAACGTTTAAATAATTACAATAAAAATCGACATCCATATTAATATTTATCGCTTTATTAAGTTATCCGTTGCAAACATGATTTTAATTTTGTAATCGGTCATTGTTAAGATAAAATATTAAAATAGTTAACAAACTTTCTATCTATGTACTTCGATATTATATCGAAGTATACAAAAATGGCGTCGGTAGATATCAACGATAAATTGCAATAGTTTATATTAGACTGTATTCTGATCGCGATTAAATATTTCCGACTATTATTTATTCAATTGATTGTTTATATCTCTTTATGAATTGTTGTAATTGCAATTTCCATACATATTTCGATGCAAGTTTAAGAAAACGTAGTAACTGCGTAGTTGAAATATGCTATTCGAGCATAAATAACTAGCGAACTTTAATTCTTGCAAATTTCGGAATATTTATAAAATTTACGGGATATTCTAACGTTCGATAAAGTAAATACAATCATGCTTTCAACTCTAACTATGAAACTTGGTGATATAGTATTTATAAATTGAAATTCTCATTGATTGAGAATATTTTACATGATATAAACTATGTATACAGCAGTGCTAAATAAAGCAGTGTTTCCGTTGTTAAAGTCTAGTAAGAAGGAAAAAGAAAATGAATAGGCTAAGCACAGATGTGCTTGTTGTTGTGTTTCTTGTCTCCTGTCCCTTTTCTTTCCAGGAAATTTGTTGGCCGCGTGCAATGCGGCCGGTAGAATCAGTGATC